ATGACTTGTGGTGGCCTACCGATGCATTCAGCCAGTGCTACTATCCTCATACACAACTGCGGCACCATTTTCCCGACTCCACATGGATGGATGCCTTTGGTGAGCCCGTGGCAAGGGATCGAACCAGCGACCTCGTGTTTATGGTAGGGATTCTCTAATCACTGCGCTAAAAGCCATTCGATTTTCAAATGGTAGAAATTAAAATGTTTTGAATATCAGTACTTCAGCGCATTTGTGCCAATATGCATTCATTTGAATGCGTTCTATTTCCGATCGTTCATTTTGCTATGCAATTTTTTCTGCAATATCATTTGCTTAGTGTTCAGCATGAAATCGCAACGGGAGTCGTTTGTTTTTATTTATGAAGCAGAGTCATCGCCTGTCGATACAAAAAAGAAGGAATCGAACGCGGACTGAAGAGACAAAGACGTCCCAAGAGTTGTTTTTCTTCTTTGCGAACATTGATCTGTAAGTAATAGCTGTTCCGGGACCACTTATGTTATCCTCGTTTGTGACAGGGAGGTATTCGACGCAGTATTTAACGGGAAAGGCTCACTGATTTCAAAATGTTTTCGTTTCGGCGGTTTGTTTTGCTGCTCAAGACTTTTTTCCCACACTTTTTATATTCAACCGATAGTTTACAGCCCCAATACAGAGCGTAAGCCGAGTAGAGCTACACTTAATAGTGTACAAAAACTGTTTGTCGAACGAATTTTTTCATTAAGTTAGATATACTATGCAAACTTTCCAGCGGTTTACCGCTTCATCTGGGAGGTGTTCCTGGGTGTTGTCGGACTGCGTTGTACCGGGAGGGGGGTTCATCCCCTGGTAGGGTTTCCCAAGTTGAGAACGAACCAGGCGTTTCCATTAGGAAACCTAACTAAGTGTAAAGCAATACAAGATCCACCACCCTCCTGATATCAAAGTCGCATGGTGGCAAATCTCCCTCTGATCCACAAGAGCTGCGACTGCCTGTGACGAGCTGGGGCAGACTTTGGCCAGACTAACCTCGGGATACCAGGGAACCACAATAGCTTGGCCAGCAAATCTCCGAAAAATGGAGATTATGCTGGGGCCCACACAATCAGTGAGGTCGGGCCGTTCAAGTATCAAGTATCAAGTATACTTCGCAGAAATCACTCAAATGCGACATTTAGGGAGGTATGGTCAGTCTGAGGGGTTACATAGATGTATACTCTACGTCATCATAATTAGTGGTTGTATTTAACCAAAGCAGGTGATGCAAAATCAATGGCTACTTTAATTTTGGACCAGTATACCTTAGGGGCGCATATAGCACAGTGGTTAAAAGTGCCGTGCAATGCACACGGGATCGATCCCGCGTCCCAGGTTCACGAAGCCATCCATTCCTCCGGGGTGGTACTGTCCAGGAGGATAGTAGTACTGATTCGACATATCGGTAGGCCACCGCGAATTTTTGTAAAGGCCAGGTATTCAATCGCCTGTAACAGCGAAATTGAATACATGGCGCATTCCTCAGGGATCGACCAACGCCGAGAGCTCTAGCCTTTATAGTTTATGTCCTAGCTCGTAATAGTTTTCATTAATTAAGATAAAAATGGTTGGGAATGTACGAATCTTTACCATTAAGGTAGAAACTATGTCATTCTGCTAGTTCTGCTTCGTTGAAGTACATGGCTTATACCTCTCACTTTTTTTCCGTCCAAACTTATATTTCAAACCCGAAAACAAATAAACAAGCGGGATTTCGTCCCATATGACGTTGTTCTCCAATACATCGTCTATGTTTGTCTATGTTCGAAGCTGTCGATCATCCGATGGAAATTTTAAAGACTTAAATCTAGTTGCTATCTTTCTGAATGCTTTAATCCCAACCTCCCAACTGTCTTGTGGTGACGACGCATGACTCTGGAGCATACCTCAGACTGATTTTTCGACCTGAGTCAGGTACATTCCTAGTCTATGTACTACTCTGTGCGACTGATCTCCACCAAATAACTAGAAGACTTACGGAGAACGAAACGGTGACTCTCTTAAGAAGCTGGTTTCCAATGCGATTGAAGTTTAGGCTTTGGGTCTGTTTGTCGAGGTTATGAAAGTATTGAGGTGGCTAGGTTGTAACAAACTTGACCTTCCCAACTCTGAAAAACGCGAAGTCCTCAAAGATGTCAGCCACCGTGAATAAATGATGTTATAAAAACCTCTTGTCTTCTTGTCAGAAAACAGTGACCTTTTAATGATGCAGTGAATGTTCTAGTCAAGTAATTTATTTCATGAGCCAAAACTTAGGGCGCGTGTGACGCAGTGGTCGGAGGCACCCTGCAACACACACTTGGAATCGATCTCCGCACTCCAGGCCCACCAATCCTTCCATCCCTCCGGGATCGGCAAATTCGTACCACACTTGTATGGGAGGATAGAAGCACTGGCTCGTTGCATCGGTAGGCCACAGCGAGTCATTGTAAAGGACAGATATGCGTTCAATTACCTCCAACGATACTCGATGAATTCGAATGCATAGTGCATCTCTCAGGGATTGATTAACGCCGAGAACTTTATCCTTATCCTTTTAAACCAAAACTTTTACAGTTTACTGGTTCATTCTATTACGCGAGCAATCTACACCACCTGTTTTCTAAGTATGCATTCCTTTTTCACTGATAAGTCAGCACGAGCTTGATAGAAAAAAGTGATGAAATAGAACTCTGATAACGTTTCGGCTCCTTCACCTTCTGCAGATCCAGGTTGATGCAAGTCTATTATTTACGGCCGCTTGTTTCTATGATGAGGTTCTTCGTTGGGAGAAATGAAGAATTCTTTTGCTATTTTGGAGATTTTTAATGCGGTTATTTACACGCCGGTGGTACAGCTGGCCAAGAAACCCAGAGGTGCAACAGTGTTGCATGAGAAAACTAGGTACTAGGCTAGGTATAAAATCGTTTAGTTGAGTTAAAGTTAACGACGATGTGAAAATGAGATGTTGGACACAGCACAGATTTAACATTTAGGCTACGACATGAGTTACGTTTGAGTAACAGATTTCGAGTGAAGCCGGTGTGAGTCATATATGACTGTTTGTTACTCTTACAATCCGATTTCAATCTTTTTTCTTGGGACTTAAAAATGAAATTAAGGAAAAAGTAATAGTACAGTTATTGATCAACTAAAGACGAATGATTTAAGTGAAATTTCTTGTCGACTTGATCACTTCGACTTCTCTGATTTTTGGTGCAGTTTTGGAGAGAAGCGATGAGAGCCAATGCTACACTATGCAGGTCATCTCAACCTCCATACCATTGTTGCAGGTTTGTCCACATGCACCAACCATTCTTGTAAAGTAATAAAAAAAAGTGCAATGCATAAAGCACTCGGTACTGATTCCTTGGAGAAGCACTGTACGATGCATCCCACTCCAGTATTGAACGGAGCTTGGTTAGCGGAGGGCTGTGTCGATGACAGGACTGGATGTGTACTGTGGCGCACTTCTAACCGTTGCGTTACACGTGCCTCGTAAAATAATGATTTTGTGTGAAATACAGCCACAATGATGCTGAGGTGTTTGGAAGCCTCAGGACTGTAGATGTCTGCGGTGGGGATCGAACGCGCTATTACCCCTTCCGGGGACTAGCGCATTCAAGGTCACACCATACAGGTTTTTCGTTTCGCCTTTCTGTCAGCTAGTTTTCCATGTACCAGTGCCAACAGCAATGACCCGTCAACAGGATTGATCTGGGGAGCACAAATCGGCATCGAACCCAGTTAAGCTGAAGCTGTAGCAAAAGTCACAATATAATCACTTCTTGATTTACTGCCTATTACAATTTTTCATGGAAAGGTATTACAGACAGTTAACACTTTTTACTTTCTCGACATTTTGATGGCCCGTCCTCAATCGTTGTGCGGATTCCGCCAATATCTCCATTTTCTCAGAGTTTTGCTGGTTTAGCCATTCTGGCTCCCTGGAGTCTAGAGGTCAGCCAGGCCAAAGTCTGCCCCAGGTCGTTACTATTACAAGTGGTCGCAGTCCTCGTGGACCAGAGGGAAATTTGCCACCATGTGACTAGTTTGATACCAGGACGGTAACGGATCCTGGTATTGGTTTACTCTTAGCTGGGCTTCTTGATGAAAACGCTGGACTCCTGCTCAGCATGGGAGACCCTGCCAGGAGGTGAATTCACCCGCTGTACATCGCAGACCGGCACCCAGGAACACCTGCCCATGATGAGGCGGTAAACCGTTGGGAGGTGCAGACAGAAAACTAGCTAAAAGAAATTCGAAACGAAGGACCCGCACGGTATGATGGTGAACGCGTTAGCCACCGGAAACGGTAATAACGTGTTCGATCTCCACCGCAGACACCTGTGGTCCGAAGTTTTGCAAACATCTCAGCTTCAATGTGGTTGTACTTCACGTAATACCCTGGCGTGAGAAACTGTAGTAGGCAGTAAATAAAAATGCTAACAATGAAATTTTATTTTTATTTGTTTTGTATGATCCGTCCTTGCAGATGCTGTGCGAATTCCACCACTCCTTGCATTCTATTCGTTTCCTCGCATCCATTAACCACGAAAGTCTTCTTCGTACTCGCGTATGGGTGCGGCTAATGCTTGAAGGTTTTTGGTCTTCTTTACGAATGTCGTTGAATACCGATGAATTCGATTCTCTGTCTTCGAAATCCGATCCTAGGATAGCCATGCCATGGCGTTCCTAGATATTGTATATCGGAGATAGCTTCCTAGAGAAATCTGCTAACAACCTCCTCACCGTAGAGAGAGGTAGAGAGATGAGGAGGAGGGGTTTGGTCGGTCCAGAGCGGAGCTGGGCTTAAGTCTAGCGCGTATAGAACGGCATAATTACCACTGTGCTAACCGCTTCCCAAGGTAATGCGGATCACGGAAATTAATAAGTGCAAAATCATCAAATGGACTCTGTATCCATTTGTCGGTATATCCTCTTAGAATCTCCAAATAACAGTAGAAGGCTTCTTCTATGCCTTCGCTTGCTTACAGGGATTATTACTGCTTTGCGAGGTGATTGACTGGATTCTAGCGGTATTCTATCCCGTCTACTTCCATTCATCATCGCTTCTTGTACGCCTATTGCCGTTCATTATTGGATTCATATTTTGCACAGCTGTTGTTACTGGACTGATCATTATTGGTAGGTTTGATACTTTAGTGTTCATGTAAATTCTACCTTTCAGGAATCGTGGTGCTGACAATATAATATTGCTGAGTACATTAGCTCCTAATGAGCTATCTGGGTAAAATTTTCTTGAGGAATGCGCAATGTACCCAACTTCTTTAACCACTGTAGAGATTCAATGTGCACTGGCTCCACCTCCAAGAGCCTGCCAGTGGGTCAAGCCAGTGTTTGTTATCCTCGCAAGCTAGTCTGGTAACAATTTGCTAGCCGTGAAGAAATGGAGGACTTGGCATACCGTGGCACGGAGTTGAATAGAGCGCAATATGTGCATTGAAAAAAAAATACTGAAAAAAATTAGCATACGGATGAAATATGGCGATAATCGGCCTCAATGGCGATTCCAGTCGAAATCTTTGTCTTTGTTAGGGCCAATTCTTATTGTTTCTGACTACTCTCACTTAGATACTTTGCTTTATGCGTTTATCAACATCAACCTTTAATGATGCTTCAGAAATTCTCCAGCTAGTATAATGTATAGGGGCGCATGTAGCGCAGTGGATAAAGGCACCTTGCAATACATGCAGGATTGACCCCAAATCCCAGGCATACCGCGCCTTCCATCTCTCCGAGGGTCGGCGATATGGTACCGGACATGTCTGGGAGGATTGCAGCACTGACCTGATACATCATCGGTGGGCCATCGCTAGTAATTGTATAGGCCAGATATGTTTTCACTCACCCCCAACGATGCTTAATGAAGTCGAATACATGGCAGATATCTCAGGGATTGATCAACGCCGACAGCTTTGTCCTTTGTCCTCTTCAGTTTCATAAATTTCAAGTCTAATTAAGGGCTGGCATATGCATAAATCAAGCTACCTAGTTGAGAGTAATCAGAAAAGTAGGAATTGGCCCTTATAGAAACAAAAATTTCAACTGGTACGGCCACCGAGGCCGATTATCGAGACATTGTACCCGTAGCCTTTTTTTTTAAAAGTACACACATTGTTCTTCGTTCAATTCCGTGTCAAAGTTATACCAAGTCCTCAATTCTTTCAGGGGTTGTACGGCGAAGATAAAAGCGATCTACGTTAATCAGCGAACAGTCTCTAGTATACCTATGAACGATATTCACAACATCAAATTGTATTTCATGAAGTCAAGCAGAATCAGTTAGCAAGAATCTTTTAATTTGTACCGAAAACTGGATGATCCGGACTGAACAGATCGAAGTACAAAGACTTAATCTGAAAAGAAAAGCGCTACGATCTCATGTGTGGTGTTCCAGATGCCAACACTGAAGCAATGCCATGTGTATCATCACGGACAGATACGGCCGTTTTCTTCACGTATGACATTTCGCTTGCTTTGGCAACTATCTGTATGGTAGCATTTGTAGGTCTATTGGCTAGGAAACTGAATAGTTCACTGTATAAACCTGTTTTGGTGAGTTAGTCCGGATATTTACCAGAAACAAAGGAAAAAGAATGACAAAGAACAACCCTTCAGTTCCATTTCGTCTCGACTTTGATCTTGATAGAGATTCCGCTGCTGGTATTGATTGTGTTAAAAGACGTTGGTAACAGCAAATCTGTCGTTACGGCTGCCGACGTTACCAGTCTACTTGTTGTAGCACATGCGATTTTCCATTCCGGATTTTTTATATATAACCATGAAGATTATCGAGTAAGTAAGCAAACGGTATTGTGAAAACTTGTTTAGACCGGAGTGCTATCACTGAAGAATTTCGACTTAATAACTCAAAAGACCGACTTTCTATAAACCTCGGCATAGATAGTTGATATATTTATTTATGTCATCTTATAAACTGATCTTCTTAAGCTGACGCGAGGTTGGTACAGATCTTCGTTGTCGTTGTTGTTTTTGATGTTATTGATCGATGGCTGACGTTTCAGCGACTTCGTCTTCCTTAGAGCCTGGACGTATTTAATATTAGAATGTTTTTATTATTTGGTGGAAAAGAAATGTTAAAGTGTTAATGAAGATCAAACTTTCAAATAGACGCCATATTGAACAAAAAGGCCACTCATCGTGATGTTACGTGCGGGACTGGCCCACACGTAGTTCACGTGGGATCGCGAGCAAGACACGCCTCGGGGTCAAAAATATCATTTTGAAATAGGGGGGCAGGTCACGCGTGATAGTGAGGCATTCTACGTGTGGGCCAGTCTCGCACGTAACATCACGGTGATTGGCCTTTCTGTTCAATATGGCGTCTATTTGAAAGTTTGATCTTCATTAACACTTTGACCTTTCTTTTCCACCGAACAATAAAAACATTCTAATATTAAATACGTCCAGGCTCTGAGGAAGGCGAAGTCGCCGAAACATCAGCTATCGATCAATAACATCAAAAACAACGACAACGACAAGGAAGATCTGTACCAACCGCGTCAGCTTAAGATCACCGTGATTGATAAGATTATAAGATCATTATACTTCCATGTGATTTCTGTGCGGTTGGTCTCTACGTGACATACTTAGTGGAAACCTCATAGAAAGCGGCTCTGAGGAAGGCGAAATCCGCCGAAACGTCAGCTTATTCGTGAGTAAAGAACAATAACACCTCGCGTTTGCTCAACAAAAATACGAAGAATTAAGAAGATCAGTTTATAAGATCACATAAATAAATTTCGACTTAACCAATATCACTGGCGATAAATCCCTTAAAGTGGCCTGTAGCAAGATTTAGAAAATGAGACCTAAATCCATTTGGCTGCAGCATCGATTTGACGGCTTAGCACCTATATTTATCACTCACTATGAATTGATAACAACTCACGTCGGTCCAATTGCCTCTTCCCCTCACGTCGTATCTTAAATGTAAATGCTAGTTTAAAATGGTAATAGATAAGCATTGTTTTCGTGATCAGCAAACACGAGGTTGTTATTGTACCATTTATTTATTCACAATAGCTGAAGTTTCAGCGCTTACTCTTTCGTGAGACCCGGTCTGTTTTCCTAAGTCTTCCAGTTATTTGGTAGGGTCCAGCTGCAGTTTTATACAGACAAACAATGACTCAATTTCTCCTTTCACTCCCATTCCTTGCCCATATAAGACGCTGTGCAGCTGATCTCCACCTCCACCAAAGAGCTGGAAGACTTGGAAAGAACGAAACGGCTCTGAAGGGGCAAGTGCGGAAACTTCAGCTAAAGGGTAAATAAAAGGATAAAGCTGTCGGCATTGATTAATCCCTGAGGGATGCGACATGCAGTCGACTTCATTAAGCATCGTTTGGAAGTGATTGAATGCACAGCTGGCCTTCACAATGACTCGCGGTGTCCTAATGATGTATCGAGTCCGTGCTGCTATACTCCCAGACAAGTCTGGTACCAATTTGCCGACCCATGTTTCTGATAGTATCAGCGTCTGTCAGAAGCTTTAGCTATTGTGAACTAGCGAATAAATAGATGCTGCAATAACTACCTTCGTATTTGCTCATCAAAAAAACGGTCAACACTGATGACAATAAATGAGCAGTTCCCTCGAGATATTATACATTATTAAAAACTCAATTACGCCTATTGAATGAATATTCTCTATCTCGATCATTCGAATCCAGATTTTTAGCAAGGCGTGCTATCCACGTTTATAAAGTTCCGGGTCCTACCCACAGTGTAACTAAAGAACATATGCGTGGATCTCCCACATTTCTTCCCTGCATATTCCATGTCTACGTTATACGTGGGTCAGTGCCAGTACTAGCTCTTCAGAGCTACAGGTATTCTTCTTTTCGCGTATTAAATAACTACTTGGAAGAACTGTATGATTACTGCACCCACTGACTTGATTGAAAATAGCTTCTAGATTCAACGGTGCTATTCCTCTGAAGTGTATGATAAAACCACTTTACTGATATTATAGTACCGGATACAAATACATAATACTAAACAATGTTGTGGCTATTGTATCAACAGAAATTTAGAACTATAAAGCTACAGGTGAACCTTTTAACAAAAACAAGTAACAACTTGACGTGTCAAGCAAGGATGTTTTCTGAACCCCGAAATAAATAGTAGATATAATGTGAAATCTAAACATCGGCAGGAATTTTCTCACGTTCCACACTTACTTGCTCTTCTTTGCATTCCCACGTTTCTTTTTATTTTCCGATGTCTTCTTTTTGAACCACTTCTGACGGTGTATTTGACTTTTCTGCCGAATCGGCTTATTTCCTTTCCTTTGTTTCCTCTCCCTAAAAGTAAAGTAGAAACCCACATCGAAGACAAGAATGATGACATCTGAAGTTAAAACCTTACCAACGTTGTCTCCTAGGTAAAGGACCTCGACACTTACTTTTTCACAGGTCCAGCAACAGCAGCCACTTTTTCCTCGATGATCTTTGCCTTCTTGTTCTTTATCCTCTCCCATATTTCTAATATATGCTGCTTTTCTCCTCCCGCTTCATTTGGCATAAACTGAAAAAACAATGCTGTGATCACCGGTGATAAATATGGACTATTAATACTAGATTATCAATGAAAGAATACATACAGACCATGCAGTTTTCATAGAAAACTCGATGTTTAGACCGCTTATCAGTATTATTTAACTGCTATTCATCATGAACGATCACATAACTCTAACAGTAAAAAACGTGACATATTAAAACTTATAACTAAATCTTTTAAATTCTAGATCAAGTCCACTTTCCGGGGTTATCTAGATACGTTCAATTTCCAATTTGTAGCCACTAATAACCTTTTCTGTACTGATCACAAGTCAACTGAACGTTACAAAAAATGAGTTCAGACTTTGAAGAAGGCGAAGTAGCACAACCATCAGCGTTCGAATGTCAAGGGTACGTATTAATAATCTCGCGTCAGCACAACAAGGATAGTGGGTAAGGATTCAATAACCTAATTCCTTAAAATGTCTTAGTAGGTGTCATACAAAGTGTACAGTTGTAAAGATACAAGTTTTAAGGAGTGAACTGCATTTATTTAGAAACTAAATTTTCCATGTGAAAACTGTTGACTTCAAAGACTTGTTAAAGGGCAACTTGAATGTTGTTAACTCTATGTAGGATGTGTGAATTGTATGGATATAGAAATTGTAGATTTTAGATTATAAAATAAATCTTCTGCAGCGCAACGTTTGGAACATTAAAAACAGGCTGAAGTAGTAAAACCTGGTAACCGTGCCGCTTTAAAGAAGTCTATTCAATGATTTGCCACCTGGTCAGAGCGAAAAGCTCTCCGTAGGTATTGAATATTGGTGTTCAAGTAGAGGAATACCCGCACCTATTCACCGCCTTCCTTCCTAAGTTGCAGACCCCCTTCAACAGCAAGAGTCTCTCGGCGCCAAATGGATTCGTCCTAAAGGAGGCTTTTCGCAAATTATTAAGTGTAGAGAAGAGTTTTTGGTGAGCCACGCCATACAAAATGTGTTGCACGAGCTATTGATTGAGCACAAAAAGTGCGGTAAAGAATTTCTGGGTACCTAGATAAACTACTGAGAAGATAATCCATTGGAAGCAATGCACTTGGTTCTCCTTGTCTCCCATGCTTCGCACTCCGGGTATCTCGGAAGTTATGTGCTAACATAGTAATGTAGTTGGTAGCTTAACACAACCACAGAGGGAACTTCGCTTTAATGCGTCAAAGGTATATACAACTTCCATGGGATATTTCTTCAAATTCAAAACATAAGAATTAAAATGCTCAAAGAGTTGGAAAAGAAATTTCAATTTTCAAAGTTCTTAATGAAAGTCCTGAGGCCACAAAACCAATAACAGATTCGATTGAATCCTCTGCTGGGAGAAATTTCGCCTGTTCAATCGTTTTCGTTGTTCGAAATATGACATTTGACACAAAAGAAGTGAAAAAGGTCTCACTGGCTACAGAAAATAAGCATCCAATCTTGACAGAGCAAGAAACGACGGCCCTCGTAGGCATTTAAAGATCTGGAAACTAATAGTTTTCACTGGGATAAATAAAGCTCGATATGAGCTCAGATATCCTCACTTAACGTTGAAGCCTATCCTTTTTTTCCCTTATACGCATCTAGACTGGTACCACTCTCTTGACAAGGACAGAAAAAAGAACGGAGCGTACGATCACTAGTGATTCTCGAAATCAGTTCCGTACTGTGAATGTTTGTAAATCAAGCAGAGGAACTGATCTACGTAACTCTAGTGGACTAGTACTTCAGCTGGTATGAGAAAGTTCGCTTGCCAACTTTAAGATAAAAGATTTCCGTGTGACATTATCTTAAAGGACCTGTTTAAATTCGCTATACAGTCGCTAATTAAATCGCCTCACCTAAGAAAACCAATACATTCGCAGCCTGACGAAGGAAAAAGAACATAAACGCGAAAGAGACGTCCAAGACAAAATATTTCACACAAAAACCCTCATGTTGGAGATAAAATCGAAACGGAGAGGCCACTAAGTACCCAGGCGTCTTAAATACACTTCGTTCTTTCTATTAACAAAACAGCAATCTGAAGGATAAAGTCGAAGTGGACGAGAACATATGTAGTAGTGTGATGTGCATTTGCACACCATCACGAACTTACCGACCAGTTTATAAATGGAGACATAAATTCATTATTAAACTTGAGAATTCTTCTACCATCATACTACGCTGCCAAAACATCGACTAAAATCCATTTTGCAGGGAGACATTTAAATTCCCTCGAAACAAACGGATTTCACAAAACATAGCCTCGCATCTGTTTTTGCTACCACAAGGAAAAACCATATGTTTGCATCATCGCGATACACACCAAAAGCAAAACAAAATGTTATGCTTTGACTTGCCTTTCGCTTCTTTCCGATTTTAACATTCTCCTTCTCTCCCCTAGCAAGGCGTTGGAATTTCCCTGCAGAAGCTGTCGCAGCTTTGGCACGATCCACCGCGAATCGCACATAAAAGATTTGCTTACTTAAACGTTAATTACTAGGTACTTCAACTCCCACACTTCTTTTCGGAACATACTGAACGAATGTAAGTTTCCAAGCAACCACTCAACTCACCTGCTGTTTTGACTTCTCTTCTGGAGAAATCCCCACACCGATGGTAGGATCAACTGATGGTCCTTTCCTCATATTCGTACCCAGCTGACGTGCGATGTTCTTCAAACGTTGTGTTTCATTCTTCGCAATGCGTTCTTTTTTCTTTTCAACACGTTCAGCAAAGTAATCCTTATTGGGATCTAAAGTGTAATACAGTGAAGAAAAATACTTACTTCCTTACTTGGATGGCCCATCTTCACTGGTTGTGCGGGCACCAAAATAATTTACATTTGCTGACTTAGCGCTCGCCACCCTGAGAGTCCCGAGATTAGCATGGCCGAAGCCTTCCTGAGGTCGTAACTACCCCAGGTGGTCGCCATCCATGTGGATCAGAGAGAGATTCGCCACCAAGCAACTAGTTTGACACCAAGACGGTGGTGAGTCCTGGTATTGGTTTACTCTTAGCTGGGTTTCCGGATGGAAACGTCGGACTATTTCACAGCTTGGGAGGCCATATTGGAGGACAAATCTCCGATGGAAATCGCAGCCCGAAACCTAGGAACAGCTCCCACCCACAATGAAGCGGTAAACCGATGGGAAGTGAAGATAGGTAAGACTAATAAAAGAAGATTACTGTTACAACCAACAGTTACCAAAAAGAATAGAAGAAGGAACAGTTTTATTCCAAATGGTTCAAATGAATTTCTCATGCGTGGGCCCAGCTAGTTCTTGAGAATTGGAGGACAAAGAAATCTAAAAACAATCGAAACTAACCTGCACCATCAGGTATTTCAATCAACCAATCTTTAGTGTCATCATTCGCTCTCCTATAACCATATGTCGGCTTCCATTCCTTAGATGCCTCATCAAATACCTAAACAGTACCTGGATTCAGTTCCCCAAACAGTTTTGTCGAATGAAGCTGCATCTTCACTACCTTCCTAAACTTTTTCTTCTTAGTAATACCTTTCTGTGCAGCATACTTCTCCCACTTGGTAGGCTCTTTCTTATCAGGAATCTGAACATGGATATATTGCCAAAGAGGTGAAAGACCGTGTCTGAAAAACGCTACCTTTTTTTCTCTCGGCAGAATAAAGGTCGACTTCGGAAGCTCGGCCATTACTGCTTCATCTGTATGCTTCCTATTCAATTCCCATATTTTATTGAAGAGATACTGAGCATTATTCCGAGCTCGAATTAATAGGTTGTCACTGGAAGTGGACTTCTGAGGTCAAACGCTACCGGCTTTGTTAGACACTATGGCAATGGGAATTATATAAAAGATAGAAAATGACTGAGCTCTCGGCGTTAATCAATTTTTGTGGGATGCGCCATGCACTCGACTTCATCAAGCATCTTTAGAGGTGATTGAGTCATATCTGGTGCAGTGACTCCCTGTGATCTACCAATGTATCGAGAATACTGCTATCCCCCGGACAAGTCTGGTACCAATTTCTCCCGGAGGGATGGAAGGCTTGGTGAGCCTGGGAGTGGTGATCGATCCCATGTGTACTGTAGGGCGCATCCGACTACTGCACCACACACGCCCTACGGCAGCTATATATGAAATAAAATGTCCAGTAAAAGGCTCCAACCTGGCATCACCTTCGATGTTGTCGCGATCTACAATAACAAGATGTCCTAGGTCCACGAAAGGATCAATGAGTTTCACCACTGATGTAGGTTTTATTTCAAAATGAATGTCCATCTATAATGACATTGTTGAGCACTCACAACAATATTCATTTTCACATAATGGTATAAAGATATGAAGGATAACGACAAACGCAACGAATAGAGATATTATGGGATAACGACCTAAATGCTACCAAATTTCGTAAGTGCAGCAGGACGCATATGTAAAGTTCAATGGAAGGGCTGCAAAGGAACAGACCACCCTAGATTTCTCGCCACCACCTATGCATGATCTGTTATGAACCTAATCATCATTAGGTATGTTAAGGTCTGTGGTAAAGCACTCGGACAGAGTGTAGAGTAACATGTTAGGAAAGTGTAGGGTAACGTTCGGAAGTTTTAAAGGTGCTCAGCGTTTCCTTCCCTTTCTCTTTAGAGGAGAACAGAATTATGACAATGACTGACGTTGTACGGGAAGTTCCCACTTATTCGTAGTTGAGAACTTTCACGGAGTTAACTTTCTTCTTCCATGGTGTCCATATTTATTACTGGAAGTTCTTGTTTTGACGGTTCGCAAAAGAAAGTTTTAAAAAAAGGGCGATAGATAGCACATAGTGAAGCTTCCTCCTAACGGTTTACCGCATCATCGTAGCTGTGAGGTGTTCATGGGTGTCGAGTTGCGATGTGTAGTGGGGGATTCATCCTCCGGGAGGGTCTCCCAAGCTGAGGAGTCCGCCGTTTCCATCAGTAAGCCCAGCTAAGAGTGAACTAGTACTAGGATTCAACACCGTCCTGGTATCGAACTAGTTGCATGGTGGCAAATCTCCCTATGATTCACAAGGGCTGCGACTGCCCGTGGTGGTGAAGACCTGGGGCAGACTTTGACCAGGCTGAACTCGGGATTCCAGGTTACAAGGCTTAACCAGCAAGCCTTCGAAAAATTAGAAATTATACTGCGCCCCCATATCCAGCGAGGACGGGCCATTCAAGTACCAAGTATTAACTATAGTGAAGCTTAACCCTAAATTCCAGCAGCAATTGGGAAAAGTGGTGCATATTCGTAAAAGAAAATGAAAAAAAATCCAGAAAGAAAACGGATAACCTTTCGAAACAAGTCAGTTACCAATAGAACGACTGCAATGTTCCCGGTATTAACTACAAAGCAAAGAATGGTCCCCAGACTGAAGTTTTCGGTAGAAGGAAATCTTCAAATTGGTCACATGATAGCTCATATAAAGGATAAAGCTGTCGGTGTTGATCAATCCCTGAGGGATGCGGTAAGCATTCGATTTCATTAAGCATCGTTTGGAGGTGATTGAATGCATATCTGTCCTTCACAATGATTCGCGGTGGCCTACCGATGTATCAAGTCAGTGCTGCTATCCTCCTAGACATTTCTGATACCAATTTACCGACTCCGGAGGAATGGAATATTTGATGGACCATGGGCGCGGGGATCGATTCCACGTGTTGCAGGGCGCCTCGGACCAGTGCGCTACACACGCCCTTAATAGGAAATAGCTCATATACAAAGTAAAATTTGGGCATTTATACCTCAATCATATTACGAGCAGGGGATATCGCAGTGGTAGGTAATGCGTCCATCAGGAAGCAAGGTCATGGTTCGACCTCCTTGCCAACGCTCTCCTGTAATCCCCTTGGTAAAGCCTCAGTTCATCTATTTCCAAGATTTCAGAGAGAATTGACTCGACCACCACTCGACATTCATAAAGAAGTCGAAACAACTCGTAAAATGTTCGAAGACATCGTGGACGATGAGTACGATGAAAGCGAATCGAATGCAGGAAGTAAGTGTCGGGACAGTAGACGAGATGGCGAGTCGTGTAAAGTAATAAATAGAAAGAACCATTTTACGCATGTAAAGCTTGTAAGGACAAAGAAAGAGCTCGGCGTCGATAGCTACTAGGGGGACATGCCATGTGTTCGACTCCATTCGTAGCACTAGAGAACGCATATTTGATCCATATAGTGACTTATGAGGTATACCCATATATCAAGTCTGTTTTTACAATTCTTCCAGACAAGTCCGAGGTCAAGCTTCCGACCATGTAGAGATGACAAGTTAGGTTTGCTCGGAGTTGGACCAGGTGTGTATTGCAGGATACCTCCTAGCCATTGTGCTACATGCATGCACATTACATACGTTATCATTACAAACTTCATGGAGTTCTCCAATCAAGCTTTCGGCAATTGTTAATATATTTATGATTTAAGCAAGAAGTATTTACAAAATATACACCGGCACTGGAAAAAAAACAAGGTATAACAATAGCTTAGTTTCCAGACAATGAAGATACTTTGGTTTTTGCCCTTAGATAATGGCAATAACTTAACCTTAAGCTATGCAAAAGTGATGGATGATTTCTGATAGCACCTATAGTTCAATAATACAGCTGAGAGAAAGGCGAAACGAAGGACTCTCAAGTGTGGTGGTGAACGCGTTAGCCCCCGCGAAGGGTAATAGCGTTTTCGGTCCCCACCGCAGACACCAGCGGTCCGGAGTTTTGCAAATATCTCAGTACCATTATGGTTATATTTCACATAGTGCCCTACTATTAAAAAAGAGTAGGCAGTAAATAAAAAGTGACGAACGATATTGTGCAAAAAGCGCTTAGGTAATTACGCCATCATTATTTAGAAGATAACAAATGCAACACTCAGAGGTGTCCGACGTGCGGACCAAATCCTCGGAAGTAGCGCAACTTATGATATTTATACGGAAATCTAGCACATATTGCACCAGTACCAATCTCTCCAAAATAACCAGGAATGGACACGTTCGGATTCTAGTCAGTTCTTATTACAAAGTAGACATTCTGGTTCACCTATGGCTGGCATATCTCTGCTCCATCTGCAGATTTGAGGTCTATGGAATGAATGGTGAACTGAGCAGGGCCGAACTGCTCGGCTTTGTCGTGGAAGAGTACGACGGCAAATTGGTGAGCTTCATCGTCTAGTTGGAACAGCACACTTCTTTTTATCGGTTTCTCCACACGAGGACCCAAGAGTTCATGACAGGACTCGAAATCGCTGAAAATCGTTTTCGTTAAATGAGTGAATTGGAATGGATACATGCAGTATTGCACATTGTTAGGATTTGCCACAGTGTTCGTGATTACACTGTTTTCTTGACACTTCAACACACTTCGTGTTTACATAGTCTCAAGAAAACAGTTCATTAATATTCAGTGCCGAGGTTGGGAGAAAGTGGGTCCGAAGGTAGTCGTGATTACCAGAAATTCAAAAATAAAAATCAAAGAAGAGTACTTCGCAATATGATCAGTATAAGTTGTAACTTCAAAGTTAGATAGAACAAAGCTCTTGGCGTTGATCAATCTCTGAGGTATCCGGCGACCTCATTAACCATCGTTAGAGGTGATCGAATGAAAATCTGGCTTTTACTATGACTCGCGGTGTCCTACTGATGTATTGAGCCAGTGCTGCTATACTTCCGGACAAGTCTGATACCAATTTGCCAACCCCGGATGGATGGAAGGCTTGGTGAGCTTGAGGAGCGGGGAGCGATCCCACATGTATTGAAGGGCGCCTCCGACCACAGCGCTACACGCGCCCTGCTTCAAAGTAGGTGGTGTTTTAATGTTGCATAATGAGACGAAAACGAAAAGAAATCGAAAAGAGCATAAACTGCAGAAACTTTTAGATCATGAAGTGGGCTACGTCTCGTGTAAGGTTTGCGAATATTTCATACCTATTGAAAACAATACGAAACTCCACATCACTAAGGCATAACATAAATGCTTATTTAGTATTTTAAAATGTGTACCTTGTGCTATCTGGACAGAGTAGAACGCGAGATCCATAAGTGGCTTGAGTGACGGTAATGTTCAGTACAACGGTTGAAATCAGATAGAACCGAGCACTACGGAGTATTGCTCGGTGTTTTCCTTTGCCTATCGTAGCGACTGCTCCTAAGATCACAAAAACGCGATAATAAAAACTTCAGAAGGGATAGTATACTATGCCCTGATTCACTCATCAGATTGCGTTGTGCAACACAATTATCATAAAATACGCTGGTCAGGGCTAATATCTCTCCCAAAGTCATAAAAAAACTAGACAAAATGGAATTTGCGCAAAAATCCTTTGAAACCACCACTCACATTTAGCAAAGCTATTCAGTTAACTCTACCATATTTAACAAAGTTGTCCCAAATGATTTCAATACATCTTCGAGAAATAATTAGTTAAAATGTATTGTCTTCATGAAGACCCAATCATATGGCTATTTTATTTTTTTTTTGTTTTGTTAACTACACTACCCTCCATCAAATGTACCACAATGTTTGGATCGCAGCACTTTCTGCATAGGAATCGTTTTCCCGCATTCACCATTCACGAAGGCCTCATTTCTTGCGAGTGGGCTCGACTGCTGCTTGAGAGTTTTTTCGCGTTCGTCACGAATTCATTGAATGCTCGTCGAGTGGATTAATGAAAAAGGATAAAGCTGTCGGCGTTGATAAATCCCTGAATGATGCGGCACGCACTCGACTTCATTACGCATCGCTGGAGGTGATTTAATGCGTATCTGACCTTTACAATGCCTCTCGGTGTCTGGCTATCTATGTGTCCACCCAGTGCTGCAATCCTCCCAGACTAGTCTGGTACCAATTTGCCACCCCCGGATGGATGAAAGGCTTGGTGAGCCTGGGAAGCGGTGATCGATCCCATGTGTATTGCAAGTCGCCTGTAACCACTGCGTTACAAGCACTCCAGACGAGTCGATGTTCCCGAATTCCTGAAATATTCGTGTTGGGTGTTCGCTAGTTGATTGGAGGAATCCAATTTGCCCCAGACTAGTCCGATACCAATTTCTTGGCCCTGGAAGGACGACAGGATTGGTTGAGCGGGACGACGTCGAACCAACCTGGGTAGTTTAGGCCGTCCGTGTAATGGATGTGATCACTACCACTGCGCTATTTGCTCTCTTGTTTGGTTCTTTAAGATTAGTAACTACATAAAATGGAAGAACGTCAAATCATAATTTGCAATCGCATGAATTTTCCTGTGCTAGTTGCAAAGCAGTTCTGTGTTTAAATTTTAACACAATACAATCATAAATGTCGCCTACGTGTTTTCCAGCAACAAAATTGTTTATAGAACGATAAAAAACAAAATAATTAAACATGTACCGTGAAAATTTAAAAATAGGACTAAAAAATCCTTTAACACTCCAGCACCGCCACTTACCTAGAGGTCCGATGGTCAATGGGACATCATCTTCTTTTTCCAGAACGGACTCGTAATTACAAAGATGTTCTGCAAGATGACTGCTCACAAACATTATCCGCCCAGTGAACTCTATTTCTGCAGGAAACATGCTTACCATTGAAAGGACACAATATTTTGCTACACATCAATTCCTCGGCAGTTTTAAGTGTGCACACGTAACCAGAGGTGGAAATTGAACTAATGACGACCACGGCGTTCTTACGAGAAGCCGCTACGATGGAGAACTGAAACACGTATGTTGACTTTTTATTTACAGCCCATTATGATTTTTCACTGCAAGGTTTGGTGCGAAATGCAACCGATGTGATGCCGAGATTATTTGCAAAACTTAGACCCTAGGCTAGATCGAACTGCGGCTACACTTTCTGCTTAAGTAGTCCAGTGCGTAACACATGAGTCCGCGGAAAGGGTAATCGTGGTTCGGCCTGGCCCTGGGTCCAAGTTTTGCAAAGTTCTCAGCATTATAGTAGGTTAAACCTATGTAACTTAGTTTAGTGAGCATTTCACTGCAAAAGATTAATGTTGCTTTACCATAATGTTTATGTATTTTTAACTGTGAAGCCGATTATACTCTCACATGACAAAAGATATGTAGAGTTTCTATTCAAAAAACAAATTAGTGCTAACGATACCTCAAACGGCTTCTCTGATGACGCCGATATACTCATCTCTCCGGAAGTGTTTGATCCATCCACGCAACGACCAAGTGCACACAGACGAACGAGTCCGTATTCCGATCTAAAAAATGAAACTAGTGAGGATTGATATTAATACCAATATTTATGTAACCAGAGTTGTCTTATGCGATTAGGAGAACCAGTTTGCTGCTACCCATTATATATAGCAGAACACCTCGATGGAAGTCGGATAAAAGATTGCACTTATGCGCATTGTCGTGAAACGAGTAGGAGGAAGCCAACAACAGATGCACTCTCTACACATCTGTGAGCCATAAAGGAAAGGTAAACCCCGTGTTTCGTAAAGTTCCCCACGAATACCATCCAATGCCTACCACTGACCTCAGATATGTTACCGTCACAGTAGCATTGGAAGCACACGGCACTTCTCTCGAACGCAGTGTTGACCTCTTCACACCTTCCAGTACAAATATTGCAACATTTCCTAAAATTTTAGGACTTATACATAGATATTTAAAACAGTGACTCGGAAGTGCCTAAGAGTGCATTAGAACAGTTGGGTTAACCTGTCCCTCATCCCATCACTTAATATCGCCGTGGAAATTTAGTATGCCATTGCAGCGGAAATCGCAAAGGGCAACTTTTTAGGATTCACGACCAATGTTTTATGAGGTAGCAACCTTATCAGCAGTATTTTAACTATATGTTTGGTAAATATGTCAACAAAATTTTTAGGTTCCTTACTTAATTCGCCTACCTTCAAAAACATGAGTGGTCCCATCCTGAAATTAACGCACACAGGGGCAAAATAATTTTTCTCCGATTCATCCTACTATATGATTTGGATGTAAAAACTACTTACCTTTGATACCACTGGGAACGGGGAATTTCTTGCTATTCATTGGTACTACTCCATAAGACACCAGACCATCATCGTTAACCCACTGACTGCAATGGTCTTGTGAGAAATCGCAGCTCAAGTCCAGAGAATACGGTACATTGGGGCCAGGACCTTGTTGTAGCCCAAATAGAGATGCTATCTAAAGGTAAAATGGTATTTTAAGACGATTTAATGTTTTGCAGTTTCTCCCTTGGAGGGATTTCAAGCTCAGGCTTACAGATACAGTATCCTCATACGGATTAAGAATTGTTCACAAAAGGAAGTTCAAAGTGGTCTTACTCATAAACTACTAAAAAAATTTGCTATTGATTAGTTGTTGCCGAACCAATCCTTACACTGCGCATGCACTATGGTTCCACATTTGAGAACATTAACGTTACCAAAAAGCCATAGACATCTTATAAAGTCACTAACTCTGGGGAATAACAGCACACCCATTCGCTGGCGCTCAAGGTGATTTACAGGTACGCTTTAATTTTAACTTGAATTAATAGCATTAAATTAACACCATGTCGTGTGTAGCACAGCACAGCGGTTAGAGACACCCGCAATACACATGGGATCGACCCCGCTCCCCGGGCACGCATTTCATCACTCCGGGGTCAGCAAATTTATACCAAACTTGTCTGGGAGGATAGCAGCAATGGCTCAACACATTGGTAGGCCACTGCGAGTATTGTAAAGGCCAGATATCCATTCAATCACTTCCAGCTTATGAAGTCGAATGCATGGCGCATTCCTCAGGAATTAATTAACGCCGAGAGCTTTTTTTGAACAAGTTATTCTTATGTAACAGTAATGGAGTACTGAAATACCGTTGGAGGATCAATGGTCGTAACAACTGGTGGTGGTTCTTCAGAGCACAGAAGACCTTTCAAGTGGATCTCTGATATTACCACCAAGCCAATCGAAGATTCATCGAATGCAATCATTTCCAAGGTAAACTGAAACATAAAAGCTTGACTTAGGATTTCCAAGTGGAATACGACCTACTGAATTCATGTGGACTACGATTTAGAAAGTATTATGACGTAAACTGGAAATGTAAATGTTTTCGGAAACTTTTACCATCGAGCGTCCAATTCTCCGACATTTAGGAAGATCAGGTCAGAATCCAAAAATTTGGCTATATATGATTAATTATGAAGGGTACGCGTGGCGCACAAGTTGGAGGCATCAATGCGACACACACGTGGAATCGATCCCCGCGCCCATGGCCCACCAAGCCTTCCCTCCGGGGTCGGCAAATTGGTAGCAAATTTGTCTGGGAGGATAGCAGCACTGGCTCGATACATCGATAGGCCACCGCGAGCCTTCAATCACCTCCAAATGATGCTTAATGAAGTCGAACGCATGGCGCATCCCTCAGGGATTGATCAACGCCGAGAGCTTTATCCTTTTATCCTTTATGATCAATTATAATTGATGGTGAGAAATTAGTACCACAAGTTCAATAGCTCCCTTTTTAGACTGTGTTCCTATTTCTTAATGCATATGTTTTTATGGAAAAACGTGTTAACCGTTTTCCTATAACTCGTATATAATGCAGAGATATTTGCAAAACTCCGGACTGCAGGTGTATGCGGTGAGAACGAACGCGCCATTATCCTTTCCGGGGAGTAGCGCACTTCACCACCACACCATCCGGGTCCTTCGTTTTGCCTGTCTCTCAGTTAGTTCTATTGATCTTTTGCCATCACCAATCACCCGTCAACCGGATTGATCTGGGGAGCTCAAATCGGCACTGAACCCAGTTAAGCTGAATGGCGATTTGGGCTCCCCAGATCAATCCCATTGACGGGTGATTGCTGATGGCAAAAGATCAATAGAACTAGCTGAGAGACAGGCAAAACGAAGGACCCGGATGGTGCGGTGGTGAAGTGCGCTACTCCCCGGAAAGAAAACTTGAGATAGAATTGATCTATATAATCGCTTAACGAATTGAAACCAGTAATTGATGATAAGCGAATCGGTAACGTAGTGGCAGCGATCCCGTTCATTATGCTGTCGACCCCATCATCCCAGGCGCGAGGTCGACCTCGCTGTGGGCTCGCCAACCCTCGAAATTGGTTCCATATTGGCATGGTACAAGCTCACTTCCTCTTATCCACGCGAGAACGCTTTACCACATCTATTTCAGCATGTTCCCCACAATGTGATACATGTGATGTCGTGTCATGCAATAAAATATTATTAATAATCGATGGTAATGGTAGAGTTATTAGTCGTTAATACATAGCATATACCCTGAAAGGCTGATTATAGGCGTCCACATCTATTTCAATTGGTCCAGGTGAGTCCTCTTCACTCAAGTAGGCACAACTGAGAGCTACACCTTCGATGTCTACTGCACATACTTCGACTTGCGTACCAGCTTTCAACCAATACCTAAACACAATTTTAATCTTTTTATTTACTACCTATTCTTTTAAGTATTCTATAGACAGGGTATTTTGCGAAATATAACTATTGTAATGCTGAGATATTTGCAAAACTCCGGACCGAAGGTGTCTGCGGTGGGGAACGAACGCGCTATTGTCCTTTCCGGGGAGAAACGCGTTCACCACCACACCATGATTGCTGATTGCAAAAGATCGATAGAACTAGCTGAGAGACAGGGGAAACGAAGGACCCGCATGGTGTGGTGATGAACGCGTTACTCCCCGGAAAGGACAATAGCGCGTTCGTTCCCCACCGCAGACACCTGCGGTCCGGAGTTTTGCAAATATCTCAGTATTACAATACCTAAACAGTTCTATAGTTGGCGATTGAGATCAACAACTGTCACCATTGTCCTTAATTTACTCACTGCCTATTGGTTTTCCATGGCACGTAACTATGTGAAATACAACGACAAGGATGTTGAGAAATGAGCGAAACGTGGAACCTCAGCGGGGCTTCGAACCCATGAGCATCATTACTAATGCTCACGTGCTATCCAACACACCAACCGAGGCCCATGCTTTGCCTTTCTTTCACCCACCTTTTTAAATAAAAGGAAAAAAAGTGAAAACATGGCTGAGAAAAAGAGCAAGCAATGGCTTAAGTTGGTGTAATGGAGAGCATGCATGCCTCGATAAGGGTACACGCCGGTTCGAAACTCATCTGATCTCAGCATCATTATTAGTGTTAGCATTATCAAGTGGAATACGGCACTTTGGTTCTCAATGACCACTGCTAAAAAGCGAGTTTCTACTGCTTCAGATTTCCATCACGCCTTGTTTTACGCAACAGTACGAGGTTAAAAAATAACTAGAAAATACGTTCTTCTATATATGAGCTTAATTCATGAAGTTTTGGCCTTGTAACTTATTAGCCGTCCCTTTTATTTCAACGAATGGAAACTTGAACTTTGCATCGCTTGAGTTAGTCGATGATCATCAGAATTAAAAAGGACAATGAGATTAACAACGAGATTACTGCGTGTTATCCCAAACAGATTATCATGTTTGATAATAATATTATTGACTATTGACATATTAATTGCCATCCATGGCGAACGGACCGCTTTAATATGCCTCTTCAACGCTCAACGGAATGAAAATCTCCAAATGCTGCAGTTACGCCTACCTAGGTCGGGAAGTCAACATGATTAGCGACTTAGTCTTAGAGTCGAACAGGAGAAGGCGAGCGGCTTGGAGAGCTTTGGAAAGCATAAAAGATTCAGTGAGGAGAACAAAGAACAGCCGCCTCCGAGCCTCCACCTTTTAGACTTCACAATTCTTCCTGCCTTTACGTATGTGATCGAAACCTGGTTGCTGCGTAAGCAGGACGAAAGACCACTCAGCATTATAGAGGGTGCAGTCAAAAAGGTGCTAGAAGTATTCGGTATCATGCAAATCAGGGAGAGGATCCGAAGCTCCGACCTCAGTCAATGATAAAAATCAAAGACACCAAATTGTCGAAGATATGATGAGCCGGATATGTAATGCGTACGAACGAAAACCAATGAACAATAGCCGCTATCGGCTGGATTCTTCGGGATGTCTTCAGTTCAAATGCACAGCAGGAAGATCACAGACCTAATGACCACACTTTCCGGTGAGGATCCCAGAAGAATTATATGATCCTCAATGAGTCCTTAGAGCGAGCAGATCCTTCTGCGTTATTCCTGCACACGACAGGGACACTCGGAGAATTTGCTGGCGTCAGCTACACTCCTTCGACGATCTACCAGGCGATAGGTTACACAGGTGAACCGTTACTCAATTGTTAGCCACGAATAATTTGCGTAATTTCGAACTCAACAGACAGGTTCGTAAGTTTTTCAATAGATACTTTTCTATTGAATTTTGGGTCAGTTCATTCTATTATACAAAAAAGAGGCCAACTTCATAGACAGTGTCGTAGTCGTCTGTGTACAAGGGATAAGTTCACTGCGAAGTGTTGCATATCTTCTCGGAGAAAGTGAGTCCACGGCGAGAAACAAAAACGTCGACGTTGGATGCGACTTCTCTAATTCGGATACCTTAAAACAAAGTACATTTAACGCTTAAAAGAAAACAACTGGAATACACGAACAACTCATTCCTCTGACTCATCGAATGTGATCGAATTCTCCTTGTATCAATGAAAGCACTATGGTCTTCTGAGTACACACAACTCTTACAACATACTGTTTTAGTTCTAAATTCGTTTACGGTTTATATTTTTAAAAAGCGTAAATGCTATTTGAAATTGAGCAATTTGAAAAAAAACGTCTCCGGCATGGTCTTCCAAGCTGGAAGGAGTCCGACATTTCCATCAGGAAACCTAGTAAACCAATACCAGGATCGACCACCGTCCTGGTATCGAGGTCGCATGGTGGCAAATCTCCCTCTGATCCACAAGGGCTGCGACGGTCAGTGATGGTGACGACCTGGGGCAGACTTTGGCCAGGCTGACCTTGGGATTCCAGAGAACCACAATGGCTAAACTAGCAAGTCTCTAAAAAAAATGGAGATTATGCTGGGGCACGCACAACTAGTGAGGACGGGCCGTCCAAGTACCCAAGTAAGTAAAAAAAACGTCGATGGTGCATCGCTTATTTGCTGCAGATATGAACACTGAGGGAAGTTTTGCGGACTCCAAACATCGGTATTCCTAGTTGTAGAATAAAGAAAACTTTGGCCATGTTGGATGAGACTGGTGGACTGTCACTTGTTTGAGGTTTCCAGAGTGAATCTGTTTCGCCTATGCATGAGTTACATAGAAACATATGCCATAAATGTTGATAACAGGAAGAAGATGAAAGAAGAATGGAGGAGAAAACAAAGTGTAGGGTTCCTTTTTGGTCTATGGTCTTGCAAAATAACTTTTAAGACGAAGGAAGTGGCACACAGTCGTTACTGGTAGGGGATTCACCCTTATACTTCATTAATCGCGGTAAACGCCCAATTTCTCAAGCTGGTAAGAGCCCAACCTCCATGAACTCGCTCCATCCGTCGACATTGCGTCCAATTCGCCACTCTGACACCGTCGACTCCGCATTACTCCACCTAAAACAGAACTCAGTGGCTGGTAGGTTTCGCAACCACCAATTTCCATAAGCTTTCTAAATATAGGCTACAGAAAAAGGTTTCAACCTGCACTTTGATCGTGGCCGGTCACAGTCCAGTTCAGAGAAGCTTTTAATTAGCGTTGACGACTGTGGTATCAACGGAATCGAGCCAAATATCGATGGGAATGCTGAACTCCAGAGTTAGTAATTACAATCTGCTAGTTAGGATGTGAACTCAGAGACTTTAAAAAAGACCCGATTAGAACACCAGTGATATATACAGCGTTTCCATGACAATACAGCGATTATTGGTAGGGAAGAAAACCGAGGAATCCGCGGAATGATATCGGAGGGAGTTCCTAAGTGGTCAGCTAAGTCAATATCTTCACGTACGAATGATCGCTATAAAACAGAAAGTTATTGTTATGAATGTGACGCTCTTTTTCAGTGACATCGGCCAAATTCCGAAGTTGGGAAAAGTGAGACGTGCCCGTAACCTACGTACCGGTTAGTAGGAAGTCATTCTACAACGGTCCTTTCAAATCTTACTTAGGCTGCAGAAGTGAACTTCCTCGTACCAGCCTAGTTTTGTGGATGAAGAAGCAGTGAATCACTGGCGCGGCTTTCTGTGGCAGAACTGCTAAGAGTTCATGTAGAGTTGATATTTCAGTGGCCAAGATTGTTCAGATGTTTACTGATAGAACGAATGACGTCAAGGTAGTCGTGAATTCGCCAACGGTTGTGTTCGAACTTAAAAGTGTTCTCTAGGGCTTGGTTATCGACTGTGGTCTGAGCGCGCTCGATCTCGAAAAGTCGCGTCATTAAATTCAAAACGCTTAGGTCACTAAAAACATGATGGACTAAGAGTCCACTATTGGTCCGATGCTATTCTCATGCAAGTAGTGGTAGAAACCTTCTGAAATCCTTGTCGATTATTTTAATAGTTAATTCTAGTAATCTAGTAGGGGGGACCAGTAAGGGTAGCGATCAGAGATGCTATGTGATGCACGCGTTATCACTCGTTCGACCTCCTATCGGCCAAGCTAAGCTCGCCGTCCTTCCAACGTTAATAAATTGGTCCCAAACCTGTGTGGGAAGAATTCTCCTAGATCCGCAAAAGCCGGTGACCCGATGACTCCCTATGATCCTATGATAAGAACCTGAGAATGCTCAAACAGAACTATTGCAGAATTCAACGGAGGTTCAACTCCACTGGCATCTAATCACATCCAGAAAGAAGATAACATCCTTAAGCTGCAGTTGAAACCACACGAAAATATGAAGACCTCCATGGATGAAGGATGCAGAAGAGCAAATCAATAGCGTAGGGATCCGTTTGATACTACATGTAGTAAAAAAGAAGTAGTTAAATAAGTAAATGAAGATAGAAGCAGCTTAGTGCACCACAAGCGATCCTTACTAACATTTTAATGAATAAACTTAGAAAGTCTTGCAGGGTATTCCTTACAACTCAATAGATTCGGCTACTTTCAAATTCCCTGAACTAAGCACTAGTTTATATTAATTAAACATGTCATGTTCCAAATGCGATAAAAAAATACATGCCTGACCAATTTCGAATACACATGGTTTTTTTAAAATTATAATTTACTACTAAGGGCGAATAGCACAGTAGTAGTGATGTCCGTAATCGCGAGTGTGATGCTAGTTCGATTCCGCTCGGGGCCAACCATCCCTCTCATCCCTTCGGGGCCGGGAAATTAGTACCGAATTTCTCGGGGAAAAAAATCACTCTCTGCAATCTAATCGGGAACGCTCCAGCCCGGCTATCTCAGGACTTCAGGGAGAATTGCTCAACTAGCATTCTACGACATTCAAGATGAAATGGAAATTCTCAAGCAGCAACCGAAGCCACACGTCAAGTGTTCGAAGACCTTCTTGGACGATGGATGCGAGGAAAAGAATTGGATGTGAGAAGTGCTGAGATCCGCACAGTAGATGTGAAGACGGATCAAATAAAATAAAATAAAATAAAGTAATAAAATGCTAGTAGAAGTTTCCTCCAACATATTGGAAATCAGTTTAGCAAAGCTATAACATAAAACTAAAAGAACTTACGCGATTCGGCACACGTTTCTGCACGATAAGTAATATTTTTGAGCATTACCATACTGCCTACAACATTGTCCTGAAACAGGACTTGAGAACCGTAGTTTTCGCGTAGAACAGTACTGTAGTAATTGTTTACGATGTATGTATAAGTCCTATCCACTGCCCATTACTTTTTTCACGGCAGGATTTTGACTGCAACTTCAGCTTAACTGGTTTCAATGCTGATTTGTGCCCCCCAGATCATTCCCGTTAACGGATGATCGCTGATGTCACTCTTAGACAGGAAAACTACCTAAGAGAAAGGAAGAAGGAGAGCCTCAATGATGCCGTGCATAATACGTGAGGCCGCCGAAACGGTAATCGCTGTTCGCTCTGGCCCAGGATCCAAGTTTTGGAAATATCTCAGCGTCATTGTGACTGTATTGACGATATAATTTATGCCTTTTTATGTATAGGAAAAAGCCTTCAGAAGCATGATTTTCAGTTGCCACAGACTATACTGCAAAAGATAGTGTTAACTCGTTCAATGACTTCTGATGACTTCGATGAATTCGATTTGAATCCGCGTCCACGCGTAGCCAAACCCTCGATCTCTCCAAAGTCGGTGAAGTGATAGCAGACTTCTCTATGAGGATGTAAATACAAACATCAGTAGGCTTCAGTAAGTCACCTCATAAGCAAAAGATGCATTCGATCACGTCTAAGATGCTACGAGTGAGTGGAATATATGGTACACTTCTATAAGATTAGTCACCGCCAATCGCTTTATCCTTTATGCTTCGTAGAATGCTAACACATTCAAAGTCAAAGTTAAAATTTAACAGACTTTGAGGAAAAAAGAGGAGGTTACCTTTATGAAAAAATACAAACCTTGAGATTGAATGCCCGAATAGCTAGTCGGAACGGCACTTTAACTATGGGAATCTGTACTGTGCAGACATCGTTACCCGGTCGAAGAATGTGACAATTAATTCTTGGTCGAAACAGTGTCTAAGAAATCCGAAATATAGCACAGAACCACAAAACTAAAATGAATGACATTTACCACACAGATAGAAAAAAATGCATTTTTCATAGTTTCTTGAAGATCGGAACCTCAATGTCCGAAGTTCAATAGCTAGAAGGAAGAGGGATGACGAAGTAGTTGGTGGTACAGTCCCTCAGGAACCAAGGTCCTGGTTCGTTCTCTCCCAACGATCTTCTCGAAGTCACGTGCGAACGCTTTAGCTCAGCTATCCCCAAGATTGCAAGGAGTATCGATTCGATCAGCATTCTACGACATTCATAAAGAAGACGAAATCCTCACGCATCAGCCGAAACAATACGCGAAATGTTCGAAGACCATTGTGGACGATGAATGCGAGGAAAACGAGTCGAATGCAAGAAGTCTTGGGATCCAAACAGTAGATGTGATGATGGGTCATGTAAATAAATAAACAATTCACGAAGCTGAGTAATTTGGTAGAACTAGTGCGGGGCAGTGGCCCGACTTACTTGTATACGTCTTCTCCTGTGCGTGGCACGAATGACGATTACTTCTATTCTTCCTTGATTGTACAACCAGTAACTAGAAAGAGAATCGTTGGTGCTTCTTCCTCCTCACTAACAAATACTGTCTTGTTACTCATCCTAATAAAATCAGATGACATACAACATGAAAATATTTTCTGTTGCAATTACGCTCTTGCACTGAAACAAAAAGAACAAGTTACACTGTTGTATTGAGACCCGACATTGAAAATTTCGTAGATACTACTTTAAAGCTCTAAAAGCCCTCGGTGTTGATCAATCCCTGAGGGATGCGCCATGCATTCGACTTCATCAAGTATCGCTGGAGGTGATTGAATGCATATCTGGCCATTACAATGACTCGCGGTGACCTACCGATGTATCGAGCCAGTGCTGCTATCCTCCCAGACAAGTCTGGTGCCAATTTGTCGACTCTGGAGGGATGGAAAGCTTGGTGGGCCATGGGCGCTGAGATCAATCCCAAGTGTGTCTCCTACTGCAGCACGCCTCCGACTACTGCGCCACATGCGCCCTAACGCTGGTGCGTTAAGTAGAGCAAAAAACTCTGTGTGGAAAAGTAAACACAGGAAAGGAATGAGTTGATATTTCTTCACCCCGGTCGAACTACCCGCGAACGATGTGGGAAAATCAGCTCACGTTGGGGAAAAGCTGTTGACGACCGTTACCGGTAAGACTGACCGAAAAAAAAATGCGATTCTGTGATTCCAAGGCTTTAGTTCTTCATTTGAAAATCACTATAACTTTGTGATTCACACTAAGCGATAAAATCTAACACGGTTACATTACTAACCCCGTAAGAGGACTTAAGTGCCTTTCTTTTCCTTAAAACTATGCTAATACATTTCACTGCAGCTTTAGTATTGAATGTCTATGAGAGCATGTATTAAGACGGTTGATTGTTCCTAATGTACCGATGATGTTTGCCGATGCCTAACTTAGGCTCGAAGAAGCTTCATTTTCAGTTTTCTTTGGAGCGAAGTGGCTAAGTAATTACAAAACGAACTGAAATTTGAGATTTCCGGGACTTCTTTGACATGCCACAGGAGCGCTAACAATCACGGCACCGTCAGCTACAGATGAGGTGTTTCCAGCCAGCAGAAGATGTGATCCTGAAGAAAAGATCATTTATTTGTCAATTACAACCTCGCTGTGGAAAAGTATTACACTGGTGAAGTTTTCTGATTAAATCAAGAAGCATAAGATATTTCTATCGGCAAAAGCGATACTTCCTAAAGGGCTTCAGCGCTTCCCGATTCCCAAGCCCATGTAGGATTAAATCACACAAATACAGAAGACAAAGAGGAGTGAATGAATGCACAAGGAATTAAACATTAAATAAGGAAGCCGACACGACTGGAGACTCGTTAGATTACCAAGTTTTGTAGATTTCGGTTTCCTCTACAAATACAAACGACAAGAAAGAAAACAAACCCTTAGGTATATCTGCTCTACCAGGTTGAATCTGAACAGGAAGGATCTTGTCGTCAGTTTTCTGCAAACACTTAATATAAACATAATTGCAACATGGCACTATAAGCATGAAAACTAGAAAAGGTGGCCTCTTTTTACGGTCAATGAGGCTTAGAAACTCCAAATTCTGCCTATCCATTCTAATATTATTTGTAACATTCTAGCATTATTAATATCATTATTCTAATATTATTGTACTAAGGGACGCGTGTAGCGCAGTGATCGGAGGCGCCCTGCAACACACACGTGGAGTCGATCCCCGCGATCATCGCTCACCAAGCTTTCCATCACTCCGGGTTAGGCAAACTGGTACCAGACTTATCCGGGAAGATAGCAGCACTAGCTCGATACGTCGGTAGGACACCACGAAGCCAATGTAAAGGGCGGACATGCATTCAATCACCTCCAACGATGCTTAATGAAGTCGAATGCATTGCGCATCCCTTAGGGATTGACCAACGCCGAGAGCTTTATCCTTTATCCTTTTATTAATTGTATTTCGCCAGCGTAGAAATTAGTCTTAATAGAATTTAGAAAGTAGTCTTGCCTTGAAACACTTCTTTTTTGATAACATTTACTACCAGATCGACTCTGTAATATATAAACACAATAGCTAAATAAGTAATTATACACAATCCAGTGCACCTATGCGGGCACACGAAGCGCAGCGGTTGAAGGTGCTGCGAAATACATGCCCTATACCTACTACTGGTTCAACCCTTTCCAGCACAATCAATCCTCTCATTCCTTCGTTATCAGCTAAAAGTACCAGATTTTTCCTTAAGGGTCTTCCACCGCCTCACAAAGCCCAGGTCTTCGAAACGAACTACCACATACAGAAGGAGTTGTCCTTAAACAGGAGATTTCGATATTTCCATACAGATTGCCAGCTAGAAACAAACTTGTGCAAAGAATTATTGCCGATCTGTTAGAGATTTAGTTGTAAAGCGGCAAATCTACTTCCGATTCAAATGAATCGATAACTTCTGCTTCCTAGTAGATTCCTTACACGGACGGTTATATCGGCATTCTAGAAGGAAATTCTACCTGTTCCATTAACAAAATAGTTCCATAGTAATGGTGAAAGCAACTGTCAAACGACCTTCTGAGGTGAGCATATTCAAATAGATGGCAGGGGTCATTCTGTCCATTTGTAAGCTTCATTTTTTGATAAGGTAATGATCATTCTGCAAGAAAAGAAAAAGAAAAGATGCCGACGATCTAACCTTGAAATACCAGAAATCTGATGTGTCAAGGAGACCATCGCTTGGTGCGTTTTTCCACAAACATTCACTTTCAAAGTCACAGTCGAGAGATTCTGATGAAGGAATATACGAGGCGTGTTGTTCAGCATCTAGAATTTACACGATGGGCGAGTTTTTGAAAGGATCTCGCACACACCAAACATCAAATGTGAAAGTAAAACTCACTTCTCTTATTAATAGGCTCATAAAAAAAGCGCATGCGGCGCAGTGGCTGAAGGCGCCACTGCGGCACACACGTAGAACCGATTCGATACCCGCGCCCACGAGCCACCAAGCCTTCCATCCCTCCGGGGTCGGCAAATTGATACCAGACTTGTCTGGGAGGATAGCAGCACTGGCTCGATAGATCGGTAGGCCACCGCGAGTCATTGTAAAGGCCAAATACGCATTCAGTCACCTCCAACGATACATAATGAAGTCGAATACATGGCGCATCCCTCACGAATTGATCAACGCCGAGCTTTATCCTTTACCCTTTAATTGGCTCATGCAATGACAATTTTTTATACCACCAGTCTTCAGATCCACCACGATGGTCTTCCAACTTTTACGTATGGCTTCGGCTGCTGCTCGAAGATTTTCCTATCATCTTGAATGCCGTAGAATGCTGGTCGAGTCGGTTATCATTGGAATGCCGAGATAGCCGGGCTAGAGGATTCCGGTACCAATTTCCCGACCCGGAAGAGATATGGGGGCTGATGAGCAGGGAGCGGATCTGGAATTTGTGTGTATAACCAACATCTTCTCTGTCCACGGTTACTGAAGTTTGTCGGGAATACCACCTGCCTCTAGTCCTAACTTGTGTCGACAACCAAAAAGAGTTTGACAGCGTCCAAACAAAGGTAATTCTATTAGCGCTCGTTGACCGAGGAGTATACTCGTCCTATATAAGGACTCTGTCTGACTGTTATTGGAACTGCGATATGAAAATACAGCATTTTCATCGACCTCCTACCGTACCCATAGGAAAAGGGGTTCGACAGGGCGACACAACATCGCCAAAGCTGTTCAGTGCCGCACTGCAGTGGATAATGAAGTCACTCGATTGGGATGAGAAAGGCATACGTATTGATGGAAAATTCCTATGAAACCTCCATTTTGCCGACGACATTGTCATCTTCTCAAGAAGTACTAGCGAAGCAGAGATGATGATCAACGAGCTCAACGAAGCGGGGAAAAAGATCGGACTTCGCATAAATCGGAAAAAGACCCAGTTCATGAGAAATCAATGGAGCGAAGGCGAAAAAATTGAACTTTATGACTCCCTGATTGCGGAGATCATTTCATACGTATACCTTTGGCGATTACTGGACATAGAAAACAACATGAAGGAGAAACTAGACAGAAGAAGGAGAGCATCTTGGGCCGCATTCGGGCTTCTCAAAGAAGCCACTGACCAGATGAGTGACCAGACAATCCACGATCACCTTTCTGATTTAACGGTCCTCCCGACGCTTTTTTATGCTGTAAAGATGTGGGTTGTTGCTTCACCCACGTCAAATATACTTCGCACTTCTCACACAGCGCTTGAACGATGTCATCTGAAATATAGCCGGCTCTCAGTAACTAGCCGGAATGCCAAAATCTGATCTTCGAAATCTGTCACATCTTCGGGATCCAGGAGAATACACATCGATAGCGGAACACAGGTAGGCCGTTCACATGATGAGGACGGACTACAATTGGGCGAAAAGAACTGTAGAGTGGACTCCACGAGAATGCATACGTCCTATAAGATCCTTTAGGACGACCATCTATACACACGTTGAGCGGACGTGTTCGTAACCAAAGTTACTCGGTTGTACTCGCAGCTGAAGTTGTTATACAGATTATGGTATGAGACTCGCACACGCCACCATGCTCGAATTAAACCACCATCATGGACGACAATTGCGAGATAAAGAAACGAATGGAAAATGTTCTGAGGTCTGCAAAACTCGTGAAGACGAGCCGTCCATGTATCCAAGTAAGTAACCATCTTTCAGTATACTTGAAGGATTTCGTGATCTCAAAGATCGACTTTCTATTAACTTCAGCAGTGATGAAATAATTCACTGTTTTCCTTGATGGGTAAACAGGAGATCGTTATTTCAGTACCTACTCGTTCATAATTGATTATGCCTCGTCGGTTTTGCCTTTTCCGAACTGGAAGAGTCAAACTGACCCCCAATCCACTCAGTCTACACTTCAGTAACCTTAGTAAGAAAAAGTTAATACATAAATTTTTATTCGCATAGTAAACGGCTTCTCTTAAACACTCACTCGCTTTGTTCTTTCTGTTCTCGTTTCGTTCCAAGTCTTCCAGTTAGAACTCATATAACCACCGCTAAATAACCGGAACGCTTACAAAGAATAGAACGGCTATTGTTGAAGAGAAGTTGTTTACCATTCGAATGAAAACGTATGTATCAAGTTTCTTCTGCTTCGGTTAAGAAGATGTTTGATTGACTAAACCGGAAGTGAAGTCCGCTCTTCCAGGCTCTGGAGAAGGCGAAACCGCCGAAATGTCGGCCAGTGTGGGATGCCTCTTCTTGGTAACAACCTCTTGTCTGGTCACCAAAGAAAGAAACAGTGGGTCTTGTGGTCTCCAAAGCTGAAGTTCTCGAAGTCTTCTTCTTTTGCTGTAAGAATTCTCAAACCCTATCTCTTTTTTGGGTCAAAATATGAGTGACTACCTCTGATTCGAAATCCAAAGCTGATATGATTAGACACCTTTTATAACGGAAAGTGCACTCCTACTAGCTTTTATTCATTGATAAGGTTCACAAAGAAATACTTCAAAACCTACCCTTCGACGGTATCTCCCCTCCATTATCTGGTTGTATACCAAGATAGAGATCCAAATAACGTAGCTCTTTCTCAAATCGAGGATGGCAAGCTTCCAGAATAGGAATTATAGTTAGTAATACCAAGAGGTTATAAAACAAGAACATCGCCAAGGGTTGGCAACACAGTTACTGCTTGTATAGGTCGATGAAGGACGCTACAAGTACTACTTCAAAAGGCAAAAATCATCACTAGGTGTAGAGTAGGACCAGTGTTATGGAAAAAGGACAAAACACTTGTCATAAATATTTGTGACAACTATCTATTATGCTTTAATGAGATCATTAGAAGGCATTTGTTAACGAGAGTGATAATGATGGGTTCAAGTATGGAAAATGAGATTCGGACGAATTGAAACGGGTTCTCTCGGACTTTTTCCTCACTAAACTGGCTACGAGAAGCTTCTCCACCCGTCCACAATTTTTCGATCGTGGATAACGGAATCTGCCTTCAAACAAGCAACCCGAGAAACCCGACTGTCCATCAGCGAATAAGCACCGAAAACCTGTTTGCAGATGTCGCGTGAGAGAAACCAAGAAATAGTAGATGTACCAAGGAAAGGGTCAAAGTCGTCAGAAGCCAACAATTTGGCACGAACCTCAGCTCAGTACTTCTTGCGAAACGTAGTATCTACTTGAAGTATTCTATCATGAGCCAAGGATCCTGCTTAACTTGACGTTCTCAACCAATACTCGAATCTTTGCGAACAAGCGTGACGATGCGATATGACAAATGATGTTTTATTATAAAAATTTTGACAGAATGAAAAAAAAGGTTCAAAAGAAGACCAGTGAGCTGGAAAATAAATCTATGCATACAATGCGAACAAATGTGACACAAACATTGTCGATAAACACACTGCTACCGATCAATATGCACAGAATACATTACGTACACTAGACAAAAAACCTTAGTACGATGTATACACTTCGACGAAAACGCTATCATTTCTATCAATTGAAAAGCTTGTGTAGGACCAGCTCTCATATGGAACACTCTTGAAAGGAATGCGTAGTGAAACTCAGATCAAACAGCACGACTAAAACAACTAAAGGATATAAAGACGATGAAGTTTAAGTCAAAAAATGACTTGGAACTCGTTCCATGTCTATGCTTATTCTTTACATTGACTTCTTAGCTTCAGCCCGCTGCATACATTTCGTGAGTCGAGCACGTTGCAGTTTGTAAAGAACGACATCGTTGTCGACATCCAGTCCACGATGCCTTGTATAGCCATCAGCTGCGTGACTTTGTGCGTACGAAGTAGTATCTATCATTTGACGAGCTAAATTTGAAAAGAATAGCTCGAACGAAGATCGAAAATGCTCTAGATGTATGAAGAACTATTATAGCACGAGAACGAAAACATAACTGACTACAATCATAATGATGCAGAGATATTTGCAAAAGCTTAGACCCGAAGCTAGATCGACCCCGCGATTATCCTTTCCGGGGATAGTTTTGCAAATATCTCAGCCTCATTGTGGTTGCATTTAACGTAACATCGGGCCGTGAAAGAAATATTGGGTAATGTGTAAAAGTTGTACATTACTGACTACTTCCAATAAAATATCAAAATGAGGTACAATTTTGGTAAAGAAAAAACGTTATGAAGAGTTTGTCACAGCCCTTTATCTCGGTTATTCTCTGTCCTCTTTAAAGTGATGGTGTAACACAACTTGTTTACGTTAGTTCACTTCCAGGCGGCGCGTATGGCGCAGTGGTCGAAAGCCCCCTGCATTACATTTGTGGTCGATCCACGCACCCTAGGTTCACCAAGCCCTCCATCCCTTCGGGGTCAGCAAAGTAGTACCAGACTTGTCTGGAAGGATAGCAGCACTGGTTCGACATATCGGCAGGCTACTGCGAGTCACTGTAAAGGCCAGATATGCATTCAATCACCCACAACGATGCTTAATGAAGTAGAATGCATGGCACATCCCTCAGCGACAGATCAACGCTGGAAGCTTTATCCTTCTATCCTTTTAGTTTACTTCTAACTCAAATACTGACTGTTGTAAACTCAATTTTTAGAGCCACTTAGACCTAGTTTCTCACCGGCAGTTAGAATGCGCTCATCGTCGGTTTTCTTCAACTTTAGCACGGGTACAAAGTCGTGTAGCTGGTCGATTTCTTGAAATGTTCCTATCATTGTGTTCAGACGATGGATGAGCATACCTGAAATAAATATTCAGGAAGGGAAGTGATTTAGAAAAGAAGGCTACTTCAGTTATCATTAAGAGTATTAAAACCTAACCAGCACTCTGAACGATGAGTATTCCAAATAAGAGGACGACGATTCCCATTCCGAGCGGATCAATTTTCAGTGGATCTTTCGTCTCTTCAAACTGACCAGTTATCTCATTCATTTTTGTCCACTTGAAACCATCTACAAATTTGACTATTCTTCCTGGTTTTTGAAATGCTGATTTAAAAAAGACTTAATAAAAGTATTAAAACAAACGGTACGGTGTCCAGTGAATACTGAGCACATTTTTGTGTTTCTGGATAAGATAGATTGCTAAGACAAGGAGAGCGTTCACAAAAATGATAGCAAACGCGATACTGTTCCGTAAAGAGATCAAGCCTTCAGCTATGGCACTCTGTTGCTGAGGAGTCGATTCAATTGGCTAAAAATTTCATTCTTTTGAAAAATTGGGTGGAAAAATAACTCGGCCAAAAGGATACCACAAGATGACCTTTAGATAGGTGTGGATGAGCTGAGTCCAAAACTCCTCCTCTGCTCCCTTAAGACGTCCACGTTCGCAGATCTAAGCAACTGCATGATTATAATGAGGTCCGTGTACTAATTTTCTAAACAGAACTGAATGCGAAGAAAAATACGACGAATGAAAAACTTGTTATAACTTCTGAATTTCAAGAAAAGTCCAAATGAACGCTCAAACACTTAAAGACATTAGTGTTATTTGGACACTTGGATGGCTCGTCTTCACTGGTTATGCGAACCCTAGCATAATTTCCACTTTTTCGGAGTTTTGCTGGTTCAGTCACTGTGGTTCCCTGGAATACGAGGTCGGCCTGGTCGAAGTCTGTCCCAGGTCGTCACCACCACAGGCCGTGGCGGCCTTTGTGGATCAGTGGAAATTTGCCACTATGCGAGCTTGATATCAGGATAGTGGTGAATCCTGGTATTAGTCTACCCTTAGTTGGGTTCCCTTATGGAAACCCCGAATTCCTTCTCAGCTTGGGAGGTCCTGCTCGGGGATGAATCCCCACGCTCTAAATCGCACTCCGACACCCAGGAACACCTCCCAACCACGTGAAGGCTGTAAGCCGTTAGATGGAAAGATATTAGTATTCGCGCACCCAATGTTAGAGAAAGTGTTGAACTAGGAAGGAACTAGCCCAACTATATAAAAAGGAGTGGACCTGTAAGTAGTCGGTGTCCATCCATATATAATTATCAGTCGCAATGTTTGATGCTGATTCCACTACTGGTCGACGAATTTCGACTACCTGATATTTTAATGAGATCGTTTGCAAGAAATAATAAACTATGATGTTCAAGAAGGGTAAGATGCTCACATCACTGGTACCTGCCGCGTCGTCCACTTCTTTAGCAACCCTCATTAGCTGGTCTTTCGCTTTTTGATCATCTTGGCCAGATTTCTAGATTGAAAGAAAAGACTTGTTGATTCGACCATTGATAAATAAAGATGGTAAAGGGATATAGAACTTAAATTCCTTCAGTACCCATGGGAAGCACCTAAAGCGACTACAGTCCCCTCACGAGTTCACTGAGTTCAATCTTTGACAGTTACGCAACCACATTCATGATGCACTTTCAAAATCATGCGACTGTGAACGTAGAAATGTTCCACACAAACACTTGCTGAGGCCAGCCCATGTAGGCCACTCCATTGTTCCCATTTTTAAACCAGTGTTTGGTTTGACATTCCCTGCCGATTCACCTAATTAGCCACCCTCAAAAAGGCGAAGGCTTTATTGACGTTATATGAGTTTCGAATCAGAGACCGGGCATGCTCGGATTGTGCTCCACTGCGCTAAGCTGCCCACCGCCGAAAAATACTAACATTGAAATAAAGCATAAAAATAACCTGCCTATAGAGAGATACAAAAAAGGTCATCTATCAGCTACAAACGGATTTTCTGCCCATTGAGTTAACGTACGACAAAACCTACGTATTCGGTACCTTCACTACTCGACTTTGTCGTAGTGTTATCTGACACGGGCACAATCTACAGCATCACAGATGGATCTGTTTCATCAACAAACCTTAGTTATCTTTATCTAATTTAAGAAGTAGCTCTAGATGACAACACTGTCACTCACCCGTAATTCACTTATAGACCTCTCCATACACACTAGCTTCCTTTCTATAAGTTGCATAGCCTCGTCGGGTCTGGCCCTAAACGTTGGGCAAAGCGTAGACCATGGACCTTCGCCGATGCGACGTAACCATCGTTCGACGGTAGACATCGTCTCGACCTTGGAAGCTATTTATTAATCTCTAATTTCAAATTAAATTGACAGGAATATCAAAATAACTTGGGAGCACAAGAAGTGCTTCACAATAATACCTTTCCCGTTGCCTTCGCCACAGCTTCGCGTGTACCCCAATTAATGACATTCAAGTTAATAAGCGAATAAAAGGTCAGAAACACGTAGGTGGATGGAATCATGAGAAAGAACACGATACCTGGAAGGGATATCTATGACACTATAGAAGATTTACCCAAGTAGAATTTCAGTGAGGAATACCGTATATGATATTCGTAAACTCCTTAGGGTGAAGACAGGCGGCGACGAAAAATATCAAAACCATTGAAACAATGAACATGGACGCTGGGGAGACAACAGCTTAAAAAGAAATATGTGAATTGACAGATTATAGCCGTACTTGGATATTTACTTGGATACTTGGATGACCCGTCCTCACTGGCTGTGGCTCCAGCATAAACTCTAATTTTTCAGAGTTTTGATGGTTTAGCCACTGTTTCCCTGGAGTCCCGAGGTCAGCCTATGCAAAGTCTGCTCCAGGTCGTCAGCACCATAGACACTCGCCGTTCTTGTTGATGAGAATGATATTTTCCACCATGCCAATAGTTCGATACCAGGACGGTGGTGGATTCTGGTATTGGTTTACTCTTAAGCGGGCTTTCAGGTGGAAACGCCGGACTCCTCAGCTTAGGAGTCTCTGCTGAGGGGATGAATCCCTCACTGTGCATCACACTCCGACACCCAGGAACACCTCCCAGCCACAATTAAGTGGTAAACCATTGGGATGCACAACCGTATCATAAAACTAGGTTTGCTAATAGATTAAAGTAGATGAAATTAGAAACAAACTTTCAAGAACTATCTGGGACAATGTAGCAATCAGAACAGCCAACATCACAAATGCGTACGCGACGGACATTAGCTGGAAAATAGATCATTGGTGGAACTACTGAGGAAGAAAAGAACTGTGAATTGATGCCTTAAATAAATACCTTAGCGTGAAGCAGTTGCACGTTAGACTCAGTTGTAAAGCAAACAACAATGAATAGACTGACAGGGATACCGTTGTAAATCATCACTTTAGTGGAATCAACACCAAATGCTGACACCTAAAGACAGACTCTACCTCCTTGTTACTTTAAAATCTAATTTAAACTTTAGAAAAACTACAAACAGTAAGCCACTACTAAGCATAGTTCTATATGATTCTGTAAAACCAGTTTAAGATTTTTTAAAAAGTACATATCAGTAGAACTCAAATGCAAGAAAATCGCTGGCCTCTCAGCTATGTTTACAAAATATAGCGTCCGCCCATGTTCTATAAATGGAAATATTTCGATTTTGAAACAGCTTGTGAATTTACTGAATTCAATTTTCATCAAATAAGTAAAGGATCGATGAAATGGGGCTGAGATAGCGCAGTGGCACCATCTATTAGTAAGCAAAAACCGTACTTCGATCTCAGCCCCATCGCTCTCCTCAATTTCACGTGGGAACGCCTTCGCCCTGCTATCTTCAGAATTGCAAGATTTGACTTCTGGACCTGCATTCTACGACAATCATAAGGCAAACAAAATCTTCAAGCAAAAGCTGAAACATCATTCGAAACTTTCGAGGACCGCTGTGAACGGCGGTTGCTAGGAAAACGAAACAAATTCAAGAAGTGCTGGGATCCGCACGGTAGAAGTGATGACAGGTCATGTAGGAAAAGATTGCAAATTTACAGCCGATCCTTTTTGTTATGCTACACTAAAGTTTGGTTAAGAACTTTGCCTTGTGAAGATAAAAGTCTGCGAACCGACCTCACAAGAACGCATTCGGTTTCAGATACGATATCTTCGTGGAAAAGGAGCTCGTTTGCACAAATGTCCACCTGATTTAAATATACAGCAGTGCGAATAGAAATGTGGCTTTAGTTGGCGCAGACTATGATTTAAATAACCAATGACTTTTATCTTATAGTAGACTGATTGTGATGCATCTCTTTATCCGGTGCACAAACATCGTTGAGATCTTCTTATAAAAATAGGCCCTAAAGACTTACCAGCTTGAGCTCTATCAAATATATCAATATGGAAAGAAGCCCCACAAACCCTCAATTTCAAGCCGAACTCACGATAACCTGAGTGCCTCTATGGACGATCGCTTCAAGACAATTAAACGAAGGGGAGATGTGGTTGAAAACACATAGTGTGAAAACGAGACTTTCAACCATATTTCTATTATTTTATTTTATTTTACATAACCTGTCACCACATTCACTTTGCAGATCACTGCACTTCTCGTATTCGATTAGTTTTCCTCTCATTCATCGTCCACAATGCTCTTCGAGCATTTCCCCGCCGTGTCGGCTGCTGCTTAGAAATTTCGCCTTCTTTATGGACGTCGTAGAATGTTGGTCGAGTCAATTCTCCTTGCAATCTCAGAGATAGCCGAACTAAGGGAATCCCAAGTGGAATGGAGAAGAGTGCTGGCGCGGGGAGCGAAATGGCACCTTTGCTTTCCGATCTACAGAATCACTAACTGCTCCGCTATACCCGCTTCAAAACTAACAGATAGGTACTAATATTGAATTTGAGTTACGTAAACATAACTCACATGTCGAAGAATGGGTCATGCTTTTGATAGTTCTTCTACGACACACAAAATTTCTCAAAAAAAATTCTTTTCCGAAGAGGCATTTCCGTATAAAGGATAAAGGACAAATCTCTCGGCGTTGATCAATTCCTGAGGAATGCGCCATGCATTCGATTTCATTAAGCATCGTTTTCAGGTGAATGAATGCATAAATGGCCTTTACAATGGCTCGAGCTGGCCTACCGATGTATTGAGCCAGTGCGGCTATCCACCCAGACAAGCCTGGTACCAATTTTCCGACCCCAGAGGGATGGAAGGCTTGATGGGCCATGGGCACAGGGAACGATTCTACGTGTGTTGCAGGGCGTCTCCTACCACTGCGCCACACGCGCCTCTTGTTGCATGTATTTGTACTGCCGTATAGTAGGTGAGAATTCAGTGAAACAAGAAATCGTGATGGATCTTACTTGTGCAAATACGAGCATAGCGAAGATGATGGCTGGAGCCAGCATTGAAAAGAAGACTACCATAAACTGATAGGCTATGTATGACATGGATATTGAATGATTGTTAGCGGAAGCACGCTGAAACTATCACATTTGAGTTGAAATGAGTAAACATCAAGATTCAACAACATTGATAACGAAAATGCTGAAGTGAAAATATAGTTATACTTGGTGTCACTTAAACACTAGGCGACCGATGACACCGACGTTCGACTTATTCATGGTCCTTGAACAGTCAATCATTTTTTCATTTATACCTTCATTTTTTAATTCGGATTTAAAATCGAATCCGCATCAACTAGCAAGAAAGCCCATCGCAGGAAGCATTGTCGAAAAGATACTTAGCTCAGATCCACATCGTAGTGAAGAGCTGGAAACACCCCTACAAGGTTAACTCAGAACTCCAGGGAAGATCAAATTGCCCAACTAGCAATAGAACATCCTCAGTACACAACACCTCGGGTTACGCATAACGCAACTGGAATGGGGTCGGACAAGCATACACACGACACCATGGAGATTGTTTCTTATTCTGCACATATTGCACCAGAACATTCTCCACAGGCACCGATCTTCACCCCGTTCATAATTAAATTCCATATGATCACACTACAAGAAACAAAAATCAGAAAGACCGACATAGGACAACCAAACAACGGGATGCTTGTTATCTGCTGAGAATAGGTCGAGTGGCGAAATGTCAGTGGCATAGGTTTTGCCGTCCGCTCGTCTGTTGTCCATCTAGTCAACTCCAAGAGGCTCTTTTCACTCGCACAGCCGCCATCTGTCTTCAATCAACGCGTAACAAGAAGACCAGCATCATCAATTGCTACTCACCGAGCTATGCAGCTGATGAGTACGAACCAGATACGTTCTACTATCAGTCGGAGGTAGTTAGCTATCCACAACGTACTTTTATAGATACTTTGTAAGAGACTTCAATGCCAGAATAGGAAAGACCAGCGAGTGTAAATACAGGATCGGAAAATTAGGATTAGGGAAGCGAAATGAATGTAAACAATCTTGAAGACTTCTTGTATGCTGCATGCTTTTTCCAGCGGAGTTCGTTTTTCCAGAAGAAAGAAAGTCGCTGCTAAACAGAATGGTCAGGTAACATTTCGAAACCGACCTTTCCTAAACCTTGGTGTGACTAATCAATATGTATTCTTTCTTGATAAGCTTGCAAGAGGTTGATAAATATATTTATTTTCGGCTAACGTTTCGACGTCTTCGTCTTCCTCAGAGCCGGTGATCCGAGTCGATGGTCCATGATTGTTGTTCGCCTCGACGTTGCGTCTTCGCCTTTGTGTCGAGCCAGATCTTCCTTAGTGAGCCATCTTCTCGAATGAGGCATCTTCACTCAGTGATGCCCTTTTATACACGATGCTGATGGTGGATATATAATGACAATGTCCGGTGGTAACAACTTGTATTTCTTCCGGACATACATCATTGCGCACATCGTGCAGAGGTCGGTGTATTATCAGCTAGCACAAAGCGTAGTAATATTTCCTTTCAGGGAAAGTCGGTTTTGAAATATTACTACGCTTTGTGCAAGCTGATAAAACACCGACCTCTGCACGATGTGCGCAATGATGTATGTCCGGAAGAAATACAAGTTGTTACCACCGGACATTGTCATTATATATCCACCACCAGCATCGTGTATAAAAGGGCATCACTGAGTGAGGACGCCTCATTCGAGATGGCTCACTGAAGAAGACCTGACTCGACACGAAGGCGAAGACGCAACGTCGAGGCGAACAGCAAGCATGGACCATCGACTCGGATCACCGGCTCTGAGGAAGACGAAGACGTCGAAACGTTAGCCGAAAATAAATATATTTATCAACCTCGTGCAAGCTTATCAAGAAAGAATACATATTGATTGGTCAGGTAACAGTAAGATACATGCGTAAGTCGACCATATCTTTACTAACAGCAGATGGTGCCTACATCAAGTACATTGATGGTCCCATCATTCTGTGCTGGGTCCGAACGCCGAAACTGCCTTAGCTCCTCAACGAAGAAGATCGGATCATATCTCCATTAACACTAAGTAGTTGTTCGAAAAGCGAGGGAAACTGAAGCTTGATCCTACAATACATTTAACACGGCTGGTAATAAGTGGCAGCTATTGAAGAGCTTTGTAGAAAGATCTACATTGGCACAGGCAGAAGAAACTGTTAGAAGCAGCACAAAAAAGAATTAGTCTGAAGAAATGCCGTCACAACTTGTGTGAGTATGATGTTCCGCTTTCAGACCCGATCAACAAAGATAGGATCACTACAATTCCTCGCAATGGTATGGAATTCATAAAGGAAACGTGAATTAATGGGAAAATTCCTATCAGATCGTCGTTTCGCCGAAGACATTGTCATCTACCTTTTTAATAAGCACTAAAGAAACAGAAACGATATTCAATGAGCAACGAAGCGGGAAAAAAGATCGGACTACGAATAAATCGGAAGAAGATTCAGTTCACGAAAAATCCATGGTGCTAAAGCGAGCAGATCAAACTGTATGGTTCTCTTAGTAGAGACCATTCCATACGTGCACGGTGGATGTGCAATGAATGTGGAGAACAATATGAAGATGAAACTAGGCAGAAGAAGGAGAGCAGCATAGGCCACATTCATGCCTCTCAAAGAAGTCACAGCCCAACTAAAGAACCCGAAAACCTGAGCTCACCTTTTCTATTCAATAGCCGCCCAGCACTCTGATACGCAGCAGAAATGACCGATACTTCAACCATGTTAAGAATACTGCACGAACCTTCGATCTTTAAAATCTATCCCATCCTCGAGACTGGACATCGATAACGGAACATAGATGGGTCGGTTACATAATGAGAACAGACGACAGATGGACGAAAAGAACTGTAAGATGACAACCTACACGTTGGGTGGACGTGTTGGTAACCAAAGTCAATCACCTGTACTCACAGCTGCAGTTGTTCTACAGATTATGACATAAGACTCGCACCCGTTCCCATGCTCAAATCAAACCATCACCAGAGGCGACGATTGTGAGGCAAAGAAACAAATGAAAAATGTGTTGAGGACCGCAAAACTCGTGAAGACGAACCGTCCAAATATGCAAGCAAGTAGGTAAACATTAGAAACACTAAGTCTTTCGATCTTCTGTTGTCTTAAGGAGATAAATGCTAATCAAAGATAATGTGACTTCAATAAAGAGAAATTTCCCAGTACCCTTGAGAAACCACATTTAATAACCCACTACTTCTCTATGAACACATATGAGGTGGTTTTTATATTATTTGCCAGCAACAACTGACGTTTCTTCGGATTGCTCCTTCTTTAAAGCCTTGAAAGACCACATTGCCTGCAATCTAGCCAACCAAATGCCTCCATAACCCCAAAAGAAAAACCCCATACCTAAATTCCAATCGCATTGGAAACTATTTCTTCAGAAACAAAACCTAGATTAGAAAATCTGGATTTCAACTGCACTGGAAGCAAAACCGCTTTTCCAGACATTGACCATTCCATTCCCTACGAGTCTTGCACCTTGAGACCAGCCGTATAGAAGTCAAATGGATAGGTAATACGCCCTTTTTGCAGCGAAATATTTAATATTTAAACGGTATTTACTTACCGACAGTAACAGTAAACGGTATTCACCTTGTAATCAGCTAGCAAATCAATGGTATTTGCGATTGATGAAGGTGTCCAACGGCGTCTTTGATTGAAAAACTCTTCAAATCCCTCAGGTGCATATGTCTCCGCATCAGATGCCGCAACGTACTCAATACGATAACCCTGGACCAATATACGATTTTAAAAGATATTAATAAGAAAATAGTCGAGATAGTAGACAACATGTCGTATAATTTACCTGTTTTAACATAAGCGTACTCAGCCAACGATCTTCCCCTTGATCATATTGGACAAAGTGACGAGGCTCTTGGGCAGTTTTTGTATACCTGAAAAATCATCTGCGGTAGTTCTAGATAGTCTGGATTTTCGGGTTAAATTTCAGAAAAGATTGGCGAACTTGTGCATTATATTGTCGTCCATGAGGGCAGAAGCACGAAAGAGCGAGAAGCATCCAGGTGCACACAGAACGCACCCAAACACATGCTCAGCTGCTTTTTGAAACCAGTGACCAATGGCGTACTCAAACTTCTGGTACCATACCATCAGACCTGAAACATCGGGTTTTAAACCTGTCAGGAATCCGAGCACTGAAATAATCCGGACTTTTAACATCTCCTAGATAAGTTTTTATCAGAATTTGCTAAATAATTTCGAAACAAGTAGGTTTTACCACCTGATCCAATTGGATGAATACGCCCGCAAGCACATCCAATGTTACTTTTTGTTTTCATACGATTCATAAGCCGCATGACTGCCTGAAAAAGAAGTTCTTATTGAAGAGTAAATCGAGAAATATTGCATATATTACATTATTTTTATTTCACAAGAATACTTCTCTGTAAAATATTATTACATCTTACTGTCCTCTAAATGTCTTTAGTTATACAATATTTACTTGGATACCTGGATAGCCGATCTCCAGTGGTTGTGCGAGCCCCAGCACAATTTCCTTTTTTTCGGAGTTTTGCTGGTTTAGCCATTGTGTTTCTCTGGAGTCCCGAGTTCAGCCTAGCCATAGTCTTCCCCACGTCCTCACCACCACAGGCAGTCGCCATCCATGTGGATCAGAGAAAGATTTGCACTAGTTTGATACCAGGACGGTGGTGGATCCTGGTATCGGTTTACTCTTAGCTGGACTTCCTGATGGAAACGCCGGACTCCTCAGCTTGGGAGATACTGCGAGGAGGATGAATTCCCCCACTGCAGATCGGCAGCTTGACATTCGTGAACACCACTCAGCCATAGTAAGGCGGTAAGTCGTTGAGAGGTAATATTTACATTTGAATAGTAGCAAACAACCAAACAACCCTAGGCAACCCTAATTAGTAAATCATAACCTCTGGTTGAAACTTGGAATCACCATCAATTGCTAATACGAATGTGTTATCCGCCATCTGTTGACGATCTTCAATACTTAATGGCGAATCCATTATGCGATGTCCAAGAAGATAGTACATGTACATCACCTGAATGCGTAAGGCACACTGAAAAAACTTTATATCCCTGAGGGATAATTCTCTACCTTAGTCGATAATGATGGATTTTCCCAGCAAAGCTATTTTTACCTGACTCCACCTTTTCTTATGTCGAATCAACTTTTTGTCTTTGAGATGTACAAATAGCAATGTGCCGGCTGGCAATTTTACGACCAATCTACCACCATACGGCGTGTTCAGCAGGATTCTCGACATCCTCGACCCCGGTTCATCGGCATATCCTCTGAAAAGAGCATATGTGTGAAGAAACCAAAATTCGTGTCCCCACTGTCACATTTACCCAATAAGTCCACTAAGTGTTTCAAAGAAAGTGCGAAAGAAATCGTTCGGCACTCGTTTTGTGACGCCACGCTCGGTTTGATCTTCCCACGAATCGTCGAAGAATATGTGAGCTACAAGAAATTCATTTCACACTGAACTGGGAACGCTCAATCATCGAGTTATAGCTATCGGTTTCTTGAAGAAAAACTCAATTAGAAAAGAACAAGGAGTGGCCGAATCAGTTAATGAAAGGAGGCTCGCCGCAAACACTTAGAGTTTTTTGGTAAACAAAGTAGTCTATAAAGTACGGTGCAGTTTTTCATCTAAAATGTACCTTCAAGTCGAAATCGTAGTTGATCAGCTTGTTTGGTGCTCAATCGCCGTGCATGTTCTTCATCCAACCTAATGTTACAACGATTAATGTGGACAATCAGGTATTTATAGTTGTTATCCATAAGCTTTGTCAGAGCGCAGTGGTCGGAGGCTCTCTGAAATACATACGGGATCGATCTGGGCGCCCCAGGGTCGCGAAACCCTCCATCTTGCCAAATTGGTGCCAGATTTGTCTGGAAAGATAGTAGTACCGGCTCGACACATCGGCAGGTCACTGCGAGTCATTGTAAAGGCCAGATACGCATTCAATCATTTCCGACGATGCTTAATGAAGTAGAGTGCAAGGCGCATCTCTCAGGGATTGATCAACATCGAGAGCTTAATCCTTTTTTTTATCCACAGGGTTCATTTCATAACCCATTTGAATTACATTCCTGGGAAACTTTTCAATTTTCAATAAAGAAAGAAAAGTGGCAAAACCCATATGAATTAACAAGCTGTGGATAAATTTAAAAAGTAGATTTACGACTAGTGGACTTACTTTAAGATGCTCTGCAACATTTGAGCCATTTCCGTAGCCGTCTCGTGCCACATAGTTGCACAAATGTATAGCGTTAGTGTTCGATCAACCTAGAAGGACAATGGTGACCTTTATTATAGATATTTGCAGCGCAGTGAACTTCTGAAGAACCACCTCATCATTTCGTACTCGCAGTTCATCGTCAGGATCGCCGTGGTCATCATCAAGATCTAACGTCGGTTTCTGATTAAAATAATAAGAAGGATACAGTGCAAATAATCAGGAAAAGATTCTCTAAACCAGTATACCGATTTATTGAGTGAATTGTAGAAGACGACTAGAGACTGTTCTATGCTGAATCCATTGTACACCGATGGCATGGACTCAACACTGTAATAAAGTGGAACCATAAAAGGATTTATAAAAGTTGTAGAAAGTAAAAAGAATAAAGGAATTTTACCCACATCTCGTCGCAATTGTCGTAAGAGTTCTGTTTTGCAAAATTATACCCTCGATATGCACCTATCAGAAGCCATACCATACAAATGTACCAGTCGTTGAATGGTAGTGTCGTTCCCCATCGGTCGCAACTCCACCGAAGGCCCACTCTCGAAAGAAACTTTAACGACCACTATTAGTTTACATTCTTTTTGAACAAACACGATGTGTTATTTTATTTCCTTATTAGGATGAAGCCAACATTGCGGTGGATTTCGCCTTCCATAGAGCCTCTAAAGGACAAGGTGACTGCAATCTAGCCAGCAAAACACCTTCATCACCAACCAGAGAAGATGGAAGAAAGAAAGTCTTGGTTTAGCACCTTCGCTGTTTAGTTATAGAGGTGTTTGGCTGGGTAGACCGCAGGCAACTTGACCTTCCCACACTTTGAGGGAGGCAAAATCCGCCGAAACGTCAGCTTTTTCATGAATGAAGAATCAAGTAGCAACCTCGTGCTTGCTCGGCAAGAATATAAAAAATAATAAAAATATTAAAAAAATAGGTTAATAGGAAGTCGGTCGTGGGAAGTACTATTACTGTCACTATTAACAACTAATATTTGATGTACTTTAGCAAAAGATTTAAAATACAACTTATTTCCATAACACCAAGAGCCCGTGAAAAGTCATGAAACATGAGTTCCTGTTATTTACCACTTTCTCTATGGACATTTAGAGTTGTGTATTACGAAACCCATCAATCCCTCATCCGCTAATTTCTTCACAAAGAGATTTTAGCCCACGTTTCATATGAAAGTGAGTGTTTTATAACCACAGTGACGCTGAGATATTTGCAAAAATAGGGAACGCAAGTGTCTGTGGTGGAGATCGCACTCGCTACTACGTTTTACGGGGGCTAAAGTGTTCACCACCACACTATGCTGGTCCTTCGTTTCGTCTTTCTCCTAGCCGTGTATTAACCTATAGGTTCTATCAGCAATCATTCATCTTTGGGATTAAGTGTTTTTTCTTTCAAGACGTCGATTTACACATTCGCTTACCTCTGAAATTTCGCAGATCTTTTGATTGCATATGAAGGATACAATGACATAACCGACTACAGGCACTACAGTAACCGGATGAAGTAGGGAAAAAGCCCGCATTCCGATTGCGGAAAGGAACCGAGCACAACCACGCAATGAAACGTTTAGTAAGAGAAGTCCCAAGGAAGCCGTTAACAAGCGCCTAAAAAATATTTCCATATAAAAAAATTTGGTAAGCAGTAAATGAAAAGTAAACATTGTGATTTCGACTACAGCCTCTGCTCAACTCGGTCGACTTGTGCTCCTCAGATCAATCCCGTTGATGGGTGAATGCTGATGGCACTGGTAGACAGCATATTAGTTGAAAGAAGAGGGAAATGAATGGCCCGTATGGTGCGATGATAAACACGTTAGCTCTCAAAAAAAGTAGTAGCGTGTTCGATCCCCTCCACAGACACCAGCGATCCGGAGTTTAATCACTGTGGCTGTATTTCCGTATAATTGCTCTATAAAAGGTAACCTTATAAAATTCACGTTTCACCGAAGCTGAAGTTGTAAGATATGAGAACATTCAGGAACTTGGAGGCTTCGACTTGTCCTCTAGAGGCATAGATCATTACAGTCAGCACAACGCTGATCCGAAAAAGTGATGTCATCAGTTTAGTCGAAATATTCAGCTTTCTCAGACCGTATTTCACCTTAAAAGGAACGTATTGTGTAGTCATATGAAGTATTACCAATGCATGAATGTATGAGTGGTTATTGTAGGAAACATAGAAACCTGATAAAGTCCCTGAAGTGTTGTACCCGAATGCTGTGTGCTCACCCATGATTCCCAAAAACCAGTAGATATCGTGAGTAAGCTCAGAGGAAGGACCCAAGCTCCCTGAAGTACGCATATTAAAGCTTCATGCACCACTCTAAGACAAAACTTGCGAGAAAAGGGTTATAGAACCGACCTGGAAAGGTGTTTCCATGATAGTCCACAAATAGGTGCAGCTAAGAAAGACCAAGAATAAAACAAGGTGAGGCAAGGTGAACACCGATAGAACTAAAAAACAACTCATGTACTTAATCGCTTTAAAATTACATCACGTTGTATTTGGTGCCTGCTATAATTTTTTACAGTAGGGTATAATGTGAAATGCAACCAAAATAATGCTGAGATAGTTGAAAAACTCCGAACCGCAGGTGTCTCGGTGGAGAACGAAAGTGCTATTGTCCTTTCCTGAGAGTAGCGCGTTCAACACCACACCATGCGGGTCCTTTGTTTCGCCTGTCTCTCGGCAAGTCCTATAGATCAGTGCCATCAACAATCACCCGTCAACGGGATTGATCTGGGGAGCCTGAATCGGCACTGAACCCAGCTGAGCTGAGGCTGTAGCTGAAATCACAATGCTAAATTTTTACTTGCTGCCTACTACAACAATACCGTGTTCGTTCCCCACCGTGGACACTTGCGGAATGGAGTTTTGCAAATATTTCAGCATGGTTGTGGTTAAATTGTCTCGTTTTATTCTTTTATTTCACTTCTTCATTCAAATTATTCTATTTACTCATATTTAATTCAGTTCCTGTGTAAACTAGTATTCCTCTTATTTGTATAAGAAGGTAAAAACCGTTACGAAGTCTCAAAACGTCAAGAGAAGCTTGAAAGTCTGTGAACACTTCACAGCTGGAAAGGCCTGTTTTAGCATCTCATAAATACCTCAACACAACTTCCATGTGTGCTGGTCTGAATCGTCGTCCATGAAGGTCTCCTTTGAGTTCTGTGTTCTGCTCTTTCTCCACATATGCTGTAATGGCGGATGGCAGAAATGCGTTTTCTGGTCCGATGTAGTTACGAAAGTCATGTTTGCGCTTCTTCAGATCACGCATTTCCTGACTAATTCTCCAATTCTCAAACCATCCTACCATTCTACTGTTTGAACTCCTCTTTATCAAAAATAGCAATGTCTGAGCAAATTTGTCCCTTGAAGGTAAAAAACCAGTTGCAGGCCTCTGTGAAACTGAAGTAGCATAGTTGCCAAGTAGGCAGATTTCCAGACTCTCAACGTCCTTCACATTTTTGAGGAACAACTCCCAACAGTAGTATACTAGCATCGTTTACTCTCTCATAATAATTACGATGCCGCAGGTGAATGTCCATACCCAAAACGACCATCTAAGGTGGAAAGGAGTACTTTTCAAAAATCCAACCAATTGGAAAGGTATTTTTTATATGAATGCATCGTTTTCTTGTTCAGCAATCGTGAGGTTTTTAAACAGCATACATACTGCCGGGGCGATACTGGGCGATACTGCCGAAGCGTCAGCTAGTGTTGTATTGTATTGTGTTACTCTATGGAAGTAAATGTATGCTGTTTAAAAACCTTGCGATTGCTGAACAAGAAAACGACGCATTCATATTCCAATGCCGAGGTTAATAGAAAGTCGATCCTGGGAGCTATTTTTTTATATTTTATTTTATTTCTTTGATCCGTTCACGTCTACTGTGCGGGTCCCAGCACTTCTCACATTTGATTCGTTTCCTCGCATCCATAGTCCACGAAGATCTTCCAGGTTTTACGTGTGACTTCAGCTGCAGCTTGAGGATTTCCACCTCATCTTGAATGTCGTAGAATGCTGGTCGATCAATTCTTCCTGGAATCATGAGATAGCCGGAGTAGAGTGTTCCCAATCGGACTGCAGAGAGCGATTTTTTCGCAGATAAGTCTGGTAGCAATTTCGCCACGCCAGAGGGACGAAAGGCTTGGTTGGCCCGGAACGGAATCGAACTAGCACCATACTCGCGATAACGGATATCACTACTCCTATGCTATCCGCCTCACAGTCCGCTGAATTGAACCGAATTGGAAAGCTACGTTACGAATCGCCTGGAAGAACCTAGTCGTAACGGTAAAATCCTCTCAAAATTACTAAGGTGGCTTTTTCTGTTGACAATCATTGGACAAATACGTCCATGCTCTGAGGAAGGCGAAATTGCCAAAACGTCAAAACGTCAGCAATCGATTATCCACAACAACAACAACAACAACTTATGCCAACCTCGCATCAGCTCAACATGATCAGTTAATAAAAACACATAAAGATACACTGGACATCTTCTTAGACCACTTGAAGATTCCAGGAAAAAGAAAAACCTGCCAGCTAAGTAACAAACTAATGAGAATTTCGCTAGGATCCCTACAATTTTTGTAAAATCAAGCCATTCAAATACCAAGTACGAAGTATAAAACCTTCAGCAACGTAAATATAAAACACACAGCATGCACTATACATAATTTTCTTTATTAAGAATAAAAAAGATATACCCCTCCACGTTGACGCAATCCCTGAGGGATGCGAAAAGCATCCGACTTCGCTAAGCATCGCTGGAGACGACTGAATGCATATCTGGCCTTTACAGTGACTCGCGATGGATGACCGATGTATCGAGCAAGTAGTACTGCTATCCTCCCAGACATGTCTGGTATCAATTTGCTGACCCCGGAAGTATGGAGGGATTGTGGTGAGCAAAGGGCGAGGGGACCAATTCCAAGTGTATTGCAGGGCGCCTCCGACCATTGCGTTACACGCGCCCTAATTACGAAGTGCCGCACAATGGAAAAAAACCTCTATTACAAGTCCCACAGTACGGAGAATTTTCTTTTCCACATTACGCACATATAAACTAAAATAATCTAAAATGACTTACGCATCCGTGCTCCAAATGAGCGACCTGGCCTGAAGGTTCTTGAAACGTCAGACAAAAGCCTTTGAAGAGCAGTAATAACGGGAAAACAGGCACAAAGGTACAAACATCGGTATAGATCCAGCTGTGGAAATACGGTAAAGACAAGCAAAGATAATCCAAGGGCACGAAGAGTTTCAAGTACAACGATCTAAATTAAACATGTTAACATAAATACAGAGCTATAGACTGAAATGCTATATCCACAAGCATCAGTTAGTGAACTAAAGTTCAGATTGGCGCACAAAGTATGCAGAATTTAAGGCACTTACGTAGATCCTTATCCTCCCAGCTTTGTCACCATTATAGAAACACATCAAAGAACTTATGAATGTAATAGCATCCGGCATAGTCTGGATGAACATCAGACCCAAATATGTAGCAGCAACCACGTTCGGAGTACTTTGAACTAAACATGGACATTAAAAATAAAAAAAATAAAGATCTCGGCATCGACCAATCCCTGAGGGATGCGCCATGCATTCGACTTCATTACGCATCGTTAGAGGAGGAGATTGAATGCATATCTGGCCTTTACAATGACACGCGGTGGCCTATTGATGTATCGAGCGAGTGCTGCTGTCTTCCCAGACAACTCTGCTACCAATTTGCTGACCCCCGAGGGATGGAGGGTTTGGTGGGCCTGGTGCGCTGGGATCGATGCCATGTGTATTGCACGGCGCCTTTGACCACTGCGCTACACGAGCCTCAAGTGTGGGCGTTAGCATAAGCAATCACAGTTAACTAAAATATTCAAATCATCGCATTTGAACTACAACTGTTCAATTTCGCCTTCACATGGTGAAGTTGATGCTCTTAGCAAATTTGAACTTAATCTTCAAGTGATCTACAAATACAATGTGGTTGGAAAAATTGTCAGAGATTTTACGTACCAGGAATTTTGACACATTGACGTCTGAATGTGTCTTTAGTGGAGTCGTTCTCCGAGAGATTTGTGGCCAGAACCAGAATATAGAACTTCGATATCACAGCACCAACTGTTAGAAAAGTGTTGCAAACAAGGAAAAGAACGAGCTGAAATAATGGGAACCGTCTCTTGTGTAGAATACAAGAACCCCAGAACCTATCTGAAGCAGCGTGACACTAATGGAATTTATAGTCCTAGACTGCATATGTGATACCTGTCTAATGTCTTACTAAATGTGAACACGAAAGTCTCACTTAACAATGAGAAAAATCAATTCGAAGAGAAACAGAGGTCAATTAACCTTTGTTTTTACCATATACTAGTACAAACTTAGTTCAGGGAACAGGGCCCTTTAATCCTTGTACACGTTCTGGAATTCGATTCGTTAGTTGTAGCACTTTAACTAAATGGCATTATTCAATTTCATTGGTTTGATTTACCATCTCATTATGGTTGAGGGGTTACCCTTGGCATCGAACCACGAGGAATAGCTCGGATTTCGTTTTAGCACGATCATCCAAGCTGACTTAGAGATCCCTTTCGAAAGATTAACTATACGTAAACTCATGGTAAGACATAAGCTTCAACTTTTTATGACTATCTTTTCATGAAAAGTAGTTAAAAAAAAGTGTTATATCAAAACTAAACTGTATCTCGTACCCTCGACTGAGGCAGAGCTCATTGATCAGCTCTGCTTCATAACACAGAGGAGTGTTAGGCGGTAATGACCGACGTGAGACGATTATCACTCATACGTGGGTCGAATGAGAATATTGGAGATGAAGGTAACCAATTTATGCTGCCATAAATTTTAAACACTTTTCCAAAAATTATAGTACTCGTAAATGGGTCATGATTTTTCCTTTTACGTAGTCAATAGAGCAAGTATCGAAAACTTGCCTTCGTTACTTGTAGTGAAGTAATCATCCATGGTGTTAGTGATGGCCTCTCAGCAGTTGCTCTCTTATGTGAACGAAACGCATTCCATCGATAATCGTCCTCTCCCGAAGACATCACTGATAGAGATTTCGCTTAATACAACATAGAATATTACAATGATCTTTTAAATGATAAGAGAACAGAAAAAGAGGAGACAATCTAGTAAGAAAGCTGAGTTGGGAGAAAACCCCGTCCCGCAGGAAAATCTCGAAATTGACCGATGTAGATCGAAATCAATTTTCATGGTGTTTCTACCGTAATAAGTCTTGTACTGGTAATAAATTTATCTTCTAAAGAACGGTGTTTACATCTTTCCTAGAATCTTTCCTATCCGACATAAAATAGTGGGATGTGGAATCTCTTTTATTTTGTTGTTTACATGGACCACAGCGAACGTGGTCCTTTAAAATTAATCATCCTGAACATTACCTAGATTCCAAGTAGGCTGTTTTTACAAGTCATCGAATCACATCAAATTTTCATTCGTTTCTTCCCGTCACGATCGTCGCCCGCCGTGGTGGTGACCTATTTAGAACATCCACAAGTGATCATCCCATGACCCAGTTTCTAGGTGTTAATATAGCTGGTAAGGGGCTGGGTAGCACAGCGGTACTGATGCCGATTATCACAAGAACGGGGCTGGTTCTATCCCACCACGGGCTGACTAACTGTCACATACCTCTGGGGTTGGGAGAACTGGTCCCGGACTTGTCTGGGAAGAATTTAGTTCAAGCGGTAATCCAAGTGGAAACGAGCTAGCCTGGCTATCTCAGGACTCCACAGATAATCGACTCAACCAGCATTCCACGACATTCAACATGAGAGGAATACACTCAAAAAGCAGCCTAAGCCACACGGAAACGTTGGAAGGCCTTCATGGATGATGGATACGGGAAACAAATCGAATGCGAGAAGTGCTGGGATCCACACAGCGGATGTGAAGAACGAGTCGTATAAAATAAATAAATAAATAAAAACACAGCTAGTTGACATGAAACCTACCATATTTGCCTTCCCATCCATCTGGCAGCAACTCTCCACATCACATACCTTGCTGTGCTTCGCTTTCCATGCGCACTTCACTATATTTCAGAGACAAGGTATAAGATGTGAACTACATAGCTAAGCACTTTCCTGTATTTGCTGATTATATTTCAGGTCACGGGTGGCAATGAAACGGTTAGTAACTCAGACTATCTGGAATAAGGAGCTTTTTCGATTCCTTCATGAACGCTCCCCCCGAATTCACGTGGAAACGCCCTAGCTAGCCTAGTGTTCTCAGGACTACAGAGTGAATCGATGCGACCAGGTTTCAACAACATTCATGATGAAGGGAAAATCCACGTCCAAAATCCAAAATCAGACAGCAACCAAAACAAAACGCGAAATATTCGACGACCTTTGTAGACGATGAATGAGAGAATCGAATGCAGGACGTGTTGCCATCCGCGTATCAGATGTGATGGCGAATGATATAGTAAAAAAAAAATAAAAGCAGTACGAAAGTAGAGGAAAAGTAAACATTGTGATTTCAACTACAGCTTCAGCTTAACTGGGTTCAATGCCGATGTGGGCTCCCCAGATCAATACGGCAGATGGATGATTGCTTATGGCACTGATCGATAGAACTAGCTGAGAGAAAACGAAAGGAAGGATCTGCATGATGTGGTGGTGAACGCGTTAGCCTCCAGAAAGGATAATAGCGCATTCGTTCTCCACCGCATACACCTGCGGTCCGGAGTTTCCCAACTATCTCAGCATCGTTGTGGTTGTAAAAGACTACTTCAGAATGCAACGTTTGAATGCTTTGAGTTTTGCGTCAAATTCTCAATGTTAACCAAACCTCAGTTTATCTGTCAACTGCATAACAGAACGATGGGATGACCGTTGAAGAGTTATCGAGGTGAGCTGTGAGCGTCTAGTTTTGTATTCGTCCCAGGAACGGTGGTTGCTCTGAAGAACCAGGACGTGGCTGAGTGCTCTCCTTCCTTTGCACTTCTTCTCCTCGTTTATTTACGTGCGTACCATGGATGTCCATGAACTGGAAGGCAGTTTAGTAATTATGCGCGGTTCAATTCCTTCTTCTTTCTTAGTCGACAAAGTTGATTGAAAAAGGAGATGGTTTCACCGACTGACTTAGATGAACTGATGATTGAAACTGTATTCTTTAGATCTCCAATACCTAAATTGAAACTGTTGGTACCATCAAAAAATATATATTGGTACCGGCTATCTTCTTCGAATTTTTTATCTTTACGATTTCTTTATATATTTTATGTTTTGCCCAAGCGCGCGTGCAGCCCAGTGGTCAGAAATGCCCCTGTAATACACCTGCGTTCGATCCTACAACCTAGGTTCAGAAAGCTTTCCATCCCTCCGGGTTTGGCAAATCGGTGCCAAACTTGTCTGGGAGGATAGCATCACTGGATCGAAACATCGGTAGGCCACCGCGAGCCATTGTAAAGGCCAGATACGCAATCAGTCATCTCTGACGGTGCTTGATGAAGCTGAATCCATGTTGCATGCCTCACCGATTGATCAACGCCAAGAGCTTTATCCTTCATTTATATTGCTCAGCGACCGTTTAAGATTTCATTTCCGAAGTAGGTAAGTTTCATCTAAAATTCTTTAGAGTGGGTAATCTTCGTGAGGAGGCTCGTGGAGCACACTCAACAATCAGATAAGGCGGTACTTGTGGAAATTCGTTCTTTATCTTAACGTCTTAATTAAAGAAGCGAGATGCATTCTACTAACCTATGATCCCGTCTACCTCGTTGTGCTACTGAAGTAGGGCTCTAAATGCTCGGAAAGATATAGTAGTTATATTCGGTATGAAATTATGATACTACGGTGTCGCCACAGATGCACCATATGCTGTTTCGGTGGGTGTGGTGGATCTACGTGTGACGTTGCATTCGATGATTTCCATGCTTATTGGGGACTTCTCTTTCCCACGAGAAATAAGTTTTCATGCAAGAGGGGAACAGCGGAGCGAAGCTTAACTTAAGGAATGAGTTGCAGGCTGATATAGCTGAGCCGTGATAGGTTCTCATACAAGTCGAAGTGATGGGTAATACATAGATGTACAAAAACGATCCTTTCATGCAATTCCATTCTCTTTTTTTCTCGTTTTGTCATTTCCAGGTTAGTTACCAAGAATTTTGTGATAGCCGAAACTTTACGAAGAGTTTAAATTCTGGTGTTTAGACAGTTCTAGTCTGTTCTGTTCAGGTGTTCTAGTTGCTGAGCAAGAAGTGGTCTCCATGACTTATCGTTGACGTATTGTTCCGAATCCATCACAACTGGCGTCTTAAGCAAATTGAGATCTTATCGCCTGTGGCACTTTTGTCTCACCACCCAACATCGTAGATAGAATCGTCCATTAAACTCGGTATTGAGGCTTAATTATTTTTGATTGAGTTATTTATTGTTTTTCTCAGTGTTCGAGGTTTGCCTAGCGCTTGAGTGCTAACAGGCAACAGGCATATATCATCCATCTCCACAGAACGATACAATAAAGTCTCTCCCACAATTCATTCATGTTCACAACCCCTAAAGCACCCTAGTTATTGAAAAACGATTTTTTATAAACCAAAAAAGCGACGACAAATTGCTCGCATTCGACTGGGATGGCCACGCAAAACGGAGCCGAAGCACTATGAGTTAATCACCACTACAGGCGATGCCAGCCTCATAATTTCAAATGGTTCCATTAAATAGATTAACACTACAACCTTGTATTTGCCTATTCTGAAAAGCTTAATACCCCAGTGATGGCATATCGTACAACTGTTTACATTTTTAATCATCCCCCCTCCCCTTTTTCTTCTTTTAATCATCTATTTTTCAATCAGAGTATCGTTTTCATTTAACCTTTTTTGTTTGTAATCCTGTATTGCATTTTTTACTACTCTGTTGCCGCTTTACATTGAAATTGGGTGTTTTAAGCACTACATCGGGTAGGTGAGTGGAAGGCCTGCAAGACCGTACAAGGCCTTCAACAATGGTGACTCCCACGATATCGGCAACTATCGCCCAATCTGCTTGCTGTCTGTCGCCTACAAACTTTTCACTCGAGTCGTTCTAGACAGGATTGGCAGAACACTTGACGAAGGGCAGCCATGTGAGCAAGCAGGGTTTCGAAAAGGATTTAGTGCGATGGACCACATCTACACGGTAACACTGCTCATTGAAGTATCGCGAGAGTACAAAAGACCGCTCTGTTTCACTTTCATCGATTTACAGGACTATGACTCAATTGAGATAGAAGCAGTCATGGAATTCCTGGACAGCCAGCGAGCACCTACTCAGTACGTAAAGATTTTTCGTGAGCTATACAAAGATTTCACATCCAAGATATTACCATTCTACAACGATATTAACATTGACGTCAAAAGAGGAGTTAGGCAAGGCGATACCATCTCGCCAAAATTTTTTACCGCAACCATCGAGAACGTTGTGGGAACATTGAGATGGGTTACAACATGGGAGTGGAAATCGATGGCAATTACATCATCTTTGGTTTGCTGATGACATCGTTCCTATAACACCAAACATTATCCAAGCATCCACTAAATCTTTCAAAAACGATGTTCATGAGAAATGGATTGGTTTCGTATGCTCCATTCGCGCTTAACGGAATGAATATCTCCGAAAACGCAACATACGTCAATCTAGGTCCGGAAATTAACACGATGAACGACTTAGCTCCGAAGTTGAAGGGACGGAAGAGGCGAGTGGCTTGGGGGGCTTTCAGAGGCATGGNCAACATACGTCAATCTAGGTCCGGAAATTAACACGATGAACGACTTAGCTCCGAAGTTGAAGGGACGGAAGAGGCGAGTGGCTTGGGGAGCTTTCAGAGGCATGGAGGATGCAGTGAAACGAACAAAGAACACTTGATTCCGTGCCCACCTTTTCGACTCAACAGTACCTCCTGCCCTAGCATATGCGCCAGAAACCTGGTCGGTAAGTACGCAGGATGAGAGAGGACTCAGCGTTATTAAACGTGCAGTCGAAAGAACGGTGGTAGGAATATCTCACGTCGCACAAGTAAGAGAAAGGATCCGAAGCTCTGACTTGCGTCAACGATCAGTAAACAGAGATGCCGCACTGCACACCACACGGAATAAGGTGTGCTGGACACGTAATGCGTATGGACGTCAACCGATGGACAAGAGCCGTTAGTGAGTTGATTCCTCGAGATGTTACACGTACTGCAGGAAGACCACCGACTCGATGATCAGAGTTCTTCACGAAGACCCTAGAAGAAAGATATAATGCTCAACGAGCCCTAGAGCGAGCAGAACCCACTAAACTACTCTTGCATGTGACACGGAAAAACGGAAGATTTTCTGGCCCTCTCTCGATTCACTCGACGATCAACGAGTTAGCTGATACACCGAGTACCTCTCCCAACCGTTTACCATCTCGTCGTGGCTGGGTGTTCTTGGGTGTCGAGCTACAATCTACAGCGGCGGGTTCATCTCCCAGCAGGGTCTCCAAAGCTGATAAGAGTCCGACGTTTCGATCCGGAAACCCAGCTAGAAGTAAACCAATACCAGGAATCACCACTATCCCTGGTATCAACCAGTCACATGTTGGAAAATCTCGTTCTGATCCAAAGGATGGCAGCTGCCTGGATTGGTGACGACCTGAGGAAGGCTTTGGCTGGCTAAATCATCAAATATTTGGAATGGAAATTATGCTGAAGCCCGAATAACTAGCTAAGGCGCCTACGTAAGTAAGTGCATCGGGTACCGCGTAGTACTGATACCATTGATCAAGAGTACGATCCCGATCCGACCTACCACCGATCGCAAACAAATCCCTCGTTCCTCCCACGTTATGAAATTGTAGGCAGACTTGTCTGTGATGAGCGCGCTCCCTATAATGCACATTATAGCGCTCTAGCACGAATACCCTAGGATTCCAGGATGAATTGACTCGACCAGCGCTCAACGGCATTCATAGCAAAGACGGCAATCCTCAATCAGCAAACTTACGCGCAAAAGTTCGAGTTTCTTCGTGAATGCGAGGAGACTAACTGAATCTAATTGCTGGAGTTCGCACAAAAGATGTGAAAACGGGTCATATATCGCGTTTCACTTTGTGCAGATTCGCATGAATTTCTGTTACATCACTCGGAACTTTCATCGAACCATAAAACATTCCCTTACGCAACCCTGCTACCAAACATCCATTGTATTCACTTCTCCTTGTGTTGATGTCCTGACACCATCAAGGTCCCGTATAATAAGAAGTGCCACACTATTGACTACTGCCATGTCTCCTCTCATGCTTAACTTTTACAACACCGTGATTCCGTGGTCGGCTTAATCTTGGAACTCTTTGGCGCAACCAGCCCTTATCTAGAAGCGTCACACATAATGACGGCCATTAGGGATAAAATTATAGGTAGTTCTTGGATACTTTCTCTAACACATAAGACTTTTTTCCACTGAAACCGCTATACATTTAAAAAAATCAATATTTTTATCCATAAATCTATGCTTCCACATTGAACAAAGGACTCGCAATAGATAACCAACACCATCATAATTTACAGAACAACTATGGAGTGACGCTAATATCTAGTATTAATAGGGAATGGGTACATGAACAAAATACAACCACATAGTAATGATCCATCACATTTGCGCTTTCAACCGATCGTGGATTAAATATTGCACACGAAGGGCCTAATATAGAATATTCTTCTTTGCATTAAACTGTTGGAAGTGCAAGGAAGGATATTCCTGCAAAAACTTCATTTATATAAAACGAGCGTCTGGATAACTCACAGTAACTAGCACTAACACAAATCAAGTAGGTTCGTAAGATTGGCTCAAATAAATAAATATTAGTTCTGTATATAACCCGAAAGAAACTTGAAACTGAAAGGCCTGTCCTTGCAAAAGATTAATGTTAGAGAGGCGCAAACGTTAGTGAAATGTCTGTCATGACCAAAACAACATTTCGGTCATAAGCATAAGAACAATGAAGGCAATTAGAACCACAGACGATTAGGTAAAAACAACAGCATATGAGAGTAGAAGGTAACGGAAATCAGAGATAGATAGAACGATTTGGATGTTATATATTTGAGCTTCTCCAACGGATATGGGAAATGCGACTCGGACAACATGAGAAAAACAGAAAAAAGATGGGGCTATTCATCTTCTTCATCCGTAACAACTTGGTTCAGTTCCTTCAACCGATTACGGTATAGAGTTATTTTCTTATGTTGATCAGCCAATAATATAAGCAAATCTTCCTGTTCTGCTTTCAGCTGATCCAATTCCTAAAAGTTTGCGCCTGTAGTGCAAGACTAGTGGTTGGTAAATAAGACATTGTTCACGGCTCCGCTTGTATTTCAATAATCACAAAAACTTCCAACAATTATCGAAATGGTTAACACTCAGATGACAACATCTAGTCTCGGGTCTGTTACGAACTGGGTGACGCCTAATTTTCCTTCGAGACGTTTTTTTGAAAATAAACAATGATTTTCAGTAATTAAGGATTTTGTACGCTGTGAACATGAATGGGTTGTGGAAAAGGCATTGGTCTATCGTTCTATGGATATGGATGACATTTCTGATGCTATTTATTACATGTTACTATGGTCCATCGTAGGAACATATTACTACCAGCATTTGGAAGTGTTTTGTAATTTATGGGTCTTTCGTGGCGCAGTGATTGGAGGCTCCACTGCGATACATTTGTGGAATCGATTCCCGCGCCCATAGCCCACCGAACCTTCCCTCCGGGTCGGCAAATTGGTACCAGACTTGTCTGGGAGGATAGCAGCACTGGCTCGATAGATCGATAAGCCACCCCTAATCATTATAAAGGCCAGATTTACATTCAGTCACCTCCAACGATACTTAGTGAAGTCGAATGCATGGTTCATTCCTCAGGGATTGATCAACGCCGAGAGCTTTATCCTTATACCTGCATAAGGACCTCCCAAGCTGAGGAGTCCGGTGTTTCCATCAGGAAGCCTAACTAAGAGTAAACCAATACTAGGATCCACCACAGTCCTAGTACCAAACTAGCCCCGTAAATCTCCCACTGATCCACAAGCGGTGCGACTCCCCATGGTGGTGACGACCTGGGGCAGACTGGCCAGGCTGTCCTCGGGACTCCAGAGAACCACAACGGTTAAACCAGCAAAACTCCGAAAAACGGAAATTATGCTGGGGTTGGCGCAACCGCTGAGGGTGGGCCATCCAAGTATATGAGTATTCAAGTGTACTCACACGTCCTAACAATAACTATCGTTCTTCACAACAATTAGAATTAAACAGTAGTTGAGCAGCACCGAAATTTCTGGTTAGTGAACTCTTTTAGAAAAACATTTCTTTCTATATTTCCAAGCGCAGAATAGAGCTTATCCCGACCAATACACATCGCAATACCTGTGTTCTCCAAGCTATCAGTTGCTAACGAAAAGTTTAGGATTATGACACCTATAGATCTCACTCGTCCCGAGAGTGTTGATTAGTAAAATAGTACAAAAGATTCAAAAAAAAAGCTGGTGGCAACTAGATAGTGCGCAATTCTCCTCAGCGAAAACCGGCACTATGAGTTATTTAATTAGTTAGAAATTTTTTAACCCTTTAACTGAGTAAAAGTGAGCTATCACTACTTACCGATTGACCGTTTGCTTTATTTTCCTGAAGCTTTTCTTCCTTCTTCATTTGCTTCGCTTCTGCTAGCTGAGCTTCTGCCACCTCTGCTCTATGTTTCCATTCTTCGCAATCAGCAGCATATTTAGCAGTCTAATAACTTAAAGTTATTTCAAGGTCCAAACCGTTTCAATAATTTCTTTTCACTTTCAAAAAAGGTTCATTAACATTTCTATTCTTCCACGTTTAATTCGTTCTCGAAATGGAACTCACGGATTTCCCATGTTCTTCAAAGGCCTGGTATCCGTAAGCAAGTTGTTGTTCAAGTTGCTGCACTTGTTGCTGGAGGTAATGAACGGCAGTTTCTGTAGGATTCGGTAGCTAAAAATGTTACTCATACTACATTAACTTTTTATTAACTGCCAATTAAAATTTTTACGGTAAAGTATTATGTGTGATACAACCACAATGATGCTGTGATATTTGCAAAACTCCGGACCGCAGGTGTTTGCGGTGGGGGCAAACAAGTTATTTCCTTTTCTGAGAGCTAGCCCGTTCACCACCACACCATGCGAGTCCTTCGTTTCGCCTTTCTCTCATTCTCATTATTTATACTATTTAATACCTTCCAATAAATGAAGTGACCTTACTAAATTATGAACCACCACTACGAGATCGCATCTATATTGTTCTACATTGAATCAGAAACCAACGTCACACCTTGTATCTCATTTATTCTACAAAAAAGCCAACCAAGCTACAAATCATACCTGTGATATTTGATACTGTTGCCATTGTTCTGCCCACTGCTTATACTTCGCAGCTTCGCCTCGCCACTGTTCATTGACACTAGAATACATATCACCAGTGGTAAGACGTGGTATAGCAAGCGACTTGCTTAAGAATTGTCACTTACCGATACATTTCTTGCATCTGGATCTGTATGGAATCATTATGTAAACTATGAGCACGACTCTCTTCCAGCTTCTTCTTTAACAACTCTATTTCGTGTTCCAGCTTGGTCTTGTCATTCTAAGAAATCAAACTACTATTTTTTAACAGTGAAGGGGATGGAATGTCAACCAACTCACTTCTTGCTTCAACTGCTCGATTTGCGCAGTAAATCGCTTTGCCTCTTGTTTAAGAATCGCAATCTCCTCATCTTGACGTTTGATAAGGTCCTGTACGAAATTTTAGCTCAAACATTACAGATATATCGAAAGATTCCCATAGTTAAAATAAAAGATTTAAAGACAATATGAGGATTCTTGAGTAATTAAACGCGTGTGGCGCAGTGGTTGGAGGCGCGTCTAATCGATCCCCACACCCATGGCCCACTAAGCCTTCCATCCCTCTGGGGTCCGCGAATTGGTACCAGACTTGTGTGGGAGGGTAGCATCACTGGCTCGATACATCGGTAGGCCACCGCGAGTAATTGTAATGAGATATGCATTCAATCACCTCCAACGATACTTAGTGAAGTCGAATGCATGGTGCATCCCTCAGGGATTGATCAACGCCGAGAGCTTTATTCTTTTATTTTATGAGGATTCTAATGTCGATTGGTATCATTAAGACGCATTGTCACATACGCACTTGCTTAACTGCTTAGATGGCCTTTTCCACAGAGTCTTGCGAACCTTAATATTATTTCCTGGAATACTCAAAGTAATTGTTCTAGGACCTCCCTGTCGTTAACACGGGGAGTTAACAACACTAGTGAGTTAGAGAGGGATTTGTGAACAACTTTTTACTAAGTTGCCAACAGAACCGTGGTGATTGCTGTCCTTGGTAGACTTTCAGCTTGGCTTCCGGATATAAATGTAGAACTCTTTAGCTTGGAAAACCTTGCTGTGGATGAACCCTGACTCTATTTCGTACTTTCACTCAAGGCAACGAACACTGCCAGCCACGACAAGGTAGTAAAGGATTACGTGGTGTAATCTCACTAGTATTCCATTTGAAAATTCCTTGAGGCAAAACCTGACTTTAGTAAACGTGAGGACCAACTGATATAAAAATCAAATTTTGATCCCAGACAAACAAGTACACTATTTTCTTCCCATAACACCGACAGTTGCTAATACAATGAATAATAAAAACATAGAGGATAAAGCTCTCGACGTTGATCAATTCCTGATGGATCCGTCATGCAATCGACTTCACTAATCAGCGTTTGGAAGTGATTGGATGCATATCTGGCCTTTACAATGACTCGCGGTGGCCTGCCGATGTATCGAATCAGTGCTGCTATCCTTCCAGACAAGACTGATACGAATTCCCCGACCCCGGAGGGATGGAGGACTTGGTGAGTCTTGGGCGTGAGGATCGACCCATTTGTATTGCAAGACACCTCCGACCACTGCGCCACACGCGCACATACGCTTAAGGAATCAATAAGAACATGAGAAACATGGGTATGCATGAGCAACATTTCACTGCAATGCGCTTAACGCCTCTAATCTTAAAAATCCACTTTTTTTCTTTTGAAAACAAGAAGCACAGCGAACCTTGAACGACTGTATTATACTGTCATTTGATGTAATCCCATTAAATTCTCCAGTAGGGCGTAACATCTTCAGAAGTTGTGCTAAAAAGCTCTAAGCATAAACACCTTTAGTGCTTATGAAAAGAAAGGAGATATAATGATAAAAGAGATAGTAAGCAACTACTATTGCGCAAAACAACCTTCTGATGCTTTGAACATCTTGATAAAATGATACTCCAAGAATAATTCATTCGGTGTTTTTGTGAGCGGTTGCGGTTTCTGGGCAGCACGAACGAACTGTTCTGTTCGAGACAGACCTTCTACAGCACCAATAATAACCTCACGACCAACACGTCGATCCACAAGTTGCTCCAGAGATGATCTGCAAAGGTTAGACTTTTTTTTGGTCCACAGCTCCATTTATAATGAAATCTGCATAAATAAAGCTCTTTCCGTCAAACAGTTGAGACACTCCCACGAATGAATTGTCCCACTGTAATGCAAATCATTCATTTCACAATATCATTTCCGTCTCTGCATTCTTGTAGCATCCTCAGATTCCTTCTGAAGCCTCCTTCTGTACGGACTTGGAAACAACTTATGCATTCAGTCCACAACCCAACCTGTTCGCCATGGAAAGGAGCAAAAAGCGCTTTCAATAAGTTCCGCTCAACCCACAGCAGAGTTGAACAATTACAAACCTCAGATTAGGATCTTCCGCACTCTGAAGGCAAAGCAGCAGAAGGAATGCCATTAGACCTTTCAGTACTTGTTGTTCACTTTCCGTGCCTTCGCCGCAGTCGTCTACTGAAATCGCTAGCGTAATAAACACGGAGCAATTCGACATTTTCAATGAAAATCCTACAGATCTGTGTGGTCAGATAATGAGTATTGTCCTCATTCTCAATGAAACTGGCAACGGCCGTTGGGCAATTGTTCATCCATGTCGACAGCAACATTAGAACCCCGGCACGCATTTGCACTCGACGATTACCCATACTAACCTAAAACTAGCATACCATTGATGAAAACTCGAAGTTATCATCTAAAAGCAAGAGTTTTCAGACTTACCAGAAGGTTGGACACATGCTTCACTAACGATATTGGGGGATGATCAATGGTAGTCGACAGCTGGACTCGAAGAAGTTGTTCTCTTAAGGATAGTGATGAACTAACTGCATCAGGCAATATCACACCTAACACAGAATGTCAAAAAGTTCTGAAAATAGAAAACCTAAGGTGGTCAACATCCAACAGGCAATACAGAAGTGCCACACATCCGAACCAACACTGCACTGATTCACCAGAAGTGATTGCCTAAAACTGAGATAACTTTCCACTCACTTCAAGCTTCCCATAGTATTTAACAATACATTCCAAACCTTCAAAATTCCACCGAATGCTGAAAAGAAAGCAATGAAATTCACACCTGGCAAATCAACGAACCAGTAGAAATAGCGGTGTCCGGCTGAGATGCCGGAAGTAAGGTTTCAACAACCTGAAACATGATAGGTTCGGTGACGTGAAACAAACTTAGGATAACTACAACGATGCTGAGATATTCGCAAAACTTGGACCCCGGGCCAGATCGAACCATGCTTTCCACCCTTTCCGAGGGCTCGCGGAACTTAAAGAAACTAAAAATTAGGATAAGTTAAAAATGAGAGAACAACACACTGTCTACAAGTAGTACTCTACCTTCGTCTTCCCAAATTCATTATCGTGAAGATACGAAAGGAAGCAATAGAAGACAGCACAACGCATTTTGAATGGCTGTTTCTCGGCCGTCATTGTTATAAGTAGGACAACTAATGATGTTCTAGAAATAACAGCTTAAACCTTTTGTCTAACACTCGCTGGTACTTAATTTATGACTACACATTTCAATAACCACACCTGGTTAGGTTTTCGTTAGTAATAAGACTAGTACTGGCAAAATATTCTTGGTTTGTATAATTCCCACGTATGGCTTCGGCCACTGCGATTACAGTCTCGGTGAGTACCTCTACCGGTAACCCCATTTCGGAAAGTAGTACTCGGCATAGTTCAGCAAGCATCTCTAAATTGTAGATATCATAAAAACTTTCAGACAAGTAGCTATTGGGCTTTTTTAGGAGGTTGAAAAGAAATCAAAAATTCCAAGGGAAGAAATATCTATGTAGCACTCCTCAAAGAGTCATTTTCAAGCCCTAATTTAATGATAACCTAAACACTGGATTTGCTATGTCATAGTTCAAAATATTCGTAATGATTCTGGCTTCTCATTAAACCAAAGACTTTTCGATAGATAGACAATTTGCAGATTTCAGAACTTGACAAACTTACACAATAAACTTTGCGTTATCATGTTAACAGTATACATGACTTCCCTAAAACGTCACTTTTGGCTCACAATTATGCGGATAGCAGAGTTCCAAAACCTCAACTTCTTAGAATTAACGCTGGTCTAGTAACTGCCGCACACGATTATAGCATACAGGGACATCATCGTTGTCACGTTGGACGAAAGATAGCTTGTTCAATCACTCTACTACGCAAGATACGAGCTTTGACGTAAACAAAGCGACAAAGATACATTTTTGGGCTCCAGGAAATCCAGATTTCATCATGATGGGATGAACAAACTTAAAACAAGTGGGCAACTATCTTCAGATTCCATCGTTTTTAATGAGGCTCACTAAGAGCTCAGACATCTGTTGTTGTCGAAAGAACAAGTTACTTTTGTTGCTGAATGGCTAAGTTATTTTCGGACATGTATGAAAGTATATATAGATAATATCATTTACTTGGAAACTTAAATGACTCGTCTTCACCGATTGTGCGGGCCCCAGCATAATTTCCACTTTCTGGGGTTTTGCTGGTCTAGCCATTGTAGTTCAATGGAGTTCCGAGATCAGACTACCCAAAGTCTGTATCAGGTCGTTACCACAGGCAGTCGCCGCCCTTGCAGATTAGAGATTTGCCACCAAGCGACTGGTTTAGTATAAGGACGGTGGTATATCCTGGTATTGGTTCTTTTTTAGCTGGGCTTCCTGATGGAAATGCCGGACTCTTTCTGAGCTTGAAAGGCCCTGCTGGGGGATCAATCCCCAGCTGTACATCGCAGCTCGATACCCAGAAAAACCTCCAAACCACGATGAGGCGGTAAACCGTTGGAAGGATATCATATAGTATGCATTAAATTAGCACGATTCTGATGCGAACTAGGATACAGCCCAGTGAAGGTACATATCAAACTTCAATTACTAACAAATCACGTAAAAACCTACTGGTTTGATGAAGCGCTTTTTGGGCAGCATGGGTATTTGTCACTGCATTGTCAGGGCTAACCAAACTCCTATAAAATCACGTATGACTAAAATAATTCCTAGTAAATGAATAAGCTTAAACACAAATCCGAAATACCTTATGACCTGGAGGAGGAAAATTATGTTTGCAGATCGCTGTTTCACCCATTCGCTATTATCTGACTCTTCTTCTGTATCATAGAGAAAAGCATTTAAGATCGTACCCAAACGCGAAATTAAACTGCAAATATCAAAAAGTGGTGTATTTAAGGGAATCACCGGGGTTATTATACTTCTTTCCTCACCCAAACATAGTCGACCAAGCCAAAAACCTGGAGAAAAAGGAAAATGCAAAATAAAATCTCTTAACGCAGAGTTACGAACGTAATCAGTGCAGCAAAAAATCCCTCATAATGTAACCTCAGATATAACCTAAGACACCAAACTTAGGTTGAGTGCTACGAAGTACAGAGGCTTACTTGTTTTCCCTGAACAGCTGCTGATTCATCGCATTCTTCCTCAGTAGATTTAGTATTGCAAATAGACAATCTTCAATAATAATACCTGAAACAGAAAAGACCGTGGATCACATCAGAAGTATGACGTACATGGAGGACATGAAAGAAAAATGTTGAGAAATAGTGCAGAGATCGTAATTCTCACTATCGAGCGGCTCCGTGTCAATGATATCTAGCAAATGGACAAAGGTGTTTTCATAGGCCAACAACTGTTGTATCTATAAACGGATAACTTTTCGTTTATATTAAATATATAACTGCAGAATGAAGATCACCTGAGAATTCGACCTGCTCAGTTCACAGAGCATAAGAATGGCTTCATTTCGAACTACTTCTCTTCGATCATGGACAATATCTACCAAATGAGGAACACCAGTGGGCTGCACCATGACAGCCGCTTGTACTTCTGGGCCGCGATGGCGTAACAGCGAAGTCAGCAATTGTATTCCGACTCTAGAAACAATAGATGAACAAAGACTTGGATACTCGGATAGCCCGTCTTCACCGGTTCTGTGAAACCTAGATAATTTCCACTTTTTCGGAGCTTCAAGGATTTACCAATTGTGGTTCTCGAAGTCCCGAGGTCAACCTAGCCAGAGTCTGCCACAGGTCATCAACACCACAGGCAGTCGCCATCCTTGTGGATCAGAGGGAGATTTCCCACCATGCGGATAGCTTGATACCAGGTCGGTAGTGGATCCTAGTACTGACTTACTTCTTGGTGGGCTTCCTGGTGGAAGCGCCGGACTCCTCAGCTTGGGAGGCCCTGTTGGAGGATGAATCCCCCCGTTGTACAACGCAGTCCGACACCCAGGAACACTTTGCAAGGAGGTAGACCGTTAGGACGTGAACTAGGGCTAGAAGATTCAAAGCCTGACAGAGTGTCAAAAACGTTTCAGAACACTGACCGTCGCACGGTGATATCATAGTCATCGATAGCGGCAAGTAATGAAGGGATAAAGACTGGTTTCTTTAGCATGACCTAAAAGCATAGAAAGTAAAAAGTGCCCATTTTATACGTGGAACAAGTACAAAGCGATATCTAAGAAATGGATTCTTGGTACTGATACCGCAGAAAGGAAAGGATCACCAACCTCGGCAAGACGTTCTCCTAACTCGTCCTCGTCTATGTTCTCATCATCACTGCTCAGAACAGCGACGAGAATGTCCAGTGTGATAGAAGTGAGTTCTTGATTCGTCCTTTCTTTTTCGAGAACATCCATGTATACGTTAAGCCCCATTGTTCCGACAGCCAAACGTAACTTCTGAAACGTAACTGAACAGCAAGAAACGTTTTCTTAAGACAGCATAAGTACGTAAGACCTCAACGACGCTGAGATATTTGAAAAATTCCGGACCGTTGGTTTCTGCGATGGGGATCAAACACGCTATTACCCTTTCCGGTGGTTAACGCGTTCACCACACACCATGCGGGTCCGTCGTTTCGCCTGTCTTTCAGCTAATATTCTATCGACGAGTGACATCAGGAAGCACCCGTTAACGGAATTGATCTGGGAAGCAAAAATTGGTACTGAACCCAGTTAAGCTAAGGATCTAGTGGAAATCACAAATGAAAAATTGTATTAGGCATAAGTAAAACCTATTATATCTCTGGATCGTATGCCTCAACGAAGATCAGTTAAAGAGTGGCCTGGACGTTTAACGTGGTTAAACTACCATAATTAACAAAAAGGATTATATAAACAAAAAAATCGTGAAGAAAAAGAGCCAGAATACCGTTTAGGATGGCAACATATCCGAAAAACTTGGGTCATTTCACAGGAAAAAAAGTCAGAAAACACTATTAAATACTGGATAATATGTAAGAAGTATTACTAGAAAGTACTAAAACATAAAATAGGTGTCCTTTCAATGGATAAATCCGAACGCATACCTTTGCCATTCCTCTGAGAGCTCGCAGGGCATCTCGACGATCTTCAAGAGCAGTACAGGTCTCGGCTCGTTCCACCATTTTCTCGACGATCTCAGCTCCATCTTCTTCATCATTTTCCACTCTGCCACCACCAAAAAAGCTTCGAAAATATGCCATATCTGGTAGTATGAGTACTGCAGTGGAAACAACCAGTACCAATTCCTCGTTACATCAAAAATAAGGACGTATAGCTATGAAATCGAGGATAGCAATGCCCGGATTGATTGCAAAAGTAACTTTAGACAACTACTACGGGAAAAGACAGGTAGCACAGTAAATAGAATCCTTAAAAATCCTTCGTATGAAGAGACTTAATGCAAATCCCACTGGGTCGGCCAGTCGCATTGCGATTTTGTCGTACGGTCTGCGCCCGAGCTATCACGTCCGACGGGCACGTCATCAGTGGTCTCCATCCAGGATTTCTCCGGGATTTCTACCGTTCCTGAAGTCCTTCCTGGTGTTTTTAGTTCCGGATTCTTTTATTCATCCAGGAATGACAGCTCTGGTGACTGGAAAGAATCTAAAATACGTGTCCCTTGTCGTCCTCATTGCACAAACGACGGCTCTTGTGCTGATATTGCGTTACTCAAAAACCCAGGTTCGCCCGCTCAGTTCATTTACGAAAAGTAAACCCTTATAATGGCGAGATTTTGGTTTGTTTTTATACGACTGAAGTCAAATATATTGATCGTCTGTATTACGTCCTCCCATTGGTTATCCAAAAGTTTGAACACTGGTATTACGTCATGCAAAAACATAGGTTACTTGTTTAATTCAACCACGAGTAACAAGAACTATAACACTTAGTTTTCGGTTTTAGTGACCTTAAGACCTAGATGCATTAATCATCTCTGCTATGTCCTTCTTTGATTATCCGGTTCGTTGAACGAACACCAGAAGTCTATGTGTATTTGGGATCTCCAGATCGATCCCGTTGACGGGTGATTGCTGATGGCACTGATCGATAAAAACTAGCTGAGAGAAAGGCAAAACGAAAGACCGGCATGGTGTGATGTTGAACGCGCTATTCTCCTCTCCAGGCAGTAGCGCGTTCGCTTCCCACCGCAGACACCTGCGGTCCGGAGTTTTGCAAATAATATGGATAATCACAATTTTAACTTATTATTTTTTGCCTACTCTTTTTAACGGCAGGGTATATTGCGAAATATAACTCCAACGATGCTGAGATATTTGCAAAACACCGGACCGCAGGTATCTGCGGTGGGGAACGAACGCGCTATTGTCCTTTCCGGGGAGTAACGCGTTCACCACCTCACCATGCCCGCTGACGGGTGATTGCTGATGGCAAAAGATCAATAGAACTAGCTGAGAGATAGGCGAAACAAAGGACCTGCATGGTGTGCTGGTGAACGCGTTAGCCCCGGGAAAGGTTAATAGCGCGTTCGTTACCCACCGCAGGCACCTGCGGTCCGGAGTCTTGCGAATATCTCAGCCTCGTTGTGGTTATGTGTATTAACTTTTTATTTACTACCTTTTACAATTTTTCACGGTAGGATATTGTTTGAATTAAAACCACAATAATGCTGGGATGGTGTTTGCGGTGAGGAACGAACACGCTATTACCTTCTCCGGCGTTCCGCACATCATGCGTGTCCTTCGTTTCACCTTTCTCTCAGCTAGTTATTTTTATATGTATTTGTAGTCTATGTGTATTCTTGCTTTGATAAGCTTGCACGAGGTTAATGGACTCCGATCATCGACTCTGATGAAGACGTCGAAACGTTAGCCGAATAAAGATTGCTTGTCAACCTCGTATAAGCTTCCCAAAGAAAGGATACATATTGATTATCTATACCTAGGTTAAAGGCAAGTTGGTGTTGAAATGTCAGAAGTCGGTATTTGTTAGTGCCATGTAGCATCTTAGCCCAGTAAGACCTGCTTGCTCTGGGAACGCAAGAAATGTATTTTTCACTTGCGGTTTTCGTGAAGTGTGACTATCAGTCGTGTGTTTAACTTCTCATTTACTGCATAATATTATTTTTCACGGTAAAGTATGATGTGAGATACAACCACAACTATAATGAGGTAATTTTAACGTCATTGAAGTTATAATGAGATATGCAAAACTTGGACACCATACAAGACTAAGCCCGCGATTACTTTTCCCGGGGCCTCACGTCTTTTCCACTGCACCACTGAGACCCTTGCTTTGCCTTTCTCTCAGCCAGATTGACTACAGCCCCAGCTTAACTGGGTTTAGTGCCGATTTGTGTTCCCCGATCAGTCCCGTTGATGATTGATTGCTGATGGCACCGTTAAGTAGAAAACTGGCTAAAATAAATGCAAGGCAAGAGCCTTGGTGGTGCAGTACGTAACATGTGAGCACCTGGAAAGGGTAATATAGGGTTCGAATCAGGCTTCAGGTCCAAGTTTTACAAATATCTTAGCGTCGTACTTGTTGTAAATTATACACAGATGTTTTGCTTCCTTTCTGAGGAACAAAAATCCTTGACAGGTGTGAATGGATATCATGTCGTTATTTAATCTGTTTCTTCTAAAATATTTGCGCTTAGAAAAGTTTTGTGGAAAGCCTATGTTGAAGTGCCCAAGTTTTAGAAAATCGATGGGCCAAGGTACATCTCGTCTACGGCGATCATCTTGTCGGAGATTGTGAAAATGGTTACCTGTTTAGCAGTGATTTTCCATACCAACGGTATTACCTGCTTCCACGAGTTGTTCATACTTCTAAGGTGCAGTGGAAAATTTCGGCTAATTTTTAAGCCTTTATCTTAGGGTGGCGATTTTCTTCCTTCCAGAATGAAATCTTCGCGGAGATTATTGAGAAGCGAAGCGAAACGTTGAAGGTTTGCGTTATTTTATTTTAATTTACAAGCATTACCACCAATTCTACAGTTTTCCTATTAGGTGAAACAACTTACTTCCTTTGTAGACGCTTATTCTTCTCTGAGGTCTACGGAAAATAGTGGGATTTGTTGAATTCGATACGTCGTGTTACTTAGTGGCTGGCACGTGTGGCGTAGTGGTCGTAGCCGCCCTGCAACACACACGTGGAGTCGATTCCACCGCCCATGGCCTACCAAGCCTTCCATCTCACCAGGGTGGGCAAATTGGTACCAGACTTGCCTGGGAGAATATCAGCACTGGCTTGATACATCGGTAGGCTACCGCGGGTCATTGTATAGGCCAAGTATGCACTCAATCGAATACGTGGCGTATCCCTAATGAATTAATCAACGCCGAGAGCTTTACTTCTTTTTATTTATCATGTTTTGTATCGACTTCTACAGCACACTGTTTCTTTCTCAGTTAACGTTTGTTATTATTTCCATTTCTTATCTGTTGTCTTAAGGTTTCCGTACCAGCTGTTCTATATGTCATTCAGAACAATCTTTTATTTCTTGCCCTTCACAAACTCGACGCCGCAACATATCAGGTTTGTCCGCTTCTCGCCTACTATTCGTTATTACCTACTTGATACTTTGATGGCCTGTCGTCACTGATTGTGCGGGCCCTAGCATAATTTCCATTGTTTTGGAGCTTTGCTGGTTTAGCCATCGTTTCGTTGAATCCCGGGATCAGACAGGCTAAATTTGCTACAGGTCTTCACCACCACAGACAGTCGCAGCACTTGTTGATCCGGGGGAGCATGCGACTTTGATATCAGAACGGTGATTGGTCCTGGTATTGGTTTACTTTTAGTTGCGTTTCGTGATGGGAATGCCGTACCCATTCTCAGGCTGGGAGACGCTGATGAGAGTATGAATCCCCCACTGTACATGGCAGCTTAATATCCAGGAACACCTTCCATCCACGATGAGGCGATAAATCATTGGGAGAACTATCCGTTATTACAGTAATTTAGTGCGGATCGTGATGTGCTTTTAATTGTATAGTTAGTTCCGTCTATTCTAGGTCACATACCAGCTCAAAATTTTAAGCACCGCCTTTTTTTCCGTTACAATGCTTGGTCGCTCACTTAATCGCTTGAAATGGATTGCACTCGTATTGCTTACTGGAGGAGTTGCTCTCGTACAAGTACGATGGATTTTCGCGTTACACAAATTTCGTGTAGTGCATTTCGCAACATTTCAGAAGACTGATCTTTAACTAACTCCGTTGCCAATCTTTTTCGTGTTTTCAATTTAGATAAAACCGGGCGCACCGGTAAAAGCGAGTGGTGATAGATCAGGCAGTATTGCTGGCTTGTTTGCAGTACTGGCTGCATGCTTGTCAAGTGGTTTTGCTGGTGTATATTTTGAGAAGATTTTGAAAACGACTAATGTCTCTTTATGGATGCGTAATCTCCAGCTAGGTATGCTTCGAAGTTAATCTTTCTCAGACTTGGTGAATTTTACTCCATATCATTATATCTTGCCCTAGTGGGCCCCTATGTCAATGGGGCGTATAGCACAGCGATAGTGTTGCGCATTATTAAGAGCACGATACTGGTTCATCCCCATGATCATCTATCACCAAGCCTTTTATCCGTCGGGGGTCGTGAAATTGGAACTCGATTTATCCGGGAACAAATCGCTCTCATCAATCCAAGCGGGAACGCTCCAGCCCGGCTATCTCAGGACTGCAGGAAGAATCGACTGGACCAGCATTCTACGATATTCGAAATGGAATGAAAATTCTCAAGCAGTAGCCGAAGCCACGCGTAAAAATTGGAAGATCTTCGTGGATAATGGATGCGAGGAAACAGATCGAATGTGGGGAGTGCTGGGATCTGCGCAGCACACGTGAAGACGGGTCATATAAAATTATTAGAAAAATCATTATGTCAGGGGCTCGTAGGTTATCGTAGGACAGTGGTCGGAGGTATCCTGCCATACACATGGTATCGGTCCTCGTGCCCAACGGTCACTAAGCCTTCTACCCCTCCAGGGTCGGCAAATTGATACGTCTTGTCTGGAAGGATGGCACCACTGATTAGATACATAGGTAGGCCACCACGAGTCAGTGCAAATCCCAGATATGCACTCAGTTACCTCCATCGATGCTTAATGAAATCAAATGCATGGCGCATCCTCCAGAGATTGATCAATCCCAAGCGCTTTATCCTACTTTATTCTTTATCGTTATGTCCAGAGACTACCTTCGTAGAAAACCAGTTTTTTAAAATTCTTACCACATTGCTGTTTCAGTGAATAATAGTGCAATAAAATTTTGTTGGGATATATCTGTGATTTCTCAGCATTCTTCTCAATATTCGGTGGTTTTCTGATGTGTTGGTTGTACGACTGGAAGGCGATTCAAAAGGACGGTTTTCTACAGGGATACAACTTTATAACATGGGTTGTAATCATGCTTCAGGTAAGTTGAGTTGATTATTTTATCATTATAGTACTCCTATTTGTTTAGACTAGCAGAAATTATTTTTTAAGGCTTATGGTGGTTTAATAATTGCATTAGTGGTCAAGTATGCGGATAATATTCTCAAAGGATTTGCCGTTTCGCTTTCGATTATCCTCTCATCGCTTATTTCGTGGTTGTTCTTGGCTGACTTTGAACCATCGTTGTAAGTTTCTTCGTACCAGTATTTTTTAGGGTTAATGCGAAGGGGCGCGTGTAGCGCAGAGGTCGGAGGCGTCCTGCAGTACGCACGCGATTGTTCCTCGTGCCCATGACCCACCAAGCTTTCCATTCCTCCGGTGTCGGCAGATTGGTACCAGACTTGTCTGCGAGGATAGCAACACTAGCTGAATACATCGGTAGGCCACCGCGAGTCATTATAAAGGCCAGTTATGCATTCAGTCACCTCCAGTGATGCTTAGTGAAGTCGAATACGTGGTCCATCCCTCAGAGATTGATCAATGCCGAGAGCTCTATCCTTTTATCCTTTGGGGGAAGTTGCGTAGTTTATGTGCTTTGTCAGCACCACTTCATGTTACCGTTTTCAGAATGTTCGGTGTAGGTGCAGCAATCGTCATTCTATCTACCTTCATGTATGGATATGAACCAAAGCCACCGGTGTTACGGTTGGCTTAACAGATTATAGATAAGTAGGACGTACATTTGATGGACATAAATGTCCATTACTAGAAAATCAGTTTTGTACAACAAACCAGTTACCAGTTACCTTCCATACACATTTAGTTCTAGCTTGGTAATAAACTAATAATAAGGAACAGCTGATTTTCCCAGTCGGTACTCTAACATAAGATTTGCTGAACAAGAACATCGAGAAATAACAGAAGACTTTCTAGTGGAGTGATGACATATTTCGCAGGACTGGATTTGTTTGATATTTTGGTATTTAATAAATGTTTAACTTTAAACAGAGTTTAATTTTGATTATAACCACTATCCAAATGCGAGGGATTGGTTTCTCACATGATTTCTTAGGTCGATTGACACAGTAAAGCATAATGATTGTGCATAAAGCTGGTCTTGTGTGGTCCGTCTACCATGAGAACGTAGAGCGGTTCTTCGAAAAGCAGTGTCAAACAAACGTAATCCAAGGTGAACGGTACCCTATAGTGTCACATAAAGCTACACGGCCGTTTTTCCGCTGCGAAGTTAAAAACATTCCTCTCTTCGTAGGCAGTCTATCATCCAGGATTTATATTTTGTCTATGATCTGCCTTTCCGCGGGTAGGCCTGTACATGCTTGTCGAAAATTTACATTTGACGCATTAACAGGTGTGTTAATGGAGCACGAATGTAGCGCCATCATAGAGATGAGATTAACCAGTGCTGTAAACTTGATTAAATTTCAGATTACCAAATTAGTACTAGTTGTATTCGGAGGACTGAGTATGAAGTGCTCTCCAACGGTTTAATGCCCCATCGTGGCTAACAAGTTCCTGGGTGTTGGGCAGCGATGTACAGCGCGAGGATTCATATCCCCAGCAGGTCCTCCCAAGTTGAGGAGGAGTCCGGCGTTTTCATCAGGAAGTCTAGCTAAGAGTAAACCAATACCAGGATCCCCCACCGTCCCGGTTTCAATCTAGTCGCATGGTGGCAAATCTCCCTTTGATTCACAAGGGCGGCGACTGTCTGTGGTGGTAACGACCTAGTGCAGATTTTGACTAGGTTGACCTCAGAACTCCAGGGAATCACAATAGCTAACTCAGCAAAACTTCAAAACAATGGAAATTTTGCTGAAACCCGCACAACCAGTGAGGACGGGCCATCTAAGTATCCACGTAAGTGAAAATACGAAGTGGCAAGGAGGAGATGTTTTGGGAAGTATAACATCACATTCCTTAACGGAGCCAAAGATTAATTAAAATGCGTGTCTAAGTCTTCAATAGGTTTTGTGATGGGTGCCAACTAGTTTCGCTGAAATAGAAAGTGCAAGGACAAATTGACCAATAGTTATTGACCGGTTCTACACGTAATCGGAGTTAATTTAGGATGGACTCCACTTCAAGGTCTGGCAATCCTCGATCTGCCTCCGCGAAGGGTGGAAATTAGTCATGCTCTGCGCCTCATCGTTGACTGTGTTTTGACTTCTGCATGATGTTTTATGGTTATATTGTTTAAATTAAGGCTACAACCCAACAATTGTCCTTCTATGAGTTAGCTTTCTCGTTCCAAAACGTACTTTTTCCGTAGCATTCTTTCTGTTTTCACAATGTTGTCACTTTCTATTTACTACCTACTTTCTTCATGGCAGGGTATGATGTGAAACATAAGCGTAACGATGCTGAGACATTCGCAAAACTACAGATCGCAGGTGTCTGTGGTGGGGATCAAACTCGGTATTACCCTTTCTGGACGGTAACGTGTTCACCACCACACCGTGTGGGTCCTTCGTTTTTGCTTCTTTTTCTGTCGATAAAACCTTTTTCGCATCTCAGCTGTACTTTCACAATGCAGGTTACCGTTACACACTTGAAAAGGTAGCGGCCATGATCATATAGCGCTTAGGGGTCTTCTGTGATTTCTTTATGCTTCAGTTAATTTCATCTTATTCCTAAAAACACGGGATCCTGACATTTCTTCGTTTCTCTAATAAGCGTTCTTATCTCTAAGATCAATGTTCCAATGCTTTCAACCTCTTTAGCCAACGTCCTTCTTCTGTCGCTAGACTTTGTGTTTTCTAGTGACATGAAGGCGAATCTCCTCTTCTTTCATATTTCCTTTTCGTTTCCCATATATGTATATATATATACATCTATATAGCTCCCGGCGTTGATCAACCCTGAGGGATGCGCCAAGCATTTGACTTCATTAAGCACCGTTTGGAGGTGATTGGATGCATATCTGGCCTTTACAATGACTCGTTGTGGCCTACCGCTGTATCGAGCCAGTGCTGCTATCCTCCCAGACAAGTCTGGTACCAACTTGCCGACTCCGGAGAGATGGAAGACTTGGTGGGCCATGGGCGCGGTACGCACTTTGTTGGTAGTGGCTTCTAACATACTTGTATCCTAGATAGTAGATCTCCGGAAAACTTTTCATAACTCCTGAGATAACCGCGCGTCTCCCCTTGGATCTCAAATCATAGTGCAGTCTACGTAACCTTCATTTTCTCTTGTCACAGTTCATAAACCATTGATATAATTCAACGGTTGGAATTGCTCAGTGCGTTTAAAACTTAATCACTGAGTACCGAATGTAGTTTCCAGTAATTTAAAATTGTTGGCACCGTGTTGGTTCGACTCCGCACCGGGTTTACCCGAGCCTCTCATTACTCTGAGGTCGAGAAATTGTTACGAAACTTGTCTTCGAACTGAAGAAGATTCGATTCGATGCGATGACAAAAACACCACACCGAGAGTACGAACGCATGTGGACCATCCACTCGCATCGGCTCTTTGAAGACGAAGACGTCGAAGGGTTAGCCGAATAAATCTGATTAAAAACCTCGTGCTAGCTTATCGATGGAAGAGTACCTGCTGACTAGTCATGCCGAAGTTTAACGAACGTCCGTTTTTGAAATACGCCTTGGAACAGTTCATTCTATGCAATCAAAGTGGGTACGCTCTAGCACAGTTATCCTAGGACACAGGCCAGTCAACTTGATCAGCATTCAGCGACCTTCCTGGATTCAAGGAAACGAATCGAATGCAAGGACTACCAGATCCACACCGTAGATGTGAACACGAGTGATATAAAATGAAATAGAATTTTCCTTAGTTAAAGATGCCAATGTCCCTATACACTTATCCTTCTTGTCGATTAACCTTGAAGTTTACTAGTCTTATCGTATTCACTATGGCAGTTATAGTAGGCGGGAAAAGACGCAGTTGCATTGCGCACACGTGAGTCCGATGCCTAACCTCAAATTCTCGATAACCAGCCTCCTCTCAGATGACTGTCGTCAACCCTTCGCCAGATCCAGTTTGATCAATGGCAGTACTATATATCCGTACTTTCTTACTGACTATCTCTGTGAATACTCTTCATCGAACGGTTCTGAGAATCGAGAAGGTACTTTTAATTTTTCGATGATGTAGTCCACCTAGTTGCTTCAGGTATAGTATTACAAGCTCCAAGTAGTTTAGTGGTGAAAATAGAACAACTTTTGAACTCGTTATGTCAGATCAGTTCCTCTATAGAAAATCTTTATGTCATTCATCGATGAAAAACACAAACTTGTCACATGTAGAAAATGTCTTCTAGCAGATAAGGAATAGGTTCTAAGCTAATGTCCCTCTAATAATGTTTAAGGGGAAATTTTCTGATCATAAGAAAATTCATTCCCACTACGTTCCACTAACGAATCGATAGAGATGATGAGGAATCCTCCATAGGACTTCTGCAGTCTTTCTGCAAAAAGCCATTTTCAATTATAGTATACATGATTAAATTCCCAATTGAATGGACTATTGTTTTTATGTCAAACTCTGCCAAAAACCTGAAGTTCAGATGGGAAAAAGGAAGTGCTTTGTAAGGAATGCGGAAAAGTGTTCAATGCACAGTACAATCTCAATCGACACATGCATATTCATACTGGAGTACGACCCTTCAAGTGTAAGGTTAGAGAGTTTTCAACACTTTAAGTGAGCATTGAAATCTGAAATTTCTGGAAAAATCCACTGTTTCCTTGTTCAATGTAATTGTCAATAAATAAAAATACGATGAAGGTCATCATGAGTGCTTCAATTCTAAGAACCACATTCATTGTCATCCCCTATAGGGATAGTGATGACACTATGATTAGCGTATTTTACTAAGATGGTGATCCGCTTTGTCTCTTCTTCACTGACTTTTTGGCTTGTTTCTTGAAACTTCAAGACTATTACGTTCTTTTATTTTCTATTTTATACGACCCATCTTCAAATCCATTGTGCGGATCCCAACACCTCCCGCCTTCGACTCGTTTCCCCGCATCCATCATCCACTAAGGTCTTCGAACATTCCACGTGTTGTTTCAGCTGCATGAGGATTTTCATTTTTTCTTGAATGTTGTAGAATGCTACTCGAGTCCATTTTCATTGCAGTGGTGCGATAGACTGCGAGCTAGAGTTTCCAACTAGATTGCAGAGAATGTTTCCGATCCCGGAGCAGTGAGAGGCTTGGTGAGCCCGAAGCGTGATCGAATCAGCACTGTGCTCGTGATGACCAGTACCACTACCACTGTGCTTTCCCTCCCATCAGAATTATTACACTGTTGCTAAGGAAAAAATTTACGATGGAGAATTCTGGAGGCAGTTGAGCTTTTGATGATAATTGCACTGCATCTTACCTCAGTCCAGTTAAGGATTTTAATCTCCATCGAGCTTTCAGAGTTGTTCTATGATGTTTTTCTTACTAGAAATTTCCAAATACTAACTATAAATCGAAGTATTAAGTCGTCTTCTTATGTTCTTACTACTTCGAATAAGTGGAAGTAGATTTTTTTTTACTTTTTGATAGGAATTTACTTTGCAAGGTTAAGCTTGAAACTTTATGGAACTCGCAAAGTAAGTTTGACATCGCTACCTAGATATGTGGGAAATCATTTCGTCAAGCATCTACGCTCTGTCGACATAAAATAATTCACACAGAACTGAAACCACATACGGTAAGACTCTCTCTTTTATAATGATGGTCGAAATCAGTGACCGACAGTTTCTTTGGAAAAGAAAACCAGGTTTAAAGTCATTCAATTAAAAGAAGCGCAAACATAGTTACGACTAAAATACTTGGATGGCTTGAGTTAAGGAAATGTGCGAGCTCCAGGATATTTCTATCCGATTAATATTGGCCAATTGAGCAAGTTTTTCTTTCTCTGGAATTCCGAGATAGCCATGGTAGAGTATTCCCAGCACGTCATCAAATGTTGCCTCCAATCCAGTGGATCGGAGGAGGAACTATTGCCTATGTGTGGATATCCAGCTATGGTGTACAACGGTGGTTCACCATCAGTACGCTCTCGCAAAGTGAGGTGTTGAAGATTTCCTTCTGGAATCTCGGCTAGGATTTCTGCTAATACTCTCATGGCATTTAAACCGATGTTGCCCCATGTTTGCAAGGATGAAGTTATATTGTTATATGTTTAAACTGTTCAGTTTACATGAGGTTGTTATGAAACCTTTATTCGGCTAGCGTTTCGACGTCTTCATCTTACTCGAAGCCGATGACCAGAGTCGAAGTCCACGGTCGTTCATACTCTTTATGTGGTGTTCACTGAAGCATCGAGTAGCATCTTCTTAAATGGAACATCTACTCTGAGGAAGACGAAGACGTCGAAACGTTAGCCGAATAAAAGTTTCATAACAATCTCTTGTAAGCTGAACAATTTAAACACATGTTGATTAGTCATACCGAGGTTAAAGGAAAGTGGATTTTCCAAATATTATATCTTTACAACCACTATGAGGCTGAGATATCTACACGACTTGGATCGCAGGCCAGAGTCTAACCCGCGATTACCGTTTCCAGGGGCTTATGTGTTACCCACTGCACCACTGAGGCTTTTGCTTTGCTATTCGCTCACCCACTTTTCTACCTGAAGGTACCACCACCAACCAACTGTCAACGGGAGTTGTCAGGAGGGTACAAATCGGCATTAAACACAATTAAACCGATGCTGTAGTCGAAATCACAATGTTTAACTTTTTATTTACTGTCTATTAAATAACGTTAGGCAGTAAATAAAAATTCAACCATTATATTCATACATTTTGCCACTTTAGTTCAGAAGTTTCGTTTCAAACATGCATGGAGTGCCACTTTTAATAATCCGATCTGGTTTGAGATGTGCTCGCTCTGTTACCACCCTCTGCCCCCCGCTAGGAATAAGCGGATTTACTGGTGTTCCTGCTGAACGGCCCTATGATCATGGTTACCGTATGCCAGTTATTCACAATCTAAGGTTTAGAATATCATGGGAATCCTCGCAGCCTAGCATGAATCAAATCCGAAGACTCAGAGGTGTCATGGAGTTCCAAACTGAACTAAGTATTGGTAAAAACTTGGAACTACTCATTAAATAAAGCCGCTGAACACATCTCCTCTTCGTTTCCGTTCTCCATGAGTGACACTCTGTCTTCCCATGATAAAAGGTATCAATAAGAAACTAAATTCTCGACGTTTTTAAGAATGACCATGACAAATAAAGAAATTCTTCAGTCGGTGATCAGAAGAGAATATTATAAAAGAAATCTTCAAAATTTCTCGATGTTCTAAATGTCCTCCTGTTTTCCTTCTGAAAGAGGTCCCTAAAAATTTTTCTCAGTGTACGATATGCGGAAAAAGCTTCAATCGATCTTCTACACTCAGCACTCACATCCGTATTCATTTAGGTTGGTTCTCTGCTTATACTTTTGTCATCAGTAGTTATAAAAAACCTGCAAATTACGACAATACATATGAGAAGTTAGAAATTTTGACTAGGGAGTACGGAGGAGGGGTAAGTGTTCGGGAACAATGACGTCATAGCACTGTTGTCTAACTCAAGCATCAGCTGTAGAACAATTTTGTTCACAACATTCTATAGGACTTCAGGTAAAAAACCATTCGTATGTGACGTCTGCGGAAAGGCATTTCATCAAAACGGTAACTTTAGAAATCATCGACTGACTCACGAAGACGAGAAAAGGTTTCAGTGTTATGTTTGCAAAAAGGTACGTAAAACGTGTTTGATGCATATCGCTTATTTTCCTTCTTCTTTTGAAAAAGAAAAAACAATGCCGAGATATTATAACACACAACTATTTATTTACTACGTCTTGTTTTTTCATAGTAGGGTCTTATGTGAAATACAACCACAACGATGCTGAGATATTTGCAAAACTCAGATTCCAGACCAGATTCGAAGCCGTAGTTACCCAACCTTTCCGGGCACTCATGTATACCCAGTGCACCACTAAGGCCCTTGCTTTACCTTCTTTTCAGCCACTTTTTTTTTACCCTAACGATACCATCAGCAATCACCCATCAACGGGAATGATCTGGAGAGCACAAATCGGCATTGAACCTAGTTAAGCTGACGTTTCGGAGTTCAATGTTGAAATAACAATGGCAGCTCGTTTGCAGAACGTAGTGTAATTAAGGAAATCGAGACCATGCGGGTTTTCCTGCACGAGTTTGACAGAACCCCAGACCCCATCTTATCATATCGGTCATTAGAAAGGCGTATATTTCTTAATGGACTGAAAGGAACTTCACAAACTGTAGTCAAGAATAATAGCGAAGTTAAAGGCAGTAAGACAAAACGTAAGGAATTTGAAGGATCTTCGGCTTTCTTTTTCATGAGACAAGTTAACCCTCCAAAGAACAAATTTTAGGACTTCTCTAAACCTCGTAAACCTCGCTTAACTTTTCAGTGCATTATCGTACTCAGTACATTCCAGAGTAACTACATGGCTATTTTTCAGGGATTCCATCAATCCTACAATCTCGCCTTCCATATGCATACCCATACGAAAGAGAAACCGTTCAGATGCATAACTTGTGGGAAAGGATTCTGTCGTAATTTCGATCTCAAGAAGCATACGAAGAGAATTCATTCGATATCCAATTCAGAATAAATACTGTCTAAATGCGAATCTTGTATAGCACAGCCAAGTTCATTGCTCTAATACAAAGAAAATGAAAGGGGGTACGGCTAAAGAGCCACTTCTTTCTTCACAAGATCTGCCCACGATCGAAATTTCACGGTTGTTGCTCACGACACATTACGAGGTATGTATAGATGGCGCCAGTCTAGTTTGCTTTCCTAGTACCGGAAAACCGACATTAAACGCGTTAATATCAGTGGAATCAATGAGGCCTGTATAGTTAATGTGGAATTGCTGCCTAAAGAAATCGAAGGACGCGGGAGCAGCATTCACTGGTTCGAATCCACACTGGACCAAACAAGCTTCTCATCTCTCAGGACTCGCGTAATTGGTACCACAGTTGTCTGGAAAGAGCTCCATCCTATCCACGAAGACTGGGCGAGTTGGTGGTAAAGACCTGAGAACGCCCTGGCAGTACTACTGGAGGATTTTAGACAGATCAACTCGGCCAGCATCGCAGCAAATTTATAGAAACCAAAAACCTCAGGCAGGTGCCGAAATCATATGCAAATCCGAAGGTCTTCGTGGATGACGTACACGGCGAAACCAATACAAGGGAATTCTAGGATTAGCACAATACAATGCTGGGCCATCTAGTAGGAAAGAAAGGGATTTAAAAAACCGTGTAACATACGTTTTTTAAGAGTCTGGAGAGTTAGTTAAGAAAATCGTATTGTAACCAAAAAGAGAGTACAGAATTGCAAGAATGTGTTGTTTGGATTACGGTAGCGTTAAGTCCTCGACATTACCAACCATAATGACGAAGAGATACTCGCAATACACCGGACCGCAGGTGTCTGCGGTGGAGACTGAACGCGCTATTACCCTCTCCGGGGGCTAACGCGTTCACCACCACACCATACGGTTCCTTCGTTTACCATGTTTAGTGGTTCGTCTAAGCCCCTAGGTTCTTAGTCGCTTCATCGAGGCCAAGGGATGTTTCTGGATGTCGAGCCGCAAGTCACAACAGGAGGTTCATTCCTCTGTAGGTTCGCTCAATCTGAGAAGTTCAAAACTACTACTTCGCATTCTGTGATGATGAACTCTTCAGCCCCCGGAGAGGGTAGCAGCACTTTCGTTCCTACCTGCGGTCCGGAGTTTTGTAAATATCTCAGCATCATTGCGGTTGAATTGCGCATTATACCTTGCCGTGAGAAATTATAGTAGGCAGCAAGTAAAAAGTTAGCATAAATAATACAGCTGAGAATAAAGGATAAAGCTCTCGGTGTTGATCAATCCCCGAGGGATGCGCCATGTTTTCCACTTCATTAAACACTGTTAGAGGTGACTGAATGCATATTTGGCCCTTACAATGACTCGATGTGGTCTGCCGATGTATAGAGCCAGTGCTTCTACCCTCTCAGACAAGTATGGTACCAACCCCAGAGAGATGGAAAGCTAGGTGGGCCAGGGTGCGGGGATCGATCCCACGTGTGTTGCAGGGCGCGTCCGACCTGCGTTACACACGTTCACGGAAAATAAATGATAGTGAGATAATACCATACATACAGAACGAAATACAAAATTGGTAGATCCCGTACGTCGACACTTTGTCCCAAACAACAAGATACGAAATTCAAGGGACTCCCTGCTAGGTTTAAAGGGACCCGAATTATTCATGCGTGTTGGTCCTAGAACGGTTAACAGTCTTAGGTACCATAACTACGCCTTTTGAATTCGAAACCGTCATTGCAGTACTGCAAGCAAGGGGAGAATAGTATTGAGTGTGATGTCCTACGTAGAACGTTTGGAGGACGTACTTATAAGTACCAGTTTCCTTATGCAACGAGTTTTAAAACTGATTTACTTCTATGAAGTGGTGCATAGCGAGTTTTGCTTCCGTGTTGCTGCGGTTTTCTCACAGTCATCTGTTTCCTCTTTCTTCCTAATGAGGGTCACGTTCAATAGTTTGAATTTTTGTGCAGAATTTTCCATATCTGAAAAACTAAGTTGAAGAAGTGTACGTTGATTTGCTCAGGTTGACCGTTCACGTTTTATGGCAGCGTTTTGAGTAGAAATTGATGTTCGCATGGCTGTCTCCTTCAAAGAAGAAAACACTGTTTTCTTGTTAGTTCATGGGTTATAGGTGTGAACCCTTCAGAATCTAGTAAGATAGCAAGAGAAGATGGTTTTGAAGTCTCAAACGAACAGACGAAGAGTATCGCGATTGCTAAGAAAGAAAACGACGCATTTATAATCCAATGCCGAGGTCAATAGAAAGTCGATTCTGTGAAAAGACGTTAGTTACAAAATCTAGAAACTAAGCCTGTAAATCTGGCGCTTGAACGTTTCTTAATGGCTGCAAAATTCTGTCTTTGGTACGTTTTGTCAAACCTTTTTTTCGAATTTCATTCGTTTTCTTTTCTATTTTTCGCCTTCATTCTTCGAGGTGTTCTCCAAAGTATTCGTTCCACAGTTTTGGGACAAGTTTCGTTGAGATATACATTCATAATCTCACTCATTCTTTCCTCCAATCTTTGTTTTCTCTGGATATTTCGGCGTTCTCTATCAATCTGTACTTTTATAGTTCTGCAGTCAAGTCCTGTTTCATTTCAGGTAATAGTTCATTTAAATGGCCAAGTCAAAGAACCACACCAATCATAATCAGAGTAAGTTTCATGTTTGTTTATATTTACGTTTATTATTTTTTCAATTGTCATTGCTTTATCGTGTTAGGCACTAATTTTTATTCAAAATTTAATGTAACTATAGGATTTTCCTGTTCATGTTCACTATTTATACTTCAGACCGAAAAGCTCACCGTAATGGTATAAAGAAGCCGAAGAAGCAGAGATTTATGTCGATGAAAGGGGTCGATCCGAAATTCCTCAAAAACTTACGTTTCGCAAAGAAGCACAATAAACGACATGTTAAGAAGGAATCGAAAGCTTAAGACATTGTTGACTCTTTTGTTATAAAGTTTTACTATTATTGTGGAGAAGTGTTCGGTTAGTTCCGTTCTAACGGGCTAAGTGTCCCGGTATGCGCTAAGTTTGTCTTATGAATTTGTCGTGTGTGTATGTGAGCAACTCATTATGGGTAATGTTTTATAAGAACAAATGTGGACCCCAGAGTTCAAACGAAGCTCCTGAACTTATCCTCATCGATTAACGGTATGCGTGGTTGTTTTACTTGCTTACTAGGATAAGTGAATTGCCCGTTTTCACTAGTTGTGCCGATCCCAGCACATTTTCCATCCGCTTCTTTGCTTTAGTGGTCACGTACAGCACAGTGGTTGGACGCATCGTGCAATTTTCATGGGATCGACACCTGCATTCCAGGCTCACCAATCCTTCCATCCTTCCGGTGTTGGAATATTGATACCAGACTTCTCTGAGCGGGTAGAAGCACTGACCCGATACATCGGTAGGCCAACGTGAGTCACTGTAAAGGCCAGATATGCATTCAATCACCTCCAACGATATTTAATGAAGACGAGTGTATGGTGCGTCCATTAGGCATAGATCAACGCCGCAAGCTTTATCCTTCATCCCTTATTCTTTGCTTTGGAATCGTCGTCCGTGGTAGTTCTTTGACTCGGACGTGGTATCGGGTATGATTCTTATGCCTTGATCTATAAAACAACTGCAGCTGCAAGTACAGCTGTTTGACCTTAGTTATGAAGACGACCTTCCAACGTGTAACGGTGGTCCTAGGAGATGCGTTCGTCCGTGGAGTCCAGGTTGTTTTCATCTATTGTATGTTTTTCTCATTATATGACCGGTCGATTTGTTTCGCTACTGGTGTGTGTTTTTCTGGATTCTGAAGGTGGGGTAGATTTCGAAGGTCATAGCTTCCTATTCCGGCTCCAGCTAGATGCTATATGTTCCGGTTATCTTTCATAGGGCAGCGTTGCAGCGCTCTCTTAGTACTGCGCAGATTTGTTAACATGATTGAAGTACTAGCCCACTTCAATGCTGCATAACAAAGCTCTTGGAGGACTTTTATATCGACAAACCGGGATTTTTAGGTCCAGATCCCTTGGTTGGTTGGTGGTTTCTTTTAGAGGGACAAATGCGGCCTATACTGCTTTCTTCTATCTCGTTTCTCCTTCATAAAATCTGTTCACTTTCGCAGCATGGGTTCTGCATGAACTGAGTCTTCTTTTGATTTTGCGCAGCCTGATCTTATAGATAGCATCTTTTTATTACTGTTATTGTTTCAGGTCGTCTAATTTTGACTTATTGAAACAGTGGAACCTTCATGCGGGAGGACGTACTGCTGCGTAAATTGCTCGCAGATGGGGAAGGCACCGGTGAAGAGCGCCGATTCCAGTTGCTAAATGGATGTCTTCGTTTGTTACGCAATGCCAATACAGTTAGCAAAGCCGAAGCTGTGAAGGCTCTACGTTTAGTAAGTTGTGTTTGGATCTGGTTCACTTAAAATTCTGAATTCTATGATGCTGCGATATTTGCGAAATTTGGACGCCAGGCCACATTCTGATGGCACCATAAGGTTGAAGACTGGATTAAGGAAAGTTAAAGCAAGCGCCTTAATGGTGCAGTAGGGTAACACTTGATCCCTCGGAATGGGTAATTGCAGGTTCGAACATGACCTGGAGTACAAGTTTTGCAAACATCTCAGCTTCATAGTTGGTTGCCTTTCACATCATGCTCTGCCGGAAAAAAGGAGTAGTGGGCAGTAAATAAAGTTGACATCGTGATTAGCTTTAGTTTAATTGGAGTCAATACCGATTTGTGTTCCCCAGATCATGCCCATCGACGGGTGATTGCTGAAGGCGCCTTTAGGTAAAAAAAAAACTGGCTGAGAGAAGGGCAAAGCAAAGACCTCAGTGGTGCAGTGGATAAGTGGTTAACGCATGAGTTCCCAGAAGGGGTTATCGTGGGTTAGAATCTGGCCTGGGGTCCAAGTTTTGCAGATGTGCAGATGTTATCACCTTTACTTTTCATTTACTGCCTACTATTTCCTAGACGGCATAGACGGGTGATTGCTGATGGCACTGGTAGATAGAAAACTAGCTGAGAGAAAGGCAAAACGAAGGAGTGGCATGGTGTGGTGGTGAACGCGTTAACTCACTGAAAAGGTAATAGCGTGTTCGATCCCCACCACAGACACTGTGGTTCGGAGTTTTGCAATTGTCTCAGCTTCATTATGGTTAGAAAGTTGAGACGTTCTGAATTCTATTTAATCTAGTCTTTTAAATTTTCCTAAACAAGGAAGTGTCACTGATATTCTAATGGACAGAAAGTTTAATCTAGCCCTCGTTTAGACTCTGAGCACACAGTGGGTTTTATTAGTTGGAGTGCGTGTAGTGCACAAGATCGTGCATACTTTAAGTGATATATTATAGGGGCGTTTCTTTTAGTAGGCAAATGGATTAAGAAGATTATGAATGTAGAGAGTTATTCAAGGATTTCCGTCAAAAATTTTTCTGTGGGAGGCTTTATTGTATGTAAATTACTGAGCTGTTTAAGAAAGAAATACTTATTAGGTAAGGTGAAGTATCGAGTAGGCAAGATAATGAAGAATGTCGGTCTGTATCACTCAAATTTATACCGTGATTATCGGAGTGGTGCTCTTGCATAACCTTTGACCTTCCTTATAAATAAAGGTAACTAAAAGTAAAGTGGATGCCGTTTACATTTTTCTGATTCTTTTCATGTGCATCAAATAATGACTAGGTTGAAGTGTATTGTAACGTCTAGGTCTTAGTGTACATTTGAAACTTAGGTATAATGACAATTGCTTCAGATCTCCATGACATAAATTTCGTATTAAAAAATGGGCGAAGATGATGGATTGCTCAGGTTTCCTCCCCACATTCACATGAAAAGCTAATGCTCCAGAGAGTTCTAGTTCAGATGGATTCCCTTGAATTATCCATGAGAAAGCAACATGAAATTGCGGAGATGACGAAACGACAAACCAAGGAGTATGAAAAGATGGCTGAGAGAGTAGATAAGGAGGTATTAAATTTTTTCTACTTTTAGACAGAACATTTGCTATATTTACGTAATTATTATCGTAGGCGGACAGTAACCGTGTGAATAGTTTGGAAGTGACATTATACATTGAAGACATCCTTGTACTTGAAGATAAGTGTAGGACTTAAACACTAGAAAGTTGGTCAGCACTCACTGTCCTGTTCATGCGGAGTGTTAAAGATAGCAATCAGCCGTGAAAGGATGACACAAGCAAAAGCAGATCTCGCTGCAGCACGTCTTGTTCGTAAGAATCGGAAAGAGTACGCTCTTCTTGTTGGTATGATAGAAGATCTTCCCTCGCGAGCAGAAACAACGAGGTATTACTGCTGTTGTTGTATTTTACCGTATTTTTGTAGTTTATTATGAGTTTGAAATCACGAAAGAAAATATCATCTGATTTCGTCAATTTTTATATACTGCCTACTGTTTTTAATGGCAGGGTGTTATGTGAAATATAACCATATTGATGCTGAGATATTTGCAAAACTGTGGACTCCCATGGTATGGTATGTGATCACTTTAGCCTACGGAAAGGAAAATAGCTTGTTTGGTCCTCACTGCAGACACCAGCGGTTCGGAGTTTTGCAAATATCGCAGCGTCATTGTGGTTATATCACGTTATTTTTACACTATGTTTTAATTATGTGGTCACTTGGATTGTATTTGGTTTCAGGAAACTGGAAGATATCCAAGAAGAACTTATACATCAACAAGAGCGTCAGCAGCAGCTTGAGGCCAGGGTATGCCTTATATCGTTTTTCTTTTCAACTAATTCCTTAACTGTTGTAGAAGTATAATGGTTTGACTACGAGATTTCGGAAACAGTTAACGAACTTCCTAACATTAGAGCCATATTGCAACTTACCCAGTTTTAAAGAGTAGACAAACTAACGTTTGTTAGAGAGTGGCCAACGTTTCGGCGTACTTCGCCTTTTTTGAGACCTTCATTTTTGGACTTTTGTAATTTATCCAAAATGCCTTGAAACTTTTGCGCGCTGATCCGTTCGATTCCTGTGCGAGGATGGTGACATTTCTTCTATAGAGCGTTTGTTAGTATTCGGCCACCGTTACCAGTTTCTCTATGCCAGCCCTTCTTTATAGATGTATTGAGTTCGTTGGAAATCATAGACAGGTTATACCAAACTTATTTCTCTAAGTTTACTGCTTCGAAGTATGACCTTTCCCCTGTACATGTTGCGAGAAATTACTGTTTCGTATCATCTGTCGCCCTGTTAATCGTCAAGTGACTCTATTGGATGTCATTAAGTCTTCTATTTCTCTCTGTCACGGGCAAGACTTGGCAAGTGGGTACTCGAGCTATGCGCTTGTTGAGCATCATATCTTTTTTTGGAGAGTTTTCGTAAAGAGCTCTGACCATCGGGTCGGTGGTCTTCCTGCAGTGCGTTTGTCATCCGGAGGAATCCAGTCACCAACGGTTCTTGTCCATCGGTTGTCATTCATACGCATTACGTATCCGGCCCACTTTATCTTCGACTGTTTGGTGTACAGAACGGCATCTTTGATTTCTGATAGTTGGAGCAGATCGGAGCTTCAAATCCTTTCCCTTACTTGTGTAACACAGAATACACCTAGTATCGTCCTTTCGATTGTGCGTTCAATAGCGATGAATCTGGCGATCTTTCATCCTCTTACACAACGACCAGGTTCCTAACACATAAATCAAGGCAGGAAGCATCGTGGAGTTGTAAAGGTGGGCATGGAGTCGTGTTCTTTTTTCTCCTCACGACATCCTTAATGTTCCTGAAAGCTCTCCATTCCGCCGTCTTCTCCCTGCTCGACTATGAAGCTAAATCATTCACTATGTTGATATTAAGATCGGGATAGACGTAGCTGGTACATTCGGAGATATTCGTTCCATTGAGCATGGACGGGGCATCCGAAACCACTCCGTTCCTCGTGAACATCGTTTTTGTGAGATTTAATCGAAGAGATCAGTCTTTCAACGAGCGTTGTCAAACCCAGCTAACATCCACTCCGTCTGGCCAATGCTTGGTGTTATAAGCACGATGCAATTAGCAGAGCGAAGCGGTTGTTAATTGCCAACCCTCTACTTTCGCTCCCATGCTAACCCATTTCAGTGTTCGCATTACGTTCCTGGGCATGGTGGCAAAAATTTTGGCGAGATGGTATAGCCTTGCTTACTACTTTGACGTCGATGTTAATACCGTTGTAGAACGGTGTTTTGGTTGCAAAATCTTGATACAGCTCACGAAGAGTCTTTATATACTGAGTAGGGACTCCATGTTCTCTAAGGTTTTCATGACTGTTTCTACCAAACTCGTTCAAGCTTATCAAAGAAAGAATTCATATTGAATCAGAAGTCCTCATTGAATCAATCGATGAAAATGATACAGAGTGGTCTCTTTTACTCTCGCAAAACTTCACTGAGTCTTGTTATCATGTGGTCCATCGTACTCAGTCCCTTCCGAAACCGACTTACATGGCTGTCCCTCGTCCATTGTTCTGTCAATCCTATTTGGGATAACTTGAGTGAAAAGTTTATAGACGACAGATGTAGGCGGACTAGGCGATATTTGCCGATATCGTGGACGTCGCCCTTCTTGAACGATAGCACGGTCTTGCTGGTCATTCACTTAGTAGGGACCTTGCATTTAGACGAATAACGTAGCAAAGGTCGCGCCAGTGTGTTTATGAAGGCAGGGGTTCTCTAGGTGTCAAATCTTATCCTGTCCCGACCAAGTGTTGTTCGATTCTTCACCGATGAAACTGCATGTCGTATTTTGGAAGGGAGAGCCGGTGTGACGACGTATCCATCCTTTATTTCGTTTGAGGGTAAGAGGACGTGGCTATTGAAGAGATCTGAGTACTATTCGTGAATGATTTTCTTCATTACCTTTCTAGAAACTTTAATTTTTCCGTCTGGACGTCGCCGTGCAACCATGTTAGTTTTGTGTTTGGCGAAGTCTCCGTGAGCTTTGCAAATTCTTCTCCGGTCTTCTGCAGCTTAGGTCATAGCTGCTATTCTTGTATCCTTAAGATCTTCTTTTGCCGCCTGTCTGTATCATTTTACAAGTTCGTACGTGAGTTGGCGCTTGTGTGTAGTTCGTCTGATTCCATGGTGTATCAGCTCGGGTATTTCTGGCTACAGACCCTCCTTGTTGACTTTCGAACTCTCAGTTTTCACGGCACTAACGTAACCGATAGTCTTACTCGTCGATGTTGTCAATAACGCCAACTTCCCAAGGGCGGATTAATGAATTGAATAAGTCCCAGTTTGTGGCTGTTTTTAGACTTCGTTTTTTGAATTTAGCGACTTTTTCTCCTTTCCGCGGGAAATAGAATCTTTGCACGAAGGAGGCGATAGTCTGATCCCGTGTAGAATTTTGGGACAACAGCGACATCGGTTAGGCAGAACCTTCTATTTACTGTGATGTGGTCTATTTCGTTAGGGTACTCTCCATTGGGAGACTCCCACGTTTAGCGTTGAGGGTGGAATTGCTTCTGGAATTGCGAGTTACCATCAGTAGTCTTGTTCGTCACAGTAAACGCAGACGCTCACCCTGCCCGTTCCGACCTGGTATCTAGGTTCCAACATGACGTTCCTCAGATGTTCTTTTGGGTTCAGTTTTAGTATTAAAATCTCCAATGATGACCTTGAAGATTGCATGGTTTTCTCTTCAGAACTTCTTCAAGACCATATAGAACGCTTCGACTTCTTCTTCGTCAAAGATTGATGTCGGCGCGTAAATGATGTCAGTACTGTTTCATAACCAGTGGAAATGCCTATTTGCTTCCCAATAATTGAACTTTAGTGGTTCCTGCTCTCTTCTTTTCCACTGCACACAATGGCCGTTCGAAACATTTTTCTCATAAACGCCACTCTTTGTGTGTGAACGATGAGATGAGAGGTAATAAGAAGGCTAAATCCGTCAAAACGTTAGCTACTGTCGATTAAACATTGCTTTAACAACCTCTTATCTACTTATCAGGGAGAAATAAATTTACTATTCGGTGCTGAGATTCATAAAATGTTGTCTCGGTTAAGAAACAAAACCGTTTTCAGTTATCGGAACGTAGAAACCACCTTCATGCTCTGAATATCATCCTTGCTAATTTCCAAAAGTTGCTCTCAGGTATAATTATGACGCTTTTGTTCTATTTTCGAATATTAACTGCTACTTGCAAGCTGTAATGTTCTTATGCACTGACTTTGTTTAGATGAGGATAATGAATTGTCGAACGATGCTCCTAATGAATTAGGAGAAAAGAAAGAGGATGGAGATGACGATGATCATTCAAACAAAGAGCGGTCCAGTGAGACGATGGATATGGGATAATCACTCAGCTTTGATTATGGTTACTTGTAATGGAAATGGTCAATGTTTAAGACTTGAGAAATCAAGACTATCGTCGGGTTCACGTCTTGGTGAATGCCTAATTCACAACTTCTTCTTTAGGGTACTTGTGTTAATTGCTCGACTTTAAGTCTCTCTGTGCTGGTAGTATTGTTTACAAATACTTTGTAAAAATTCTCAGTGGGAAGACTATCTATTTAGTCCTTTAACTCTTAGAAGAGAGTATTCTTGTTAGTTTACCATCATGTGCTGCTGGTTTGAGATATTGTGCTCTTAGGATGCAAGTTCATTTACCAGAATTTTTTCCTATCTTGACTTTTCTTCTGATGTTGTTGATGAGTTGAGTGACGACCTCGAAGTGGTAAAGTAATCGAGAAAGTTTTACGGATTTAGTTGCTAGATAGTTCAGTACTGTAGTTGGAAACTATTCGTTTGTGCAAAGAAATGGGAACCCAATGCAACCCTAGATACCATGCGTGATAACGATTGGCATACTTGACACTTGACACTTGAATAACCCATCCTCACTAGTTGTGCAGGTCCCAACATAATCGCCATTTTTCGGAGATTTGCTAGTTAAGCCACTGTGGTTCCCTGGAATCCCCAGGTCAGCCTGCCCGAAGTCTGCCCTAGGTCTTCACCACCACGGGCAGTCGCAGCCCTTGTGGATCAGGCGGAGATTTACCACCATGCGACTTTGATACCAGGACGGTGGTAGATCTTGGTATAGGTTTACTCTTAGCTAGGCTTCCTGATGGAAACGCTGGACTCCTTCTCAGCTTGGGAAACCCTGCCGGGGGGATGAATTCCCCGCTGTGCATCGCAGTCCGACAGCCAGCAACACCTCCCAGCCACGATGAGGCGGTAAACCGTTGGGAGGTTAAACACCATAAGAACACTAAATAGTGTTTTATGTATAATGCTTCTCATAAATGAGGGGTATTCTACTGCTTCCGCTTTTCACCAGGCTTTTAGGCTACAAAAATCCAGTGAGTTTACGTGGTAGTTGATGTGGATCTCGAAATTAGCTATGAGTTAGGCATCTCTGAAATTCTTAAGAGAGAATGCTTGTAGTTTAATAAATATAAGGGTGTCTGGAGAGCCACGACTTTTTGAAATATTCACTACCCGAATAGCTGTTGAATGAAGAGAGCTTTTTTTTACGTTTACGAAATGTGTGTTACATAAAGTCAAGTGCTTCCACTGCCAAAATTACTAATTTTTCGAATTTGGATAAGTACTATCCTCTACATGTCAATGTTTCTTTCCATTGTATTTCGAGCTGTAAAAATAAGGGATAAAAGATAAAGCTCTCGGCGTTGATCAAACCTCCAGGGACACGCCGTGCATTCGACTTCATTAAGCATCGTTTAAATGCATATCTGACCTTTACTGTGACTCACAATGGCTTAACGATCTATCGAGCCAGTGATGCTATCATACCAGACAAGTCTGGTATCAATTTGTCGACTCCGTGGTGATGGGGAGCTTGGTGGGCCTGGAGTACGGGGATCGACCACATGTGTATTGTATTGCAGGGTGTCTCCAACCACTAAACTACACTTGCCCCACTGCAATCATACTTGTGAATTATCTGTATACCACACTTTAGTAGTATTCGCTATTTCGAAATATGTTGCGTAAATAACATCAGAGGGAGCATGTAGGGTTTAATTCCGTGTCCTGGGCTTCAATCCCCTCACTGATTGGCAAGCTGACTCCAGAATTATGTGGAATGATAGTAGCACTGACTTGATTTATCGGTAGGCCACCGCAAGTAACTGCATAAGACAGGTGGGCATCCCGTTCTACAAAGCTTCATGAAGTCCCCATGGCTGACCCCTCAGCGATTGCCCCCGACAATGCCGAACGCCTTATCCTTTAAGCTTTAAATAACGTAATTCTGTACTACGAAGATGCAGTACGTTGAAGCTGATAATCGTGGAAGCATATGCCTCTTTTTGGAACCCAAATTATTTGGGAGCATTGATCACCGTGTCTGTTCTTGATTGCGAAACCTAATGACTCGATAACTAACGCATGCCAAAAATAATCACCTCGCAGGTACTCTGTCCTGCACCACCTGGTTCTACTATGCTGTGTATACGGGGATTACTTGCCGTGAAGATGTTTGGTGGATTCATCTTGCGTCTCTCATCTCTCAGAAGCATTGTTTTTGATTACTTTATTAGTTCTTGGTACCAATATCGTCTTCGAATTGTTAGCACCTTTTTCTTATAGACCTTCCTGGTTTCCTTAAATGTATTGTAAAGTTTTTCCCAGTACTGACTTTCTATTAAGCTCGATATTGATCCGTAGGCTACCGTTTATTCGATGGGCAGACACGAGGTTATTATATTTATTTCACCCTAGATAACGTTTTGGCGGTTTAGTCTTCTTCAGAGCGTAGAATGTTCCAGTTAGCGTTTTGGCGGCCAATCTTCTACTTGACGAATACATCAGCAGAAAAAGCTCAAAACTTCAAGAATTAAATAAAATGTTTCCGTAAAGTTTGTATGTCTAGATTGCATAATTCGACGTGGTGTAGTGGATTACCTATAAAATACTACTTATTTATGGTATAAGCTTGTGTATTTCCCATGCCTTACAAAGTTTCAGTACATCGTGGCGGAGAGGCGTTCCCGGGTGCCAGAATGTGATGCACAACGGAGGTTCATTCCATCACCGGGGTCTCCCAAGCAGATAACGAGTCCGACATGTGCATCCGGAAGCTCAGCTAAGAGTAAACTAATATTAAGAGTCACCACCATCCTGGCATCAACTTCATCCGCAAGGTGGCATTAGCAGTCAGTTGTAGTCTCGCTGATCGTCAAGTGACTCGTGACTCGACCGGGTGCCAGTAAATCTTCCATTTTTCCCTGTCGTGTGCAATAGTAACCCAGTGGGTTCTGCTCGCTCTAGGGACTCTTCGAGCATCATATCTTTTTTCTAGGCTTTTCGTGAAGAACTCTGACCATCGAGTCGGTGGTCGTCCTGCAGTACGTTTGACATCCCGAGCAATCCAATTATTAACAGCTTTTGTCCATCGGTTGTCATTCATACGCATTATGTGTCCGGCCCTTAACTTCGACTGTTTGGCGTACAGAACGGCCTCTTTGATTTTTGATCGTTGATGCAGAGCGGAGCTTCGGATCCTTTCCTTCACTTATGTGACACGGGATAGCGAGGACATTCTCAATAAAATCCTCTTCTGTTATGACTGGCAGACAAATCAAGATCCGACCGATGCCTATGAGCTGCTTGTCGAAGGACTTAAAACTTGTGCCGATCTCCTCTTAGTTCCTCAAATAAGAAGTTCAGACCGCGTCTCCATTGCCACTAAGGAGTTGCTCAAAAAGAGAAGGAAGCTGAAGCCTATCCTGCTGCAGCTCAGCTGAAACGGCTAATAGCAAATGCCAGCTGTTGATAAATTTTGCAAGACATATATCAGTATTGACAGAAAAGGTTGTTAGAAGCAGCTCAAAAACGATCTAGTCTGAAAAAGTGTCGTTAGGATTTTTGCGGCTATAATGTTCCACCATCCGCCTTAATGAAGGAAGGTGGAGCTGTCACCACATCCCGCTATGATATGGAATTTGTGATGGAGAAAGTCTGTGCCAATCTTTTCCGCTCCATAACACCCCTCTTGGATCCCGCAATCTCCGTGGTGAAAAGCCGCCCAAGTTTCTACGCCATGAATTTGGAATTGCAATGGAAAGCATGAAGAGAAGAACAGTTTCATGACATAATATCACCACCGATTTCCATAGAGCTATATAGGCCACATATTACATGTACGGGCACTCAAGCCACCGACCAACTAATACCCAAAACCCCGCAATCACCTTTCCCATTCAGCAATCCTCCCATCAAACTGTTATGCAGCAGGGCTGATATGTCAACCACGTCCAGAATACACCGTGTTATTCACGGAGCGCTTGAGCGATGTCTTCTTGAATTTAACCGGCACTCACAACGATTAGTCGGAACGAGCAGTTCTGATCTTCGAACCCTACCCCATCTTCGGGATCCAGGAGAATATACATCGATAGCAAAATACAGATGGTTCTGTCACATAAGAAGAACAGATGACAGATGTTCGGAAAGAACAGTGGAATTGATTCCAAGAGAATGCAAGCTTCTCCTTTGAAGACAAACCAAACGATGTGAGGACTTCTTCAGCCTAACGTTAACCATCCGCATTCGCAGATAAAAACGCTTTTATGAATTCGTAATGAGGCTCTCGGACGTCACCACGTTCGAAGCAGATCACCTCCATGCACACCAAGTCCACCAGCGGGGCCCGCACCAGCAGTGAAGTATTTAAGTATCCAAGTACTTTTTTTTATTCTATTTTGATCCCTCTTCACGTCTACTGTGCGGTTCCCAATACTTCTCATATCCAATTCTTTTCCTCGCATCCATCGTCCACGCAGGTCTTCCAATTTTTAACATTTGGCTTCGGTTGCTGCTTGAGGATTTTTATTTCATCTTGAATGTCGTACAATGCTGGTCGAGCAATTCTCTCTGGAGTTCTGAGATAGCTGGGTTACAGAGTTCCCAATTGGATTGCAGAGAGTGGTTTTTTTTCCAGAGCAGTCCGGTATCAATTTCTCGATTCTGGATGGATGAGAGGCTTGGTTGACCCGGAGCATAATCGAACTAGCACCATGCTCGTGATGACGGACGTTACTACAACTGTTCTATCCGCCCCAAGTATAATATATTTTTCAAAACGGTCGGAAGTCGTTCTGTTCCAAATCTGCGAACAGTCTGTTGCCGAAGTTAGTATTTGGAACTCATGCTTTATAACAAATATCGCTTCTAATCTTACCAATCATCGAATGAATCATTCCTGCTCTAGTAAGACAGCTGCTTGCTTCTGCGGCAACCTTATCAGTGTTTCTTTTGCTCAAGGGATAGCAATATCACTATTTACGCGTGACTTCTAGTTAAGCTGTTCCTTTCGTTTCCACAGTTTC